CGTAACATATGGGTCGCAAAAATATTCCCGTTCTTATTTTACTAACAAAGTGCAATGGCGGCGATGGTGTAACGATTAGCGTAGTGGATTGTTGTACCCAAGTTGGCGGGTTCAAAACTGATCGAAGCCGTGGATTTTTGAGAGCGAAAAATCCTTCGTACGCCTTCCTTCGGAGGGGAAGTAAAGCCGGCTGTCCCATGTTCGTAGATATACTTGCATGTAAAAGATCCTCAAGCCTAAATGACGCCTCTGAGCTAAATTCAAATCGCCTGTTTCTCGCCCAAGAAATACATCCTTTCCCTTCTAGTTAGTGAAAGGGGCGTAGCGAAATTTGCGTGGTCAGACGGAAGAGCGGGCCTGATGGCTCGAGTCTCGCCACGTAAAATAAGGCAAATTCAATTCAATTCAATGGGCAGACGGACGGGCAGTCGTTTTCAAAAGAACACTTGAGGGAGCGTAAGCGCATCCCTTTGCAGTACGAATGAAAATACCGTTCCCGCTGCTCTCTCTGCTCGTCGTGGGTGCGTGGCACGGCGTCTCGTGTGCGTGCGCGTGCGTGGCAGGCCGTGTTGTTATGCGTGTGCGCGCCTGGCAAAGGGTCCTTTGAGAGAATTTGAGTGTGTGCGCGCGGGACAAGGCGTCCTTTGAAGTCGTTGTGCGTGTGCGTGGCAGGGTGCGTGGCAGGGCGTCTTTAGAGAGTGTTTGTGTGTGACAAGGCGTCCTTAGAGGTCGATGTACATGTGCGTACGTAGCAGAACTTGTGCGTGTGCATGGCAGGACGTTTTTTTCGTGAGCGTTTGTGCGTACGTGCATGGCAGGGCGTCCTTTGAGAGTGTTTGTGCGATTGTGCGGGTGGCAGGGCGTCCATTGAGGCGGACGTGCCTGTGCGAGCGAGGCAGGCCTTGTTGTGCGCAGGACGGGCCGTTCGCGTGGGACGACGTGGTGCAGGGCTACGTGCGCGGCGCCTACTACTACGGCTACCTGCTGGCGCAGCTGCCGGGCGCGCTGCTGGCGGAGCGGCGCGGCGCCAAGTGGGTGCTGTGGGCCGCCAACGCGCTCAACGTGGCCGGGCTGCTGCTCACGCCGCTCGCCGCCCGCGCCGGCTACGGCGTCTTCGTGCTCCTGCGCGTCGTCATGGGCATCGGCGGGGTGAGTGCGCGCCCGCGGCCGGGAGGCCGGGAGAGGCGGCTCGGCGACGACACTGCTGTGCCTCTCACCGCGACGAACTAGAGATCCCACTCGCGACGATGGCAGGACCCTAGCGAGACACCTAGATCTTGTTTAGCCGCTGCCTGCAGGAGAATTCTAGCGGCCGGCTGCTCTGATCGGTAGTTTTCCGTGGTGTCTCCGATCAACACCAGGCGAATGCCTGAGAACTACCCTAACAAACGGCCCATCTTTTCTTCCTCTTCCTTGCCCTATCCTCTCCCCTTTACACACACTTATACTAACGTGCACTAGACTACTACATATGTCGGAAGCTTGTCCCGGCTGGGGCGGTGCCCCGCTGGTGGGAGAAACCTGGTTGGGGAAAACCCCGCTAGCCGACGGTAGGTTGGCACCGGATCTCGCCATCCTCCGCAGGAAGAACATATCCACCTTCCAAGGAAAACATATACTACACTTACGGGACCTCAGTAGTTCATGCGCGCGCCCGGAATCAATAATAACCAACCATCGAAATATGAATTAATAAATTGACAAAGTCCCGTAAGTGTAGAGCGGGTTTAATCGCGGGAGGTAGCGATGGTCTTTCCCCGCAAGATGGTTTGATCTGGCGCCGACCCACACGATGGCTTGCGGCACCGCCCCAGCCGGGACAAGCTTTAAACTCCCGGCGGGACGCACGGCACGTGTGGTAGTGTAGAGCATATTAGTGTGTGTGTGGGGGCTGAAAATAGGACTAAGAAAAGGAAGGAAGATCGTTCGTGGTCCATGACGCATTTGTTAGGGTCCTGCCCCGGTATTCGCTTGGTGTCGATCAAAAAGGCTCGTTAAGCCACCAATCAGAGTAGCCGGCCGCTAGAATCTCCGACAGACAGCGGCAGAATTTCTCCTAGCTATGTAGTTATTCGCGAATCCCACCACCGTCGGGAGTGGAACTCTAGAAACTTCCTGTTAGAGGCAGGGCGGTGACATCAATGATGCCCTAAACCACCGAAGCCGCTGTGAGTAGAAAGAAGTACGACAGGAAGACACATTGTAAATTCCTTAGATATTGCTAAATTGACTTCGTTTACATAATGCAGTCAGCAACAATATCTCACATATTATGCCACTATTCTCAATTGTAATTTGTATGTGCTTTTCAATTGATTTTTTTCTGAGTTAATTTTTATGTTGTTTTTGTTGTTGATTGTTTTAGAGATACAGGTGTTTTTGAGTAAACGTTATGAACTTATAGGACATCTGTGTAAAGGGGTAGAAGATGATTACTTTTTGCCAATGCACATATGCTAGGAAATCTCATATAAAGAAGTTATACTTTTACAATCTGCCCCTGACTGTTAGGCAACTCTTCATGCACTTGTGTACGGCAGGTTCACGAATACTTCTTCCGTCAGAACGTAACCTACTAAACACCTAAGTTGCCTACCAACCAGAGACCAATGGCGCATGTGTAATTTTTTTGTTTGCAATATGCGAGAGTATTTTCATTGTAAAAACCCGTTGACCTCCTCTAAATTCCCTTGAAGTTTGTAAAAAATAATTTTCTGAGACACCTTTATTATCTAAATTATCTCAACAACCTATGAGCGGTTTCGATGGTGTGGCAGTTAGCGTATCGGACTGTAATACCTAAGTTCGCGGGTTCAAACTCGCTGGAAGCCGTGGAATTTTAAGGGCGAAAAAACCCTTCGTGCTTTTTCCTTCGGAGGGGAGAAAAGCCGGCTGTCCCATGTGGTCCCGTACGTGGAAGGGCACCAACAGCCCAAAAAGGACGGAGGTTCTTATGGTAGGCGGAAACGTCCGCATGGACACGAGTTTCCCAGCAATACCCACGTCGACAGCATCCAGGTGGATGCAGCGAAGAGACGGGTTGGGTGGTTCGAGCCACCCGGGCTTTAGTCCGGGCGATCTAGAGTTGGCTAGTCGTGGCTGCACTCGATACTCATGGGCAATTGAGTGGTGGTTCGTCTCGGCATTCTGTGGCACTTAATAAGACACCAATGATTGCCCGATCACCTAGTGTCTCTGAGCTGGCAGAGTGGTCCCACCCAGGCTTAATTGAGGAGGTGCCCCGATGGGATTCTGCGATCCGGCGTATCCGCATGCCAGCCCGAACACTTACGTGAGGGGGTTAGGATAAAGTCAAGCGCGTATGTGTCCACCCTTGGGAAGTATAATCGTACTGGTGAAACAAAACGATTGAAGTTAGTAGGACACATTGGGTATGCACTGTTCCATGTAGTAGACTTACTGCAAGTGAAATATACCCAAGTTCCTAAAAGAAGCCTCTCAGGTAAATTCAAATCGCCCGTTTTGTCGCCCGAGTGATATCGTCTTCCTCCGCTAGATGGCGAACGGAGCATAGCGGAATTTGCGTAGTCAGACGGAAGGGCCGGTCTGAATGCCACGGAAAATAAGGTATAATTGTCTTTGAACTGAGAATATCAGAGAGAGAGAGAGAGAGAGAGAGAGAGGAAGAAAGGGGGACAGCCAGACAATCAGGAATGAAGGTTCTCATAAGAGATCAGAATTTCGCATGGAGCCCTAGTTTAAAGCCGCAAGTGGTTCCCTTTCCCAAAGGTGGTTGCAGTGGTTGCGCTCGTGTGGTCGCAGGCGGTGACGTTCCCGGCCATGCACGTCATGATGTCCAACTGGGCGCCGCCCGAGGAGCGCGGGGTCATCGGCGGCATCGTCTACGCAGGTACCACAACGGCAACAGCTACAACAATAAGCTGCGCTGCGCTTGAGACGGGTTTGTGGAGGAACGAGCGAGAGGGTGGGTGAGTGTGTGCGCAGGCACGTCGCTGGGCACCATCGGCGCCACGCTGGTGGGCGGGTACGTGAGCGCGGCGGCCGGGTGGCCGTGGGTGTTCTACGCGCTGGGGCTGGCGTCGCTGCCGTGGTGCGCGCTGTGGGCGTGGCTGGTGGACGACCACCCGGCCACCGCCACCCACATCTGCCAGCAGGAGCGCCTGCGCCTCTGCGACCAGCTCGGCCAGCCGCGCGACGCCGCCGTCAGTACTCCCCCCCCTCTATCTCTCCGTCTCCCTCTCTCATTCGTTCTCTCTCCGTCTCTCTCTCCGTCTCTCTCTCCGTCTCTCTCTCCGTCTCTCTCTCCGTCGCACTCTCTCCGTCCCTCTCTCGCCGTCTCTCTCTGTCCTAGTTTCAATCTGTCTGTGTGTGCGTGTGTGTGTGTGTGTTTCTCTCTCTGTCTCTGCCTCTCTCTCTGTCCCTTTCATTTACATTTAGTTGCAGGTTCTGTACGACTCTGAGCACGTGTGGTAATATCCAGAAGCGCCGGACCAGTAAAAATATAATAGAATGTTCAAGATGATCTCATCCTGTAGATTTCGGTGTGAGAATCGTTTCTTGGAGACCTTTGACCTCGAAAATTTAGTTTTTAAATGCCCTAGAACGCTAGAATTTTTTTAAAAATGTTGAGGCTTAATGAAACGTACTCTCAAAATATCTGTTTCAATATCAGTGGGCCTTCAGTTCCTTCATATCGATTAGAGAATACCAATTTTGGGGAATATCGTATGTACGGTTTAGGTGGTAGCATTGCACATAGACATTGAGCCCAGACAGACATTTTGACGTCAATCAATTTTTCGGTATCAAACACCTTCGAAACATAGATTGTGACTACACAACGTGTCAGAGTAAGCAATTTACTATATTTAGTAACAGGATTTAACCACTTTTTCGTCACCAGGGCCCGGCAATTGGGTTTTTGTTCTGCCGAAAATTCGCACTTTTCCAGAGCACGATTAGAAAGGAGGGAAAGCAAAAACCGCCAGCCATTGAATACCTATTACTCTCGTAAAGCCGGCTTCGTGGCGCGTTGCAGGCGCTGGAGTTGCCCGTGCGAGCCGTTTGCTCGTCGGGCGCCTTCTGGGCGCTGCTGGCGACGCACTTCTGCAGCAACTGCGGCTGGTACATGTTCCTCACCGAGCTGCCGGGCTTCATGCAGGAGGTGCTGCACAAGAACATTAAGGAGGTGAGGCGCACGCGCGCACTAGCCGATTGGACCATTCCAGCGTCTCTCATTTCCGGAATTTCAAGATTATTCGAATTGTTTTCTTAATTTTTGAAATCTTGCATTAAAACAGTTTTGATCTTGAATAATTCAAGTTTTATTAATTTTAAAAATAGTTCCAATTTTATTTAGAAGAATAAAAAAAATATGTTGGTTGATTCAAATTTTATTTTGGATAATTCGGATTTTTCATATGATTAGTCTTATAACATAACACTATGAGGCTTTCCAACTCACTTTCGTACGTATTACATTAACGTAATTTTAGGGAAGAGAGGGACCTTGGAATATGTGTCCTTCTTTGCACTACTACTACAAATATGCAACTGCACACTGAAATTGTTGTCTGACTAACAATGTTACAGAAATGGATTTGCAAGACGTTCAATATCGCTATTCATAGCTTGAAAATCATTAAACCTAGCTTTCAAATTCAGAATTGCTTTCGAATTCAGTTCGAGCGTCGTTTTTAATTCCGCCCACAATGTCACGAAGGTCGAAAAAAGAAATATACCGTGACCTCTTGACCACCCACGCCCCTAGTTTTGCCGAGCGCTTTAGATATGTTCAACTGCCCCGCAAATCAATCCCGTATCACCATATCACCTGCCAATGCCATCCATCACATCGACTCTCACAGGTGAATTTCCGGGCTCGTAAACGGAGAGCCTCTCGCCGATGCTCGACAGTCAACGGAGCGGAGCCAGGTGGATTAAAAGAGCGCCTGATAACAATAAACTTCTTCCCGTTAGATAGGCCATGAAAGCATCGCACTAGCTAGACAGCTGGGTCGAATTCAGCCGCTGTCTGGGGAGATTTGTAGCGACAGGCTACTCTTGTTTACAGTTTCCTGTAGTTTCTATGACCAACACCAGGGGAATGCCGGAGTAGTTCGCTAACAAACGGATCACAGACCGCGCGCGATCTTTCCTTATTATTCCTTGAACGATCCTCTCCCCTTACTTACACACATAAGTGTACATACCTAGTGCATGCCCTGAACTACAACACTTATCGAGGGATCAGTTCGGGGCTTAGAGTTTGTCTCGATTCGGGCGCCGCCTCGTTGGTGGGAGATCCCTGGCCGGGGAAAATCCCCGGAAACCGACGTAGGTCGGCGCCGGATCCCGCAATCTAGCGGGGAAAGATCACCGCCACCTCCAGCGGTAAAAACGCGCACTACACTTACGGGAAAAAGACCTTTAGCTGTTGACGCGCCTGGAATCACTAATCAAAACCTTCGCCTTCAAAACGTGGGCATTTCCACTGTCGCGCCGCCGATCTCTAGCATTATTTTAGCCTCGTAACTATCGTCCCCAGTTTCACAACGCAGACATCTCCACTGTCCCTTAGCCGAGCACTAGCATCACTTTTGTCGTGAAACTATTTGGTCAAGGAACCCTCCCCCCTCACCTTCGCCTACAGAACGCGCATCTACACCGTCCCGAACCCGATAACCAGCACCAATTTGGCCGCGGAACGATCGTCTTCCGTTTCAGAACGCGGGCATCTCCGCCGTCCCGTACGTGCTCATGTGGCTGCTGAGTATCTCTTTGGGCTGCGGGCTGGACGGCCTGCGCATGAAGGGACTGATAGGCACAGGCGCCATGAGGAAAATCGCCACAGGCATTGGTGAGTGTTTTATCTGCTTCTCCGCGCCCTCTGACCGGGAGTTCAAGGTTCGAGTCTCGACGATGACAGGATTGTCGACACTACCCAAACGCTAGGTGGAGTTCAGACACTGTCTGGAGGAGAATTCTAGTAGACGGCTGCTTTGATCGGTAGTTTTCTGTGGTTTCTCCGATCAATAACTGGCGAATACTGGAGCAGTGCCCTAATAAACGGGCCAACTACTGTGCGCAATCTTACCTTCCTCTTCCTTGTTCTATCTTCCCCCCTTACACACACGTACACTAACATGCACTGCACTACCATACATGCCGGGAGCCCGGGATCGTAGAGCTTGCCCCGGCTGGGGCGGTGCCGTGTGGGTGGGAGATACCGGGTTGACGAAACTCCAGCTAGCCGACGGTAGGTCGGCGCGGGATCTCGTCATACAGCGGGGGAAAGACCAGTGCCACCTCCTCAGTGAAACATTCGCTACACTTACGGGCATAATGACGGTGTTAGTTGGCGTGCCCGGAATCACTAATCAATAGAATCAATCTGGTCACGAAACGCGTTCGACCTTCTCTTCCTCGACGCCTCACTCTACACACACACACACACAGACACACACACACACACACACACACACACACTAACATCGCAGCTCACTGCCCGCCTCCCGCAATCATTTTGGACTGTGAATGGAATGTCTCTGATGGGCGATCCTAGTATGCACAATTAATGTAGTGAATACCCGCCTATTGTTAATGTGTCAGTGCACTTCCTCTGTTGACTTGCAGCATTCGCAATTCCCAAATTCCTATTAGACATACCCCAAGGTCCAGTAAATGCTTTCTAATGGAGGTGCCGTATACGATACATACTAAGTATTGAAGTTAAGGTATAACGGAATTCATCTAAGAAGGTACCGCGTTTGTTAAGATTGATTGGGTATGAGAACCGCAAATCGTCTATATACGACAGAAATAACATGGGTGATTGAAACCAAATACTATGCAGATTATACAGGACACTTTGAACCTTTCTCATACTTTTAATGGGAGACAACTTCTCACTAGCGAACGTAGTAACATGACCTGGAAAGTCGGCGACTTATTCAAATTTCAATACATATACAATAACTTTCGAATCACTCTGCAAAACGCAAGTAAACATAATCGTAAGTAAACTAATATTTTTTCAAACTTATACACTTCGTACTTGATATCACAATGGTTATGACAGGTCGGGCCACTAGGGTCGCTAGCTTCAAGGGTCTCCAGTTATATCGCCGAGTGTTCTGTGTGTGTGTTGAAACCTACAGTATTTCTTAAAAACTCTGCTTATTCACAGCCTCCCTGATCCCTTGCGGTTGCATGATCGGCATCAGTTTCATCGGATGTGATGCGGTGGCGGGCACCGCGCTCATCATAGTGGCCGTGACGGCGTGCGGCGGCATGTTCGTAGGCTTTCTCTCCAACCACATAGACCTCGCCCCGAACTTCGCAGGTACGTAGATGGCGCTGGCAGCGCACGTCCAGGAACCTTTGAATGTAAAATATGAAGAACAATATACTCATATTATATTTTCCCACCTTACGTCGCATACGGGTTTTTGCTGTATTTAGGCGAAAATCAAATCAATGAAATAATGAATGATCAAAAAGAGGTGGGTCAGGGGGACATTCCTCCATCCTCCAACACTTTTTTGTAATGTTATTAAATTTAGTACTTTTATTGGCCTCGTATTGATTACATCACATCCAAAGAAGAATCCCTAACATGAAACTACATTTTTTATTAAATTTTCAACCAATATTTAAAATATGGTAACGGTAAATGCCCCCCTAAGCAATCACATCTCGATGTAGCCCACGGAGGGTGGGGTGAAGGTAGGGCTTCACCTATTCCTCGCCGACGGCCCCAGGAAAGATCCTGGTACAGGATCATTAGTACTAGATCACTTGGAAACGAGGCTGAGTCGACTTCAAAGCCACTCAGACTGGAAATAAAAAAACAACCCCCCCCCCGCTAACTCGAGATTCGAACGTGGGTCCTTCAGATCATGAAGCCCCACCACTGAGCCACTGTGGCTCCAATATTTGAAATTGTTTTTATTATTTCAAAAATGACAATGAGGGTCCGAAATTAAATGCCTCCCCTTAAAAGTACTTTCTAAATCCACTACAGCGGGGATGAGGTAGGGATAGGAAGAGAAGGTCTAGAAAGAAGGAGAGGGAGAGAGAGTGGAGGAAAAAAGGCAAGATGAACAAGAGAGAGAGAGAGAGAAGGAAAAAGAGGAAGATGCGAAAGATACATGGGAAAGAGGAAGGGATTGAGAAAAGGAGAGAGAGAAAGGGAAGGAAAAAGAGGGAGAAAGGAAAGGAGGAAGAGAAGAGGGATAAAGAAAGTATGAGAAAAAGAGAAATGAAAGGGGCGGCAAAGAGAGGAAGGGAAAAAAGAAGGTAGAAAATGATAGAAAAAGCTAGAAGTTGTTAATTACCAGAATTGTCTAGATTAATCTCAGGATAATTATTCATATCCAACTGTAGGGTCATAAAGTGTGGAAGAAAAAAAACAGGAACATGTAAATAAAATATTATTTAACTTTACAGTTTTCATCAATTTCCCTGATAAGTTACGAATGTCACGTTTTGCCTATGCGAAATGTATTCCTTTTTAGCGAATTCAGTTCACTTCATTTTATTTTCATATTTTTCTTGTAGGAAGGCTGATGGCAATTACTAACACAATTGCAACAATCCCTGGTATTCTGATGCCCATTCTTATTGGAGTATTGACAGAAGGTCAAGTAAGTACCAAATCAATTGACGTGTAATATTTTGTTGAGAAATACTTGTAGTGTCCATCGTTTGTAGCATCCATTCTCTCATACTGAAGAACGACAACAGCTGACATGATGGCGTAAATTATTATTTTAGTGTCAGTCATTTTCGCCGCATACTTTAGAAAGATCACTGCTTGGCCACGACTTGCAACATAACTGTATGTTATGTGCATGCACTCGTTATGTCAGTGCGTTCGTTTACAGATAACTCATTTGTAAATGGCTTCAACAATTTCTCTGGTAATTTCACCGCCTTGCATGACGTTCAGTTGTTTCCCGACAAGTCAAAGTGGTCCCTTCTTAGAAGAATCTCCTCCATACATACATATGCTACTGCGAAAAACGGTATTTTGAGGCAAAAAAGTCGTATTGTGTCTCTGATATCGATAAGATCGTTGTCGTTCCTATTTATGTACTGAATTTCTTTTTCAATTTCTTTGTGTTGTTATAATCCTCGTTTAGTGGGCTGATAATACCGAAAAATTGGTTTACGGCAAAACGTTCGTCTGCCTGTGATCAACGCATTCGGCTAACCGTAAGTTGACGTGAGTTGACAAAATTGACGTACCCCCATCGATTTGACTGATGTCAAGACCCCTCGAATTTAAAACAAATATTTTAATTTTGCGGAGTATTTTACAGGAGGCCTCAAGGAAATTTTGTAATTTTTCTCAAAAATTACTTCAAATTTTTGGGCTAAATAGTTTTATGATATAGAGTTAATTACATTTATAAAAGTTGCGCATTCCCTGTTTTCTTTGAATTCTCGAAAATTTTCCAGTTAAATTGTCTAAATTCAGTCAAAATCTTAGAAAAAAATTAGAAAATTTAACAATTAAAAAAATGTTATTGTGTTATTCGTCCACTACAATATTTGCTTAATTAAATTATTTATTGGCTTAATGAAATTTATTCTTCAAAATTAGATATTTAAATGAGGTTATTCACAATCTGATCAAAATATAAGAAGTTTTCGCGTAATTTTGCGTGAAATAAAGGCAATATAAAAACACGATTTTCTCAAAAACGGCTACACATTTTTTCGTTGATCGTTTTGTGCGGATAATACTAAATGCACTCAATAACATGTCATTAAAGCCATTTTGATGTGCTCTTGTCTTTTTCAAAAATGATACAAATGTATTTTTATAAATTATCTCTCATGTCTTTTTTCAATGCATTAATGTTTTTGTGAGCACAAGTGCTTCAAATGTTTTCTTATAACGTGTTTCGAAAACTCAAAACTTCTCTGTGAAAATGAGCTCAAAATTGCGTATTTTCAAAAACGCTCAAATGGTACTTTCTCAAGACCGGCTTCAATTTTTATCAATTAAAATTTGCTTATGGAACCATGTTTCACAATTCTAAAGTATTCTTGAAATCATATTGCAAGTCTACAATTAGGGGACCAAAATATTGAAAAAATGAGAAAAAAATAAGAGCGTAGGTTTCCGCGGCCGGAGTCAGTATTTACTGGGCTGTCCATGGCGAAGGTGCCGACGTTTCGGTCGCCATTCTGCGACCTTCCTCAGGGCGTAATGGCACCCGGACAGCCTAGTAAAATGTGAAAAAAATATTTTAGGCGACGATAGGCAGCAACTGGGAGGTACCTCATTAGAGGTGCTACAACAGCTCTAACTTTATCACATTATTTCTAAATTCTGCAATTTTCGAAAATTCAGAGAGTTCAAGAAAAATGATACTGCACAATTTTTAAAATGTTTTTTCTCAATCCTGGGGGAGGGGGATTCTGAAAAATTTGGAGCCGTTTTTGAGAACAAAATTATAAATTGAATTAATTTCCAGAAGAAATTACTCGAAAATTACACTTTTTTTTTTCAAAAAGTCATTCGTAACATTATTTACGGATGTTATTTCTTCTTCAAAATTGGGAAAATCTTTTGAACGAGCCCGTCCCATACAAGCAATAAACATTATTCTTATTACTGTTATTATTATTATTATTATTATTATTATTATTATTACTCTTACTACTACTACTACTACTACTACTACTACTACTACTTAAAGTGACTAAATTGCTTATTTTCAAATTATTAAATTGCAGGAAACATTGGCAAGATGGAGTATAGCATTCTATATCACTGCTGCACTCTATGCTCTCATGTTTATTGTCTTCACGTTTTGTGGATCTGGTGAAGAACAACCATGGAATAACCCTGATGAAGTGATGGGAGGTTTACTTGATCCAGAATACAATCCAGCGAACTTCATTGATTCACTTGATCCTTATTTCACCCATGAAAGAACACAAGTGACAGCATGAATTAGTTTATTTGAATTGATTTGTTTTTTATCAATTTAAGCTTTATTATAAAAGAGAATAGTGAGGATTGAAAGGACAAATAACTAAAGGGGTAGGGAAGTAAAGAACAGCAGACCAGGGCAAAGAGGAAGAGTTAAATTATAAAATATTGGTAAAGAAAACACCCTTTGGCTTATTTTTTAAATGGATAATAAGAACATTTTCATCATGATTGATAGACTTAACATTCATCTTAAAATATTAGTTGAAAGACTATTCACCATAAAAGACTGAATAAAAACACTGAATCTATAATTTCAACAATTCACAACTGATTTTTATATATACCTTGTATTTCAACCTATCATGTATGAATTCAATACATGCATTTAATTTTAATGGACATGTGAAAAGTTGTGGTGAATTCTTAACAGTGGGCTTTGAAAATTAAGTTCCCACTGAAAGAAATTTAGCATTAGTTACAATCCAATCTTCATGGGTCATATCCTTGCTTGTACCCGAGTAAAAAAATTAAAGAAAATTCATATTTATGGATGAACTAACTCTAGTCACCACTTAGATTTTTGTGAATAAAGTTCAGCATATTTTTAGCTATTTATTATAATAAAATTTGGAAAAGACAGAAACAAAAGATATTGTTGTGATTGATATCATATTTTATTATACAATTGTACCTAATGTTAGATTAGAGGTAATTACTAACTTTAGCTTACTTATAACTAGTCTAACGGCACAACAACGCTACTAATAGATATAAAAAGTTATTGTATTATTTAACACTACTACAACGTTGAACATTGTTCTCAGCATTTTCCAAAATACAAATAAGAAAGGCACAATATATTGAAAACAAAATTTTCTCATTGTAACAGGAGGGCGGGGAGAGAAGTTTATGGATTGGTTGACATCTCATGAATATCTTAATAATAAAATATATTTAATTTTATAGAGTCTTGGAATAGCAAAACCTATATATCTGTCATTGTTTTGTTTAAATATTTTTGTTAGTGAATGTGTTTTCTTTACTGTGTAATTTTATAATAAATAACTAATGTGCAACCCAAGAAAAAGGGACTCTAACCTTTCTTCATGACAATTTCAATATGTTATTTCATTTTAATATGACATCTATGAAATCAAGATCTCAGGAAAATTAGAAATTGTATTGAAATTTGAAGGAGAAGAAGCAAGGAAAAATGAAGAAGGAAGAGAAAGAAAGGAAAAAAGAAAGAAAAAAAACATTTGGTAATGAGTACCTTTTGTTTTTTTCAGTCTGTAAACACTCTGTAGTGTAGTGTAGTGCAAGTCAGTGGTTGAAATAGTGTCCCTCAAAGTAATGTTTTTTTGTCCATGCGACCGACTTGCTTTTACTTTGTTTCATAATTTTGATGGAGCTGACAGATAATCTAAAGAATATGATATTGTTCTTTATTTATCAATGAGCTACAGTAATTGACTAGATCATTCACTGGGAAACAAGAAAGGTAAAGATCCAGAGATAAGTATTATTTCAGTGGATGGAAAAGTAATATTTTTGCATGGAGATCATGCATTATTAAAATTATGAAAATGATATAGTATTACCCAGACAAGCAAGGCCTGAAGTCCGGGCTCCTCAATCCAAAATTGGGAATTTTCTTACAAATTTCATTTGATACAAAAATATATTAATGTAAATGAATAATTTTCTAAGTGACAACATAAACCAGGAAAAAGGGCACTTCATCTAATAACCCGGCAATATGCACACCATTTGTATTAACGAATTAATGCACACAGGATGACTCAGACACCCTTCAGTAAAAATGACAAGAAAACAGTAAATAATGCTCTCTTTTGTTACTTTAATAAATAAGAGTGTATTTTAAAGTTTATATAAAGACTTTGGAAACAAGGACAGGTAATTTACAAATTTCTATGAATTTTCTTTTTCCAAACTACCTTTATGAAACTTCAAGTGTTTAATGCATGAACTTCACACATTGAAGAGAGTGATGTATGGTAGTTCTTTTGCTTTTGCATCATGAATTGATAAAAACTCTTCGGTGCTAAAAAATTAAAATAATCAAAATGTAATAATACTAATAATGTACTGCAAAAATTTTACAACGTAATATAAATGTAGTACTGTATCATATTATGAATATATTAGTCAACCTAAGAATAGTTAATGTATATTTCTCACCAGTACTTTAGTTCACAACAGAAACTAGCATAAAAGGCATTATGTAAAAGAGGAAACTAAAATAAAAATGCATCGATGACCCGATTCACCTAATTTTTGTTCAATGTTGCCAAATAGTTGAGCAGCTTTTGTTGCTACATGCAAATACACTGCCAAAGTTTTAATTCATTTAATGTTTTGAATTATTTTAAATAACAAGGAATAGATAAATATAAATTTTTAATAACATAACATTTTCAGATGATACTGCAAACTGATCTTCACTTAAAATGTAAATGTCATAAAGATCTCAGCTTATAGTGTCATGAATAAAAAAATAGTCATTTTTTGCTTTTTAGTACTGAAGACTTAAACACATAGAAAATTGAATATGCCATTCAAAATACACATTATTTCTATTATAAAGATTAATTGAGAATAAATTGTTAAAAAATTAAATTTAATATTTAAAAAATGTTTCTATTATTTCAATACATTTTTATAATTACTTTTTTGAAAGTAAGATTCAATATGAATTTTATTTTAAATTGAATAGACAATAAAAATAAATTAATTGTAAGATATAAAAGCTAAAAAAATAAATTTCAAAACACATTCAAAATTTCATTAGTATCAAAATTAGTAAAATATGGCCAGGTTAAGCAATAATTTTTTCATAAGGAAGGATATTTCCCCAAATTTACACACGACATTTTTGTTACAAATATACTCCAAAATAATAATGTTTTATTCCATACTCAAACAAAAATTAGGAGTTGGGTTAAGAGAAAAATAACATTTTAATCCTTTTTTAGTAAGAATTATTACAATGAACTGAATGCAATAAAATTAAGAAAACAAATGTGAATGCTCAATCCAAACAATTTTGCACAGAATAAAACACATCAGACAAACCAATAATCTTCCAATATTGACATATGATGTGCAAGGAATTCAGATTTAAAACGTGTGTGTAATAGTTAGGTATGAAACAAGTCCTCTAAATTAGTTTTTAAGAATGAGGCTGGAAGGTTAACTGCGAGATAGAGTGATAGCAAAGCCATAGACTGAGGTATGCATCATTACTCTAAGGCAAAACCTAGTAGTTAACCTTCCGGCCGAGTCCATGAAGACGAATATAGTGTTACATATAATGTGTTTTGTATTTTGAAGTTACTATAGGTATTCAAAATAAACATTTAACACTTTCATGAGTTAAGAATTGCCATTACTCTTGATGTTCTGTAGCAACGGTTGTCAGTACTGGGTCTTGGTACTGTTTTTAAATATCCATCGCAGTGCGCGGTAGTACGAAAAGGCCTGAGAGAGACAAGTGGAACAAGGCAGGGAAATAAGGACTAAGAGGGCAAGGGGACAAAATGGACAACAATTGGAAAAGGGGCAGAAAGTGACAAATCAGACGAAGGGACAGCATGAGACAAAGGTGCAGAATGCATCAAAGGGACAAAATGGAACAAGATGGATGTCGGGACACAGTCGGACAAGGGGTCAAAATGAGCCATGGTGGCAAATGGACGGGGGACAAAACAGTCGGAACGGAACTAAAAGAACAAGGGGGAAAAAGGGACACGTTTATCCAAAGATTTAGGAGTACTGGTAAAATCTAAACCTGAGAGTCAGTTAAAATATGCTTAATGGACTCTAGTATTTTAACTGCCGTTGCTATGGACGCGCTTTTAATGCGTTGTTTAGATGGGTTTAGATGGTTTGTTTCCCCTTAGCTAAGCGTGTGTTTACCGACGTGTGCGAGATATTAGTTGTCGCAGTCATCAAACCCTACGTATTATGACAATGCTACAATTATTGTTCGCTGGTCAATGAGTTTTCACATTTGTACGAAGGCTAACACTCTCCCGATCCTTGAAAATAATTCAAGAGAACAAGAGATATTTATTTTTAAAATTCGTTTAATGCATAATTTACTCATGTAATTTCGAATTTCGCAAATTTATTTGATGTTTGTAAATGGTTTTTAAATAAGATATCACATATTTTACCCCTTTTAACATATTTATGACATTTTATTATCCTTTTCAGTACATTTTTATGTACATATTATGCTATTTACTGCAAATATTTTCGGACTTTAGTAATTACGGGTGGTGTATGCAAGACACCTTTTTATATTTTAGGGTATTTTTAATTTCGCTTAGAAATAAATGCAAACGTAAATGAAGAGTTTAGCTTGTGTTATATTCCTTCTTTCAATTATTTATGTTTTAGAATTTAAGAGCATCAATTTAATTGTTTTTTGTCACAATTTGATATCAGATGAAATACCTGCGGCAGAGGTCAATGCCCTTTCCCGAAATGTCTCAAATGTTCCCCTGGAATAAAAGGGTATACAAATTTTCGTAAGCATCGAGCCTGAAGAGAGTCGCGTTCTTTCGTATTACATGGTTAATATAATGCTGTATGAAAATGAAATCATTTAGTTTATTTTGATTTGTCCGAATCACAGAGCATCCGCTATGGTCCGAATATAGCATCTGAATTGCGCGGTTTTGTCTCATCCAACACATCAAGTCAAAGAAGATCAAAAAGTAATTCTTCACCATGACCCTTTCTTTTATATTTCATTTTGTTGGGTTAAATTAATTAGCTGAGGAGCTCTTAATTTCACATGCGTTTAATATTACACAAAGTAATGGAAAAGAAAATAATATTAGGACGTTTAAGGAGAATGTGTGACATTTAAAGAAAGAACTGTCTTGTCTTCATAACTTATGATGTTTGGGGAATGGGAGGGCAAGTCTTCGTAAACGCCACGTTGGAAGTGTTGACAGGGGGTTGATTGCAAATTAAAAGACATTTGAGTGATTGCAAGTTGGTGTGTTGTAGTCTTAGTTGTAAAATTCAAAGGTACTCCTTATTGTTGGTAAATGTTTATGTAATGCTGTGTACAACATTTTCGAGTTCTTGGATCGTAGTAGAACTAACATAACCGGCCACATCCCACTAGATTAGTAATATTTTACGTTCGCTGTGCAACTTGTTTGTTAATTTACCGATTGCCAAGTTTTATTTAAGATAACTTGTATTTTTTTATCGGCAACTTAATCGTTACTATTAGTTGTGTGGAAATAATTTAATTCTGGCTTAACTTACACTTAAATAGATTTTCTGTGGCTTTTTTAAAAAAAATTTATTAGCTGGGCGCTTTTTATAAAATTATTGTTATATTTTATTGCAGTGTTTCGCTGAAGCTGCCAAGATGAAGGTGAAGGAAATCGACAGAACAGTAAATGTTGCCTGGTCTCCAGCAACTCAATATCCAATTTTGTTGGCTGCTGGTACAGCAGCTCAGCAACTTGATTCTTCATTTAGTACATCTGCTGCATTAGAGCTATATTCTCTCAATTTGGGTGAACCAGGTCTAGATATGGATCTCAGAGTGTCAGCTCCTAGTGATTACAGGTTTAAATCATCTCTAATACTTTATATGATTTATAATTTCCAAAACATTCCATGTAATTAAATAATGTAATATTTATTTGGTAGGTTCCATAAAATTGCTTGGGGTGCATATGGACCTGCCCATGAAAAAGGAAGTGGTATTATTGTGGGAGGTTGTGATGGTGGTCGCATTCAGATATACAATGCTTCTAAATTGTTGTCTGGAGAGGATGGTCTTATTGTATCCCAGGAAAAACATACTGGTCCAGTACAGGCACTAGATTTCAATCCATTTCAGGTACATTGAATGTAATTACTGAGATTTACTTTTTTTTGCTTATAAATTTTGGAGTATATATTATTGTATTTTTCAATCACATTGTGGTTGCTATCTTAGAATTTTGTTCACTACTAGCAGATTTGGTTAAAATTTGGTATACGGAACACCCTTAGAGAAACGTGGCGGATGGGCTTAAGCCCTAATTACTGTACGTGCTCTAATAGAAATGAATAAAACTTACGAATAAGCAATTTTCATGGTTCGCCCTTTATATGCTTTGTCCCCGCCGCATTATAACTCCAATTTACTTTCAAAGGCAAGTTTTCTCGCTTCGCTCGCCCGGATCCAAGTCACGGCGAAGCTCGGTCCTTCGGCCCTCGCGTTCACTATAAACATTCTTGAGTCTATCCAACGCATAATTACCAATTCACTTTTATAAGACATCACTTTTCAAGAAAGCCCCCAGAATTCTAACTGCATAGTTAACGCCGGAATGGTGCGAAGTGCCGGTTTAAATGACTTCCCTAGGTTGTACCGTATACTACATTTCAGCTGCAGATTTTGTTGTTGGAATTGTCTAGAAATGATGATCAGTGCAATATAATCCATTTCTAGTGTCATTTTACATCAGGTCTGAAATACCAAATTTGTGATCATTTTATTTGTATAAAGTGAGCAAATATTGAACATTTGGTTTTCTTTTTGCCTTCTGAGTGCAATAACTTGTATCTTGTTTTTCAGAGTAATTTGCTGGCTACTGGTGCTTCTGAGTCAGAAATATTCATCTGGGATCTTAATAATGTTTCTACCCCAATGACTCCTGGTGCTAAAGCTCAACCTCCTGAAAATGTTGTTTGTATGTCATGGAATCGACAAGGTACATTTTGGCTCAAGTTGACAAATATTAAGCTGTTAAAGTTCAGTTTCTCAAATAATTTTACACTTTTACCACTTTTCTTTCATGATACTGAGTGCTGATGATAACAAACACTTGCTTTTGCTAACAAAAGCTAACGAAATCAGTGCATTCCAGTTACGAAAATTTTACAAAATTAACAAACAGTTCTTGCCTCCTTGTGTATTTGTTATGAACGGGATATGTTCTTGCTCCTTCTTAGTGGGAATTAGCTAAATTTGAATTATATCCTTTTGTGAGGACCTGGTAAGTGGAATAAAAACACAAAAATTTGATTTTTTTTGTAAATAATGAAAAGAGTTGGTATTGATAGCGAAGTTTTTGGTTGCTACTAGCACTTTGAAAATTGCAACAACATCTTTCTCACATGTTGATGTTGATTGTTATAGTTTCTATATTTTTGCAGTAAGACTTTTTATTCTTGACCTACCTGTAATATGCTAAAGTCTAAATAAAATAAGAATGTGATTGACAGTAGCATGTGGAGGGGGTTGGCGTTGCAGTGTATTATGCAGACTTATGTTATGATATAGCTACAGATATATGGGATTAATATTAACAATGGAAATAACAACACTTGCTAATCACAATTCTTGCTCATGCAACACATTTTATCTTATGTAACCTCTCTGACTACACTTGTAATGACATTTGACCCATTAACAGTGACAGTTGAGCTTGTGATTTAATTGTTCTACAATTTGAGGGATATGAGATAAAGCATGTGTCAAAGCATATGATTCACGGTTTTTTAGGTTGAGACACTTACCGTGAGATAAGAAACTGTTCACCACTGTTCTCTGAACTTTTGTAGTGTTTTTGACAATGTTAAATGCAATTTCATTTCAGTTCAACATATTCTTGCCTCTACATTTGCTCAACGTTGTGTGGTGTGGGATCTTCGAAAGAATGAACCAATTATAAAACTCAGTGATGGGACAACGAGAGTAAGTAAAATATTTAGATTCGAAGCCTGAATTTCGGTGCAAATTATGACCCTTCCAAATTGCATTTCTATTCTTTATTAGTTATCTTCTTCAAAGTACTACTTCATTTTGTGTTTATTTTATCATTCCATTGTCATTCCATTTTTGAAAATATTTGTTGTTATTTGAATTTTAATGCTTTAGTGATAGTTCTAAATAATTTTTTTAATTTTTGTAGATTCGATGGAAAGTTGTTGCATGGCATCCAGAAGTTGCAACACAGATGTGCTTAGCTTCAGAAGAAGATCAGAGTCCTGTTATTCAGCTGTGGGACCTCAGATTTGCTACTTCACCCCTTAAAGTATTGGAAGGTCATCAGCGGTAAGTACATCAAAATAAGAAGACAAGAAACTTTATGTGAAATAATAGTTGACAGGTCAACTGTGAACAAAATTACATCAAGATTATTGCAAGCACCCAGACTGACAGCAGAATTAAAAGGTGCAATGATGTTCTGTAAACATATATGACTCATTATGTTCACCAGCATTGCTACAACAAAATGAAATCAAGACAATCATTTGAACAGTGGAAATCAATTCGGAAGGGGTATTAGAAAACTGAGAATGTTGTTGGACTTTAGCGATGATGGAGATGTTTCTACTGACCAGAACAACCAATGTAAATAACAATTGCATGCAATCATGACACAATTGAAACGATGGCACCGTACACAATGTACACCAAGTCAAATCTGGAAGACCTTGCATAGCAGCAAACCCTGTGCCCACAGTTATGATTTTGGAATGTTTTGACCACTCACTGCAGAAATCTACAAAGCAATGTGCATGAGAATTTGAAATTAGAAGAACTAGTGTGTGTTGGATTATTAAAATAACAAAGTTGAATGTTTTAATCTCAACACTTCTGCATGAATTAAATGAAGATTATCCTGATCTGGAGTGTTTTCAAAACAACGATGCCACAGGACGAGGCCTTCATATGGAGAAGTAGTTCAATCCAACGATGCACAAAGCAAGTTGAGCTTAACTGTTAACTGCCGTAATTGTTTCTTCTGGGTTGCAAGCAATCCACATGTTTTTGTGGAAAAGGCTGTTACGTTACCTGGAACTAATATTTGGCTTGGGTTTCATCTGAGGATCTCATTGGACCATTTTCTTTTCATATAAATTCAGCTTTGTTATGTTAATACATTTTTTTCTACACTTGACATGTGTATACATTTTTTGGCACTGTCTACATTTTATTTCTTAACTTTTGTTGCTTTTAAAATAGTTGGATTAATTCATTTGTATACTTATTGTACATACTGCAAGTGTGTAAATTTGTTGTAATGTGAACATGGTATACTTAATTTGAATTATCTTTTGTCTTCAGCAAAGAATTGATATTGGTGATGATAAAGAAAATTTTTAATTACTGATGTGTGTTTTCAAAACATTTCCAGAGGAGTGTTATCAATTGCTTGGTGTATGCAGGATTCAGAACTGCTTGTCAGTTGTGGAAAAGACAATCGAATTTTGTGTTGGAATCCAGAAAGTAGTAATCCGGTAAATATTTCTTTTCCATACTGTAGTTTGACAACATTTGGAGTGTTGAATTGGTTTTTGATGAGGTCTGTGACTTTCGTCTTTAATTTGCGATTTATTTCAGGGAGGGGAAGTAGTTTGTGATGTTGCTACCACTAACCAGTGGAATTTTGATGTCTCATGGTGCCCTCGGAATCCTGCCTTGATAGCTGCCTCAAGTTTTGATGGACATGTCAGTATTTATTCTCTACTCGGAGGACAACAACAAATGCAAACTAGTAATAAGGTAAGTAATATTTAACCAGCAACTTTGTCTCACCAGCTGAGATGGCTCTAGAGCAGCAGCAGTTGTCACCGCAGTGTGTCTGACTGGAAGATCTAGAGCCAGAGTTGGTTTTCCAATATTAACTGGATTGCTAGATTGAATTCAGTACTTGCCTGGAGGAGCATTCTAGTTAATGGCACTGGGAGAGGTGGCTCAGGACGTCAAATGATGTCGCTGCAGGGCCTCTAACAGGGAAGTCTTGGTTTGAATCATTACAATGGCAGCATTTTCAACACTACAGTACCAGCAGTGTACAAGAGACTCTCGCAGTTTGATATGCTGTTGCCATACATTACTACGCTCATAGCAGCACCTACAAGACCAATAAATTAAATCTGAAAACATTAATACTTACTAATAGGCGTAACCACATCTTGATATCATGTACATAATCATTGCTACAGCTGAACCTTATCACCTCCACAACTTTGTGCGAGTCAGATGAGTGGCAACTCAGAATGCTGGCTGTGAGAAAGTAAACAAATTTTCACAAGCTGATTGCTTCAGAGCAGGTCACATGGCGAGAGAACTGTCAGAGATGCTTATACGCTGCCAGTACTACATAGGTTGTATTCAACCACTGTCTGGAGAAGAATTCTAGTGGGCAGCTGCTCTGATTAGTAGTCTTCTGTGGTTTCTCGGATCATTTCATCATCATTTCTAGGTGAATGCCAGAGCAGTACCCTGCCAAACTAGCCACAGACCGCAAGCGATTTTTCTTTACTCTTCCTTGCCCTACCCTCTCCCTTACATATACACACTTACACTAACATGCATTACACTACCACACGTCAGGAGACCAGTCAAAAGCTTGACCCAGCTGGGAAAGTGCCCTGCTGGTGGTGGGAGATACCGGATTGGGGAAAACCCAGGTAGGTTGTGCCGGATCTCACCATCTAACGAGACCTTCTGAGGAATATCATACTCTATGCTACACCATACTGCTCTGATGAGTAGTTTTTCAAGGTTTCTCTGATCATTATTAGGCAAATGCTGGAGCCTTACCTTAACAAATGGACTACAGACCGTACATGATATGCCATTCTTCATCCTTCTACCTTCATCCTCCCTTACACTCTCACATACACACACGCACACACTTATTCTTCCATGCCCTACAATCTCGCATAAGTCAGGAGACCAGACAGGAGCTTAGAGCTCGTATTGGCTGGGGCTGTGCTTCATTGGGAGAGGTACCAAGAGAGAGGAAACACCAAAAGCTAATCAGTGCCATATCTCAAGTTCCAGCAGGTCACCATCTTCCAGAATGTAATATGCACTACACCTATGATATTAATGATTATAGCAATTGCCATACCTGGAAACAAATCAATCAGTCAGTATCAGCAATGAATTAAATGCTTGCTTTTTGAATGAGTTTAGGAGGATGATGCTATAAAATTATTTGGTATTTCAATTGTATGAATTGTATTCTATGATATTCAAATTGATTATGCAGTACCTCTACTGAAACAAGTTTGTAACTCTTCTGACTTATCTCCAAAGTTAACCCTTTGTCCTTTATCACATAAAGCACAATCAGATGTTGAGCCATAAGTAACTATTAGCTCCCAGAAAACCTTTTAAGGAGAATGGATAATGTAAAGGGGGGGGGGAACCCATGTACTTGGTAGGCTGAAGTACTCTGATCCGAAAATATGGGTACATACATAAGGGAACAGGTAAGTTTGCAGCTCTCTGTCCTCTTGTCCCATTTCTGAAGAAAATGAAGCAGATTAGTACAAGGTAGAAATTCTCATGATGTGTTACACAGCATGTAACTTTGTTTACCTGTTATATTGTAAAATATTGAGACATTTTATGTATGATTTTTAGGTTTTAATTTTTCAATTTGCATTATAAAGTCAGCATTAAAATTTTTAATGTGTGATAGTGCAGTATTATGTTATGATAACTCAAGTGAGATAATTGACATGAGTATATTCTAATGAAGTTACTATTTAGTAATGTCTCCATTTCATCTTTGTAGATTGCTGATTCTTTCCCTGGAATGGAAGCGTATGCCCAAGCTCCTGTAACACAACAACATCAGGTTCCAGTAGATTTACGAAAACCACCAAAGTGGCTTCGAAGACCTGTTGGAGCTTCTTTTGGTGTAAGTCCATCTTTCCAAAAGTTTACGTTATCCTATACTCTGACAACTTCAATATAATGAAAATAGTAATCCTATTTACCCTTTAGTTTGGTGGCAAATTGGTGATATTTGAGAATGCGACAGCAGCTGAAATAGCTGCAGCTGGTGGTGGACCACCCATGAGAACTATTCGTGTAAGCCAAGTGGTGACAGAACCGGAGCTTATTCAGCGTTCGACATTGCTTGAGTCAGCTTTGCAAAGTGGACAGTACGTTGAGTTTTGCCAAAATAAAATCACACTCAGCACAAATCCACATGACAAATATGTGTGGAGTTTTCTTCGAGCAAGTTTCAGTTTGAATCCGCAGACTGAGCTTTTGAATCTTCTTGGTTTTAAGCAGGAGGAGTTAAATGCAAAGGTTAGTTTCCATATTAATGATTTCCCTCCTTTGTGTTTTAAAATTAGTAGATAAATATGATTAAAATATTTTTCAAACTTGAAAGGTTTTAATTTTTGAATTTTTCCTGTTTTAAAAATTGTTGTAAATGAACATAACTATTTCCTAGTAATTTCTCCTTGTGTTTTAATGAATTGTCAGTCAATTCACACTAACTATGTTTTGGGTGGAGTTTGTTCCCCAAGAAAGAAATAATTTAACCTATTCTGTTTGAGAACCAACGAAATGTTTGTTCCATTTATTTATTAATATACCAATTAGTTTTGTGAATATAATTGTAGATAACAGACATGGAATTTTGGTGTTGGTTTCACGATTACATGACAAAAAAGACTGCAAAATAACACATTTTCCTATTAAATGCTATTTGTGCAAGCAAACAAGTTGGACTATTTTTCTGGAAGCTCTATTGAAATTATATAGTTTTTGCAAAAAGACTGAATTTTCATTATGAAAGCAGATTTAAAAGGAACAAATCTAAAAAGAAAGAAATTTAACTATTATGTTTTCTTCAATGCCGATGTTACCTTGCTGATGTAACAGCGAGTAGTTTACATGGGAAATGTGTTAATTGAAGGTTTTTTATTCATGTAATTGCACATTGGTGGGTTTGTTGTGGTGTTATTGGTCTGCATTGTACCCTGCGTGTGATGTTTCCACCAGCTGAACAGGTTGTTAGGCAAACCTGCCAACGCCAGGCCAGACCCAGTGGAGAATCTAAGTGATGGAGTTGCTGGTTTGGGCAGAGAGGTGAGTCAATAACATAGTTGCTTACTGTATGTTTTTGTGAATGTTCTTGTCACCATGTACACAAGCATTTTAATAATGCCTCTGTGAAGTGCATCTGTTAAAGCGTGAAAAGTGAAAGATAAATGTGATTGTAGGATACCCTAGTTGTCAAGTTGATTAAATCATTGAAGGGCTATACAAGAAGAATTGTAAATAGAATTGTATGTAGAAAAATATTGAATTCTACATTGATTGTCCAGAAAGTAAAGAATGTTTTCACATAACTAAATAAAAACAAACAATATCAACACAAAATTTTATTTACAAACTTTCAGTATCTTACTCTATTTTTGAATGAAGTCTCCATACCTGTCGAGGCACTTGGGACAAGTTTTTCAATACCAATGGTATACTCTTCCACCGCCCAAAAAATGAACCAGGATATAAGTTTTTTAAGGTCATCATTGTTTCTGAATCGTTTACCACCTGAAAATTCCTTTAACTTAGGTAATAAATGAAAATCGCTTAAAGCTAAGTGTGGGCTGTAAGGAGGATGTCCATACACTTCCCACTTGAGACTTAGGAATTCTTGCTGTGTTCAGGCTGATGAATGAGGGCGCATATTGTTGTGATTGAAAAGCATCTTTGTTAACAACATTCCATGTGCTTTTTCTTTGGATGGTGCCTTGGAGGTGAAGACTCTGTCATTGCACGTTCATCGTAAAGTTTCTTTATTTCCTTGCATTCTAGATTTCAACTGGCCAAACATTTGTACATTTAGGAAATAAGTGACACTATGCATTTCACGTATGGCGGGATTTTCAATAAGTGCTGTCATTTTGGAAGGTCACAGAATGAAGAAACATGACCATTCAGGACCAAAACTGTGTTCACACTGTGGATGGAGCTTATTGGTGTGCATGCTGTTGCAGTGATGGGGGATCGACACTGAGCATGGTGTGCAATCACTCTTTACTTTCTGGATTACCCTTGTATGTTGCCAGGAGATGAGATCACATATGAAAATTTCAATTCCAGAATATGCGACCTTAATCATACTTGATTAACTCTCTTTTTTTGATGAGAAAATTCAAATTTACTTTGTTCTTGTATTTAGTAGACATACTTTTCATTGCCTTTGTTCAACGGGTTCAAAGAATGATCCTTTGAGAAACCATTAATTTATATTGCAACAGTAAGAAAGTTTATAGTAAGCCTAATTTATTCAAGTGTCTGTTGTTGGTATTGTTTTTGCCGTTGATAAAGCAGTGTTCTTGGTTGTATTGCCTATTTTCTCTCTTAATATTCCCAAGTAGACCTTGGATTTTTAGATTCTAAAAGCTTCTATGTTAGTGATTGTTCCCTATGACCACATAGAACTTGAAAATGAACTTCCTAAATAGACTTCATAAATCAGTTTGAAAATAATTGTATTTCTATTCATTCTGATTTATTACAAACTGTTCAAGTGAAAATTCAATATATAAATATGGAAAATATAATATAGAAAATTTAAACAGTCCCGAGAGAATATCTGGATTAAAAGTGTAGAAAAATATTGCACTAATAATTTTTACATTCCTAAATAAAATGTTGGCCATCATTTGTAAAATAACTGAATCTGTTGATCCCTAAGGGAGTAGACAATTTTTATTACTTCTGAGGTTTTGCCTTTGTACTTGCATGTAAATTCTGTACTCACAGCACACTTGAAAGGTTCTGAATAATGAGATTTATCTGGTCAAGATATTTCAATTGTAATAAATTGAGACAAACATTATAGCTTTGCAAAGTGCCGACATCGCTCTTTGTTTAGACTTGGTTAAGAAACAGAGTTTCTTGTAATACAGGTCCAACAAAAGTATAAGTATTATTAAAGGAAGGAGGGTTCACCTGACAGGGTATTTATTACAGAAGAATAATGAAAGTTATTTTCTATTGGAAAAGAAGAATGGATGTAGGCTTAAATGAATTTAAATGAAATTTAAAAACAAGATATTTTAATGAGATAATTTAATATTAAAGAGATATTTTAGGCTCGAGTAATGAAAAATGTATGTTGAGAAAATATTAAATTGGGTTTTTGAATGCATACTATTTATATATTTATTGACAGGTTGTGTAAATATACAATAGTTATCATGGTTTACACATGTGTTGTTACTTTGCAAGATAATAAACTTGTATGTGAAACTTTTAAACATACTGATATGAAACAATTTCCAAATCAAAGGGATAAATTAATTTTCATCTTAAAATTTAAGGTCTACTCAAAATCATTTGAAACACTGCTAATCAACTTCTCAAATAATTTGAGACCTATTTTCTAGAATGAATCAGGGGATGATGATGGTTCAGATGATTTGCAGATAAATTCTGGTTGGGTAAGATGTGTTTCCTATTCAAATTTGTTTTGGTGTTCTTATTTTGCACTTCAGAGGAAGCATGGCTAGCAACTGTGTGTTCTTAAGATCTTTTTTTTTTTTTGTGAAATAATTACTATTGTGTTTTTATTTGTCATTCTGGTTGTTTTATTGCAGAATTTGGTCTTTGAAAGAATTTTTTTTATGTCTAATTAAGTTGGTGTATTGTTTTCTTTTGACTTGATAAATCGAGATTTTCAGCTCAACTGACAAACGTATGAATGAAATAGCATATTCACAACTCTCCAGAGAATATTTGTTTTGAAAATGTTGTGAAAGAACCTTCACAAGAAGTTGTTTTGGTTGTTTGCTGCTAGGTGAAGCATGAATTCAGAAATTGTTTCTCAATACATTTGATAGTGAAAATTGTTGAATTGTCAGATGTGAATCGATTGTTATATAATTGATATATTAAGTTGCTTTTATTGCAAAGCTTTTAGAAGTATGTCTTTTATTAGCTTATGGTTGCACATTTATTTTTCGTAAAAAGTTGGCATTTGTCAGAATATTACTTTATAAATTCTGTTTTGCATGGCTGTGAATCTTTATATATATTGCACTTGTAGTTCACACATGTACTGAAAACGTGAAAATGTTGAATTTTTAGATAGTATCAATAGATTTGTTAAATGTTATTTCCAAATGTGTGAAAGTGGCACACATTTCTACAGACATGTAGCTGAAATTTTACTAACTAACAGCCTACAAAAAAGATGTCAAGAGTAATGGCCTTCTGCAAGCAGGGTATAATTTAGAATAGGGTGGTCCAGTTGGAGGCCTCCAGACTGCATGTGGTCTGCATTCCCTTTTATTGTGGCCTGTGAAATGTTATTAGTCAAATGTTAAAGTCCCTTTCTTGTGGGGCGAGAACATTTTTGCGCGTAGGGCAAGTGACCTGCTGGGATCCCCCCCGATGTAAAAATAGAGTAGGTTAAGATTTAAGTTGTTTTTTTCCCCTACTAAATTCAGAAATTCAAAATTATCCCAATGTTCTTCCCTGTGTTACGCATGATAAGGCCTGATATCATGTACAGTCCATCTCCCTCAGCCAGGCCACAACTATCGAGATCAACAAGATGGGATCCTGTGTGGATCGCCCATATAATGTAAATTTGGTCCGCAACTATATTAAAGGTTTTAGTTGTAGCCCTTGAGGCCTGGCAAGTTGGGCACTCGTTGTTTAGAATATTAATTATAAGCTTGGCGTATGATTAAAAACTCAAAGTAAGTTGCAATTAAAGTATTTTCTTAAAATTATTTATCTTCTATCTTGGGACTTGAGCTAGTTTATATTAGTTACATTACTTTATTATTCATCATCTCACTGTTTAATAGTACAATTACTAAATTAATAATTAACACCTTCCCAAGCACTTTGAAAAAGTATCTGTGGTGTTAATGGTACTGACTCATAAATGCATTGTAGATAACCCTTTTATACACATCTTGATTAAAATCTGGAATATGAGAGGTGCTACCAATACTCTTCAAGATGAATCGATATCTCTACTTCTTTCAGCGACACAAGAGGTCACCCGCATCATTTTTTATCCAGTCGGCTTTGTAAATTGAATTCACTAAACTTTTCATGAATAATAAATAAAACTTTCTTCTTTTTGGAAGTTTAAAATATCTATCATCTACATTGTTGTGTATATATTAAGAAATGCTTCCAAAATCAGGTGTCATTTTTTGGAAAACTTGTGGAACATGATGTAGAGTATCTTCTGCACTACTCGTATCAAACCAGCATAAACCCCTTTGCTTTTTTTTCATTTGCAAAGTCAGCATGCAGCAACTGCTTGTGAATTTGACTTCCAAGCACGTGCATTCATGCTCATGAGAAGTCATCGTGGCAGGACCGTATTATAATGTAGTATCTTCATCTTTAGTCCTAATATCAATGTCCTTATTTTAATTTGTTTTTTCTTCATTTATTGTTAAAGAATAAATACTTCATAATCGTATTGTAGTATTAATATACTGTTTTTAAATTAAGGATCAAATACAGTCTGACTAATTAATGAATGTATTAATCGATCACGTATTGCCAATATTTGCAACCTTCAATTGATGGTGTTTTGTCTGCAGGCACCGGATGGTGATGCTAGTGCTGCCTTTGATGCCATTGCTGCAGAGAACCAGTTTAACAACATTGATGCCAAACCACTTCCTCCCCTGAAAATTCCTGTTGGTGATGGTGAGTACAATTTATTACATTTCAGAGGAAAGAAAATAAACGAATTATTATTATTATTATTATTATTATTATTATTATTATTATTATTATTATTATTATTATATTATATTATTATTATTATTATTGTTGTTGTTGTTGTTGTTGTTATAAATCCTTGACAAATAAATGAACGAAACATATCAATTTAAATAAGTGTTGTTTTCCTTAGATACTGATGGCTTGATAAGTCAAGCTTTACTCCTGGGGAATATTGAATCAGCTGTGGATTTGTGCCTAAATGATGGCAGAATGGCTGACGCAATTATTTTAGCCATGACAGGAGGAAATGAGCTTCTTGCCAGGACACAATATCGATATTTCCAGGTAAAGTTTTTCTACATTCTCATCTTGTATTCATTTGTTAAGCCTAGTTAATTAGGATTTATGATTACTGCCTTTATATAATATGATATGAGTCTTAATGAGATATGAGCTTTTACAAAATCCTCTAAAAAATTTGGGGGTGTATTCAGAGACGACTTATATTGAGGTAAATGTATATAGGTCTGTATATCCCTTCAAGCAATATCCTCAGTTGTGTCCCTGTGATGTGTGTCAGTGTTTTCAGAATTAAAGTAATTTTCAATGAATAATTTTGAAAATAGGCTTTCTCGTTTATTATTATTATTATTATTATTATTATTATTATTATTATTATTATTATTATTATTATTATTGATAATCTGCTGAAAAAAAATGACCTTCTCTTTTTGCTGTTGGGATTTGTTTTGATAGAATTGTGGAAATGTGACTTGCTTCTGTGTTTAAAATATGAAGAAAGGAAAGAAAAAACAAAACTTTTTTTAGTTTTTAACAAAAAAGAATGCCCTTAGTGATTTGATCCCTATGGTTTTACAGCAAAGCAAAGGGCAGCTTGCTACTCTGATATCAGCTGTGGTGACGGAGGATTGGAGTCAGGTTGTGAAGGCCTGTGAAGTTGACAGTTGGAAAGAAGCGCTGGCTGCCACACTAACCCATGCCAAAAATGATGAATTTCCTATTCTTTGTGGTATGTTGTGCTATTTTTTGTTATAGTAATCAATGCATTTAATGCAAGTTCAATTTCATATGTATATTTAGGGCCAAATTCATAGCCATGTCTTATAGTGAGAGTTTCTTAAGTAAGAGATTCCTATTCATAATGAGACATTTTCAAATGATTGACCGCTCATTAGCATAAGGTAGGTTGTTTGTAGCCGTAAGTATTCCTCCTTTGCCAGAGGGTTAACCAGCTTCGGTTAAGTGAAGTATACAAACACATTAGTTTACGCAACATCACAGACAACAACAATGATTTCTTGGTGTATTTTGAGTTTCACACTCAAAATATCATCCATGTAATAAAGGATATCAGAGATGCTGATAATCCATTGGAAATATACAACAACGAAAGATTTAGAATGTAGTTTCGCTTTTGTAAAATCACTGTTGTAAATAATCTTGTCCCTCTCGTCAATGAAAGAAAAAATGTAACAAAGAGAGGCTTATCATTCCATTTTGCGAAGATGCTAATAATACTAAGCCTGTCTAAAAAGTATCCGACTTTGGCCAGAATAAATATATCGAATACCTGACAGATTTGGAACCCTAATCCCCTTCAAAGTAGGCCCCTTGTGCTTCCACACACTTAGCCCACCGATCCTTCCACTGCTGGAAACACGTCTGGAAGTCTTCTTTTGGAATGGTGTTCAGTTCCGTCGTCACGTTCCGCATTATTTCTTCTTTACTCTCAAAACGAGATCCTTTCAGGGGCGTCTTCAATTTTGGAAACAACCAGAAGTCGCAAGGAGCCAGGCCTGGAGAGTAGGGATTTGGAGAAGATGCGATGGGTGTAACACAAATTAAGCAGTGGTTCAACTGATTCAAAGATGGCCGCACATCAGCGGAGAGTGAGCAGCGTGGCGGCAGGCCCCAAACTGCTCAAAATGCAGTTGTTGTTGAGAGGGTGCGAAATTTGGTGGTGGCAGATCACATTTGACAGGGTCTGGAGAATAGGGATGTTGGCGAACGGTTGTAATTCCATGTTTGGCTAAGAAAGTGTGGATCATTTGGGATGAATGTGCAGGGGCATTGTCATGATGCAAGTGCCAGTTCTTCACCGTCCACGTGTCTGGTCTTTTGCGCCGAACTGCATCACAGAGTCACCGGAGAATGTTTTGGTAGTACTCCTTTGTCACTGTTTGTCCTTCCGGTGTGTATTCGTGATGCACAATTCCACAGGCATCGAAGAAAACAGTCAGCATCACCTTGATTTTGCTTTGTACCTGCCACGCTTTCTTTGGCCTTGGAGAATCGGGATGCTTCTATTGAGATGACTGACTTTTTGTTTCTGGTTTGTACCCGTACACCCATGACTCATCTTCAGTTATCACTGTGTTCAGAAACCCAGGATCAGTGTTGGCGGTGTCTAGAAGGTCCTGTGCAACGTTAAAATGGAGATCTTTTCATTCCGGAGACAACAACTTGGGTACGAATTTAGCAGCCACTCGTTTCATGTTCAAATCTTTACGCAAAATTCCATGTGCAGAATCTTTACTCACTCCAACCTCTTCTGCAATCTCCCGCACTATCAAATGGCGATCTGCCACCACCAAATTTCGCAACCTCTCAACAACAGCTACATTCCGAGCAGTTTGGTGCCTGCTGCCACGCTGCTCACTCTCAGCTGATGTGCGGCGATCTTTGAATTGGTTGAACCACTGCTTAATTTGTGTCACACCTATCGCATCTTCTCCAAACACCTGTTGAATCTTACGAATTGTTTGGCTTTGAGAATCACTAAGCTTTTGACACAATTTGAAGCAGTATCTTTGCTCAATTTGTTCAGTCATCTTGCCAGAAAACTAAATCCAACGAACACTAAGAACAGCACCTTACTTACTGACAACCAGCCAGTGACTGGCACAAGCGAACACGATGAAAAAATTCAAGCATGCGCATCAATGTTCCTCCTTCCACCATGCACAGTGGCGCCGCCTTAGACTCACTACTTTGCGCAGGAAAAATTAAGGTTGTATTCTTTTTAGACAGACCTCGTAGCATTAAAATTTTATGCAACTTCATCCTTTCAGGTTCGTTCTATAAGATTGCAAAAGATATAAAATATCTTGCGCATTCTTATGAAAGAATTGAAATTTCTTTTTATCTTCCAGATAATTTTATTGAAGATATGATAAATGTATATAAATTAAATTACATATTTTTTAGGTTGCACAGATATCTATAAAGTTAGTCAAGTTCAACTGTGCCGAATAATTTTTGAAGTTTCAGAAACATTGGTACGTAACATCAAAAATTTTGTAGTTTCCTTCAAAACAACAGATTCGCATTTTGAACTGATCAAAGGCCAAAATGCTCACCTATGTAAGCTTTTTAAAATTGTATTTAATATAAATTAAACAACAAAATACACAAGTCACAACAAAACACGTGGTTACAGTCAATGACCAACAAAACCACTGGCTCAGGTGATGGAAATGCAATATTGCAACATTTCAGATACCTTAAGGAACACTCATTTCTGCTCCCTAATGGAGGTCTATGAAATACAAGCCTCCTAAAATGACCTCTCATTTTGAGCAACTCCTTACAGTTTAAGCATTCCTTCATGATCCACTATGAATTCAGCCCGTAGATTTACTTAGAAGATATGAGTGTAAATGGAATTCTCAATTTCTTGAAGAGATTTTATTTTGAAGTTTTGAGGGGAAATGATTTGGGGAAAGGGGGAGGCAAGGAGAAACTCGTTTTAAATCGAAGTTGGATAATTTCTTTACATTTTCAATTAAATATTGTACATTTCATTTGAATTTTTGTAATGTCACATTTAATAACATAATTCACATAATTTTGAATTAAAATTCTTCAAACATAAATTGTTTATCTGATGAAAAATACTTAACATAAAAAGTATGAAAATGTAAATACAAAGAAATGTAAGTAATTATTTTATAAAGAATTTATTTCTGCAGACCCCAAAGGATTTTGATTATTTAAGTTTAAATTATTGCTGTTAAATTATAATATTATTTTTTTAAATTGAAAAATGAAATGTCTATAACCGTCTCCTTTTGTGTTGTATAATAAATTAAATTGATTAATGCTATGGAAAATGAAAGATTGTCTTTCAAAGAGTTAAATGAAGCAAGAAAAGTGTACTCTTGAACAAACTATTTTGATTTTTAGAGCAATTGGGACAGCGGTTGGAGCAAGAGGGTCACGGACCTCAGCGAATGAATGCACAACTGTGTTACATTTGTGCTGGCAGTGTGGGCCGCCTCGTTGATTGCTGGAGTGATTCGATTAAGCCAGACTCTCCCAATAAGATGCAGGTATATGTGATATACTAGCATTTGTAAACTGTGACAGCTGAATTTTGTGATTATCAATTTATTGTGGGTTGACTTTGTTTTAAAGCAACAACTGGTTTAATGAGCCTAATATCTAGTATGCATATGTTTTCGCTCTGTATTTTAATTTGTTTTTTTCTAATGTTTTTAAAAAAAATAATAATTTAAGGGTTTTATGAAGAGTAGTGTTTTTGAAATGTTTATGCATAAGGTAATTTATTGTTAAAATTCTTGAAGGACAGTGAAGTGTAGTGAATTAAGCATTGAAATCCTTTCAGAGAATTTGTCTTAATTATTTTTATTTGTTTTCTTTTGCATTACTTTTTTATGATTCTAGTTCCTTTTTATATTTTAAAAAATGTAACAAGTTTTAGAAGTTTTAATGATGTTGATAATATTGTCAGGTATTTTAGTGCATGTATTATTATTGAAACTAGTAAAGTTGTGTAGAAATATTGCAAGTTATTTTTCCTTTTTTTTCTGTAGGATCTGGTTGAGCGTGTGATGATTTTGAGTAAAGCTGCAGAGTTTCAAGGTCATAATGTACAAATATCTGGAAGTCTGGCACAATTTTTATCACAATATGCAGGCATTTTGGCTGCCCAAGGAAGTTTGAACGCAGCTGTTACTTACCTGGGCAATTCGGATGAGGTAATAATAAAAGAAACTTCAGTATTAATCATATTCTTCTATTAAATATTGTTTTTTTATTGTTTAATTCAAAATTACATGCAACACTTTTTTTGTTTTTGGATAATAGTTGACATTTGTGGTTGTATTTTAAATTTAATCTGTCTGGTTTTGAAGGATATTTTCATTTTACCATTCTTTGACGCCAACGTTATAGAAAGTTGTGAGGCATTTCTATGCTGTTGTTTTGGAACTTATGGAACAAGGCATCCCATTTTACAATTCTTTCATTCATTTTAGTAGCCCAAGCATTAAAAAGTAGCTATTTTAATACTCTAAGTAACATTTCAATGTGTGTCAAAATGTCAAGATTTTATTTTAGGAAATACAGTGGAATCTCGTTAATAAGTATTTTAAAGGACTAAACATTTTCAACATTGTAAGCATGAAAAATGCAAACAAAAAATGCTCAATTTATACTGACTTTTCACATTCCCATCTGCAAGCCATTATAATAGAGAAAACAAATGAATATGCGGAAAATACGCAAATATTCACAGGATGCCTAGCAGGCTATGTGTTGGAAGCTAGAAAGTTGACAGTTGACATCATCAGAGTTAGGTGATGTACATCAAAACAAAACTCTTGTGTCGCAGGCCTAACAAAAAAAAATTGGCTTGCAAGGTACAGCAAAACATGTTTTTCTGGCACTGAAATCAGACTGAAAATGAAAGTAGTACCTAAAATTACCATCAAAACAACACTCACGGAAAATGGTGCTGGTGCCCCTGAAAATGCCTGTCTCTCGCAAAGCAAGTTACCTACAAAAACTTTATACGAACTTTGAGCATGCTAAGTGGGATTCTTAAGCGTGTAAATTATTAATTACAGTAAAACCCTTTTTTTACTCTTTTCAGGAGGCCAATGAAAAAAAGTTTAAAATGCAGAAAGTGTAAAACACAGGGAAGTTAAAAAACGATAGGCTAGGCTTTCATTATTTACTGCAATGGCAGCTGTTTTCACTTTCTCACCCTTTGTAAGAAGAGAAAGTAAAAGCCTTCACCAGAATTGGCGATTTTTGTCAGAAAATCTCTTATTGATGGGCCATGGTAATGGAAAAAGTGGATAAATCTTATTCCTATATATAGTATATTACTATCTCTCATACGTGGTGTAACCTGAATCCCTGTTTTATGGGTCCTTGAAACCGCAGAATTGATTGACGGCAAAACGTATGTTTGTCCATCTATGGTCAACGCAAGCGTGTAAACTGCCTGCCGATTTTCTCCAAAATTGATATTGCTCGATTGATCTGAATGAACTCCAGGCTTTTGTGAGTTCATTACATATGTAGTAATTTACTATAAGATTTAGAACACAATTTATCCACTTTTTCAGTATCAGTACGAGTTTTTCTGTCAAAAAATCACATTGTAAATATGGGCTATTCAATTGGACCAACGAAAAATTACATAAAAGGCAGGAAAACGTAAAATGCAGGAACATGAAAACTGGTTTTACTGTATGTGGCATTGGGCCTGGTACTGGAAAATATAAACTTAGTAATTAGGAAAACATGATAAGGGGAAACGTGCTAACAAGATTCCACCATTTTATTCTTTCTAAGTTGGGAAACTGTACATTCTTGTAATGATTTCTTTGTTGTATCCTATTCCTGTACACCAACTGAGTTATTTTAAAATTTAAACACACGACCACACACTCAGTCTTATTCACACTCCTTCTCTTACATTCAAAAAGCCTACCACTAATTCACAAACCTTCAGTGGCTAAAGTTTTCTCCCAAATTTCATATATATGTGAGCCCTTGAGGCATTGGTAAAGGTAAACATTTCAAGTCTCAAAGCATGTTTCTTGTGGACAGGAACAAGTCAAGCAGCTGAGAGAACGACTTCTCTGTGCACTTGGGCACCAATCAGCATACGCAAACCATCTTCCACAGCAGTGCCAGCCTTCGCAGGTGCAGCAACAGCAACAGCAACAGCAACAGCAGCAGCATGCGCAGAGCAGAGTGCAGCCATCGAGCAGGAGGTCTTCAGCCTTCTACCCAGCGCCGGTGTGTTTCAATGCCATTGGCAGTCATCTACGAGACAGTGGTTTAGCTCTGTTGCTTATGAGCTGAGACATTAAGCTTTTATTGCTCTAATTATTCTTAACAAGGTGTCCAGTAACACGAGTCTGTTACTTCAAAGGATTTAATTAGATTTCTTATGCAAGGGAATTGCAGGGACTCTTGATGACAGTTTGCATGAAAATCAATACTGACCCCTTAATTTTGTAGAGGTCTCCTGAGAATTTTTAACTAATTCTTACTATTTAGTCAAAATAAAATTCAAAATTGTCTTATTAACTAGAAAATTCCCTTGTTCATGAGAATGTTAGTATTGCTATATTATCATTTTCTTGTTCCTTAAAATCATCATGATCATTGTTTTTATCACTGCCCTATTCATCTTCACATGTATCAATGTTTTTCTTTTTTTTGGTCCTCCTTCCATACTATGACATCTTCCGACTTAGTAGGTTCCTGTGAAAGTTTTGTACATTGTTCTTAGTCTTTCATTAGACATTCGCATGAGACATTTTGTCAGCATTAGTTTTCATGTTACCTTTCATTTGATACAATGCCATTCATTTGAGATTCTCTTTACCCTCCCATTCAAAAAATTGAACCGCCTGACAAATTCACAGTGGATGCTGAGAATATGACCATGAATATAATTACGTATTGTAGATATGCACAATAGTTTTACCATCTTCACAGTTAACTGTTATGCTAACATTTATGAGTCTCGTGCCATAGAAAGGCAATGTAAAAACAAAAATAACTGACTATGCTTAATATGCAAATATAAAATGACCCAGCGGTTTTTGGCTGAGATATTTATTATAAAACCCTGTCTTATATTTGGATAAATTTGGTAAATCAATACAGCATTAACAAAATGAAAATCATAGAATATTGTCATAAGAATGAAAACATTATAGAGTATCACTTTTCATAAATTGTTCGTATGCAAATTAGCGTTGATCCTTCCTAAGGACAGCATCCATCAAAGTGTCAAAGATTGATATATAACATATAGGATATGGACTTTGAATATATTGGCATAACCTGATAATCTGTTTATTGGTTTATTCATGAAAAACATTTTTAAGTATTGAAGTTTTTATTTTTGTTTCTGAACTTTGTGGTCACTACATTTGTAAAGATGTTGTGATTTTTCCAATTGTCTCAGGGAGCACAGCCATCGCAGCACAACTATGGAGGAGCTGCATCTCAGCCACAGCCAGGATACAGCCCCTTTCAGATGATGGGGCAGCAGACACACGTGAAGCCTGCGACACCATCGTTCCCTGGCCAAGGTGTTCAGCAGCCTGGTGTCCCCAAGCCATATGCGCCTGCCCCCACACCTCCCATCTCATCACAGCCATACAACCCACAGCCGTTTGTCCCCGCAGCATCGACCACTCAGGCCCCTGCAGTGCCCCCGCCATCGATGCCCCCTGCTAGCTTAACCCCAACTCCAGGTATGTAGCTGCTGCAGTCTTTCCTGCAAAGGGAATCATCAGGGCTTGGATTGTGATGATGTAAAAATTCTTTGAAAATGACTTAAAATAAGAGGAAAATTACTTTAAAATGCTTATAATTAGGGAAAAATGACCTATGTTTAAAAAAAAAATAAAAAATTTGTATAAAAATGAATATTTATTCAATGGATTTTACAATTTAAAATAAAGTTTATTTATATAAAATTAAATCGAATATATATAGTCTTTGTTTTAGGAGGAAATGTACTCCTGAGCTTCGATCTTCCAATTGTCAGTTTTGAAAGCTCGAGGAAGTTATCAAAGATCAGTGTACTTTTTTGAGTTTGAAAAACAGTTCACTCTAGTTGTGAATTTCGTCATGAACTTATAATACAATAAAAACTTTGTTTTAGGATGTCATTGTAAATTCACGAAACCTTCACTAACAAAATGTGGGAAAGTGACAAAGCTGCCGACAAAAGTTCCAAAAAATGACTAAACATTGAAAAACGACAAAAAATGATCCATTAACTTTACATTTCTATCACCAATATGTTGTGATAAACATTAATTTACAAGTTAGCTAAGTCTATAGTGCACCAATAAAAAGATGACATGCCATCAGAACTCGAGCCTTGGTAATCATTAAATTTTCAGCACCTCTGCAGTAAGGCATGTAGCTGTCATTGTTTTTTGATAACTTTTGACATTTTTTAGCATAGAAATGTTAACTGAGCAAATCCTTCTGGAAAGTTTAGCTTGAGTCAGTACTTCGTTTGTGCTGGCTAGAAATTTGCTCAGTATGCCATTTTTCATTCCTCTGAGCCTGACTTCCATATGTTATGTTGATATCTGTACAATCAACTTCACAGTTGCACAGTTTATCTTCAGGTTATAGAATAGATATATTTCTTTTCTTAAAATCTCTGTTGCTTGAATTCTTTTATAACTTTGAACTACAATTGTTATATTCTGAATGTCCCAACTTTAAAATATTGAAATTCCATTTCTGATTTTAAGTTGTGTGATCTCCACTGCAGGTTCATTCAGGTCTTATTCACCTGCTAACATTTATCAGAAGCCATGGGAACAACCACAGATGGTTGACAAGATTCCAAATGTGACACGGTGGAGTAAGTAGGGTCTAGCATCATTATGGCTTCGTTGTGTAAATGTTGCATTGATGTACAGTAGCTAGGAGTAGTTGTATCGCATGAGAATAGTTATTCATTCTGCATATCTATTCTTCTTTCCATGAATGCATTTCATTAGTAATTTGCTGGACTATCTCAGTAGTGGCTTTTTTATTGGTTCGTATTTTTCGTAAACCTTTTGAATACTGCCTTTTTATTGGTAAATTTGTATTTGGAGATTCCTTCCTTTTTATATAAGTAGAAAATACATGATTATGTTGATGCTGGTGTTCCAAAGTCAAATTAAGTTGCGTGTTGTTGTTCATTACTTACCAGGTTAGATGAATCATAGTGCTGGTTATTATAAACTTATTGAACTGTCTTGTGTATGGATTGTTATTGCAAAATTCTTTAATTATTAATTAATCTTAAATAATTCTTACTGTTTTAACAAGTGCATGAAGAACTTAGTAATTTTTTATTTAATTTTATTTCAAAATGTGATTACTTTAATACAAGAAGCGGAGTAAGAAGAAAAATAAATTTTATTGAAATTATTAATCGGCTTCATTTCCCAAGATCAGAATACAGGATAATAAACTTCTGTTTGATTAAAACAAAACAATCTCTTTGCAATTTTAATGTTAAGGTATGGATGTAATGTGTGTCATCATTGAGGCTTTTAGGATAGCCATTGATCTGAGGGCTTGATAAGTGTGGCTCAAGCAATGTTTGTTTCACTCTTATTCATTTGGGTTGCTGCCACTGAATTGCTAATTTTATTCAGAGACAGCAATTACATTTACTGGTACTTATTGTGAAAGTACTTGTTCCAGTCTTACATAAAAGAAATTCAAAATGTACTGCATTGCTTCTTTAAAAATTGAATATTAACCCTAATGGCCTTAATATTAATATTAAGGTTTTCTTGTCATCTTAAAGCATAATGAATGCCACTAGCTTTGTGATCTCCACAATCAAGTTTGTTTCCTTTTTGTTGACAGTAAACATTGTTTAGATTTCTTGCCTAATATTTAGGTGACTTAGAGTGATATGGTATAAAAAGTCATAGTCGTTGAGTTTTAATCTTGTGGTCATATGGGTCTGCCTGTTGGAAACGAATTTATTGCACAGTATGGCATGCCTGGCTGGACCAGTCAGTGCCTCAAAGACGAAAGTCGAAAAATCTGTACTATGCAGTGATTAAAGGGATTAACAACATTGTATGGGGGAGCTTTCGTTCATGGTCTGACCTTGTGTTTCAGCTGGAGGGGCCCCAAGCTCTCGTTCTCGACCGTACATTCTCGACCCATCTGTACAGTCAGGACCAGCCATGGGACCTTACGGCACCAATCCATCTGTCGCACCCTTTTCTCCCACGCCTTCCGCTGCCCAAGTGCCAACTTCAGTATATCAGCCTCAAGCGGCAGTTTTCTCACAACAGCAACCGCAACAACCTATAGGAGGAGTGCCTTACTCCCAGCCTGGTGCTGGATACGGGGCTGGTGGTCAGTACACTGTTTGCATTTGGGTTTTATAATTAACATACACAAACTTTTTTTAAAAAAAGGGAGATCTGAGTCAGTAATAGAAAGCAATATTCCTGTAGTTCTTGTGGTGAAGTAGTGGTTAGGTTAGGTTAATATGTGTGCCTGTGGGTACCTGTGGGTACCTGTGGGTTCCTTGTGGGTACCTGAGAGTATGTTGCAGTTGGCAAGAAGTAGTATGAATGGACATTAAAATGTATTGACAGTTTCTGTTAATTTTAAAAGCTTTTGGAATTACAATAGGATAAAAATTGGTTTTATAATCTCACTACAATTGCTATTTGAAATAATTGGTGAATTTTTTAACTTATTCAGTTAGAATGAAAATTAATGTGTATTTTCTAAACTTAATAGGAGGAAATGATAATAATAGTAATAATAATTGTCAGTGTAGTTGAGAGTTTATTTTTTTACAACTCTAGATTTTTTGTATAATTATTCTAGAACCTGCCCCTGCTCCTCCAATGATGCCACCAAACTTTGCTGCTAATAATGCACCGCCTGGTTGGAATGACCCTCCTACACTTAAGGGCACATCTAGAGCTCAGGTCAGTTACAATTAATACTGTTATAATTTTACTTTGGTGTTCACAGAGAGAATGGTTTTCAGTATTCCAAGAGATCTGACTTCAATTTTATTTACAGGATATCTTATGCTATATTACAGAATATCGGGGAATGAAAGTTACAAACATCTAGTGCATGTTGAAGTGTCAAAATGAACACTTTTTGCTAATAAATGTATAGTGGGAACTATACCTCATATGTCTTTGTTGGGGTTTGCCATACGTCCTGAAAAAGCAGGACATGTCCTGGATATCGACAAGTGTCCCATTATCCCACCAAATTTTTCTTTGTTCTTGAAATATTTCACATATTTTGTCACGGAAATATAAGGAAATGGACCTGGATAACCTTCAATAATCAGGGAAATTGATCCTAGAAAAAGAGTGGTCACCTTTATATTCTTGATAGTGCAATGTAATTTATCTTGATCTACTATTCAGTTGCTTACTCGATAAACTATTTCTTATTTATACAAAAATTAATTGATTTACAATTTTGTTGTTTAAAAATAAGCAATTTGCTCTGATATTCATTTCGGATGTCCTGAATTCCATTGTTATCCTTATGGCAACCCTAAATCTCCTTGATTGTGTCAGATAGTGACCTGCAAAATACTTGTGCTAAAGTAGTTGCTTAATAATCAGGGACAAATGTTGCATGTGAAACTCCATTATATGAAATTTTCCACTAAACATTCATGGGCAAAAAGTTGCGATCATTTTCGACCCTTTGCCATGTGTAGAAGTTCGTAATATTTATTCTCATACATTCTATATATGCCACACAAACATTATTTGGTTCTTCTCTCTGTAACCTGTTTTTGTATGATAGCATAAAAGTTCATGCGACTCTTCTGTTAGTTTTTAGCAAACTTTCTCAGGGAATGAAAACTTTATATTGAAGTGCTACATTCTCTGCCGATATTTTATATTACTTTTAATAATAATAATAAAAAATCATCCTGCTCAGTGCAAAGCCACTAGGCTAGCCCCATGGCTAGCATAAATATTTCTCAATTTTTAATTTTCCTGCTTTCTAGAAATTTTATTTAAGAATGGGTCATGATTCGCTGTGTTAGGAAAACAGCTTGTATAAATTATTACCAGTTTAAATTAATTATAGATGTGTGTTAAGGAACATGGAAATGTAATTAATTAAAAGAACTCATTACTTTCATTTCAAACATGGCAATGTTTTTTTGCCATTGCTCCACCTCCACAAATGGATACATCATATTCAGACCCTTCTAAAAACAAGAACACCAACAAACAATAATACCTTAACAGTTCTGGGAGGAAATAATAAACAATGGGCCTGTACGTTATGTATTATATGCAACATTTGGTAAAATGCACTTATATGAAAAACATGCTTGTTCTTTGTTTGTATTAATGCCTAAAACCGCTAATTGTGGCTTAAATGTTCTTTTTTTCAAGCTTCCTTACTATGATCTTGTGAGTATTGCTTAAGAACTTATTGTTTGATAAATAACGTCATGATTAGTTTCTTTCTTCTCTCTACTGGTATATTACTTTAGAATGGCACACTCTTATATCTGTAGTTTTAATCATCAATGTAATTCTAAAACATGTAAATTCTGTTATGTTTGCAACTTACAATAATAGATTGTATTAATGTTACAACCAGTGGTGGCTTGTGAGTGCGGAGGTATGAGGTTCACAAGTGTCCAAGATGTAATAGTGATTTGTGGGCAATCATTTACATTAATCAATGTGTAATAGTGTCTATCGCTTTGCTAATCAAAATACTTTCATTGAAAAATATAATTAATCAAATACTAGCACCAAACGAACTTAATTAATAATAAAGCCATTTTACACCACATGAACCTGTGTAACAATTACTTGACCTCTTGCCTTTAATTGTTTAAAAAACTTGGAAATTTTTTCTGCAGAAAAATTGTTATTGAATGTTTTATTATTCCTCCGAACATTTAAATTTTACGGTGTTCAGGAGGGCCGTTCTGGCTGCATTCGAGTTTGTGGAAAGGAAGCAAGTATTCTCATTATGAAAATTATTGCCCAAATCATTATTACCTAAAAAAATTAAGTTTTTTATGAGAAGTATTTTTTCTCTTAAAATTATTTATTTTGAACTATTTACCCTTTGTTAGTATATTAACATTGAGAAGAAATGGTTAATTTCTTTGTCATCTGTTTATTTTGAATAGCTAACTTTTATTTTTTATTTTTAAGAAAGAGCTCAAAATTGTGCATACTAATGAGGGAACAATCTAGAGACTAAATATCTTGTTGAATAGTATGGGGATGTGAAAATTGTCTTTGATGTTCCAAAGTTAATTTTCTATTATCGAAATTTGAGCATCATTTCAGTGCGGAAAGAAGGATATGTGTTGATTGAATGTTAAGTGTAAAGTGTGTAACCTACTTGAGCACAATACAAAATTTCTTTGCAATATTTATGCCTCTCCTCCATACAATTCTGTTTCTTTATTCTTAATGTAGAAGGGAGTGTTTGTTTTGTACCTTGTAGACTGTCAATATCAGCACAGTTTTTGTAAGTTAGCTATAATAAAAATAACAGTTGCCAAACTATCCTTTCTTGCTCTAAATGTTGATTTTTTTTCCAAAATCGTGTCTCAAAGAATGAAATGCGAATTGTTTTTGAGACATATAGTACTTTACTAGGAGCTGCCACTGATTATAACTATCTTCAACTTTATTTCTCTGTCTGGACAGTCGGCATTATAATTTTTCCTTTTCCTCTCTATGTCTTGTGCAGTTTCCTAATATAGATGCTGTTCAAATGTCTGCTGAACATGCAGGTACAAGAAAGTGGAAAAACGTGATAGCTCATAAGGTATCAGGCCTTGCTGCACATGAATGTGTGTGTGATGAGGTTCAATCAGTTTCCCTTGTAAATTCTAACATCATGTGTGATTGTAGGCATGTGCACAGGAGGGACAAAGGAGCTGCACCTTGTGTTTTTTTTCCATTGTTTGTTCATTCTGTGATTTTCCTCTTTTTTAAACTGACAATTTGGGTGATTGTTCCAAGCCATCTGGCAACACTGTATATGGTTGAACATAAAACCGATTAAAATCTATTAATCGTATCATGTAAGTTATAATTTGATTCTCCATCTAGTATGTTTATGTATTTACTTGTAAAATATGTCCTACCTAAATAAAAAATTAATGAAAAAGGGGGCCCTAGAAACGTAGTGACCCCCTCTTATTTTAGATTGCGTTCTTTTAATGTGTGATGGTCAATGATTCTGAATGTTTAACATTTCGGTGTGATTAATTTTTCTGATGCATGAATAGTACTACCTAATGACAATTCTAATGTTTTAAATTCTATATTTTTAACAGTAAAAATGAGAAATGACATTTACTTCTTTTTTTTTTCCTAAGTTTGTGCTCCACCTGTGATTTGCTGTTTGAATAAAGTTTATATTTTGTATCGGATCTATTCAGTCAGTGTTATGAGTTTTATCGAAGACTGGTTGACATGCTGTTATGTTTGTTTCATTCATTTTTTAAAAGAATGTTAGTGAGCATTTAAAAGGATACTGGAAAGTAATCATTAATGAAATCTTGATATTGTTGATTTTCCTAAAAGTGTTAATGATTCATTGGCTCCTACTTAATTTCTTAATTGGAATGTATGGGAATGGCTAACTAACTGCTCTGAACAAATCTCTGCTGACAAAAATAATTGGAAGCAGATGTGAAAAATTGACAGGAAAAGCATAATGATTGAGGAATGCAGTATTCAGAAACAAAATGGTTGATAATGCTTAGGCTTCTGTGGCTGGAGGCAATACGTACTTGACTGTTCGGGAGATGCCATGATCTACACTAAGTTGCTAATGTTTTGGCCATCATATTGCATTCTTCCTCAAGGTAAATCAAGTGAAGGTATATTGCACTTGTATTTATAAATGTTGAGGTGTTCCTCCACCTGACTGCCAGTTGGTTAGATGATTGGCCTATGCAAGAAAGTATCAGCCAATCAATTTTGACCCTGTGTAAGGTCGTAGTAAGGCAGTCAAAACTTTGACAACTGTGCTTAGGAGACAGAATCTCCCATACAACGAAGTATCCAAAATTATTGACTTCATAAAAAATATAGGCTTTATTGTTATCGGTTAAAAAGTTAACAATAATTATAATAATAACAACTGTTCTAATTCAGAACACATGTGGGAGGTGGGCATTCAATTGCAAATGTAAAGCAACGCTTATTTGGATTTCCCTTTTTTCCAGCCAAAGGCAGATTACCAGCCGCAGGCGCCTATTACTCATCCTATCTTTGGAGCTGTACCAGCTGAAGCTGCCCCTCCAGTGGGATCCAACATGGGGGTATGTTCTTGATATACTCAGTGCCTCAGAACAAATGTTACAAGTTTCTAAGGTGTGTAGAGGAATCAGAAATGATCACTTTCTTGCAAATGAACATGTAGTGTTCAACTTCATTCACTGAAGTTGCACTTCTGACACTTGCCCGTGATTGTAGACAATTCCTTTCACTCAGGTGGTGTGCAGATCACATTCTGACACAGTGAAGGAGATTTTATGTTAGCATGTTTATTTCTGAGACTTGCTCCTAATGTTTCAGAATTAATTGGTAATTCTGACTACACCTAAAAATAAGATTGGGGGGACAATTTTGACTTGAAGGAAGAAAGCATTGATGAGAAAATTTCTGACTAGTGCATATGTCATGGAGGATGCATGGGTGAGAATGTATTGTGTCAATCTAACTGAATTCTAGAATGAACTGTAGATTAGTTTTGAATATTTTTTTTTCTAATCTAAGATTCAATCAATATACCAGTGATATAAATATAATTTCAATTATTGTAAACATTTATACATCAAAACTTTTTTATTTATATTTTTAATTTGTTAATTTTTAAATTAATTAGTGTATAACCGATTAAAAGGAATTCTTTTAGCGAATGTTGAAAAACAAATAACAACAAAAAAACAAACAAGATCAGTATAATGTAACACTAAACTGTGACTCCCCCCTACCCCCATATAATGTAATGCAGCATAATGCTTCCGCACTCCCCCCCTCTTTAGCCTTACAAAATTATTGACGACTCCTTGACTGTCAGAATGTGATCTGTAAAACATCTGTGCATAAGTAGATATAGTGCATAATAGATGTAACATGTATTGTGAGACATCCCATATGGATGATGTACTACACACCCTTTTTATAAATTTTTGAAAAATGTTTAAATTGTAATTTTTGTAATTTTATAACTTAATTTGGTCTTTCATGAATTCTGTAGAATTTTTTTCAATATGATCTTTGTTGTCATTATTGTTTTGTGTTTTTAATATGTATTATGTAAAAAGACGAGTTCTTGAATGCATGGAAGGGTAAATATTGAATGAATGAATCAAACAATCGATTAATCAATGAGTGAATTTTTTGGGCTCCTAGCCTGACTTGTGGTGACACATTCAGAAAAATAGATTTCACTCAGAATGGCTGATTTTTTTGTCAGGTCTTTTGTCACCAGCATTCCAGTAACTGCTACATAACATATAAACCTGCCAAGGAATCCCACAAATATGAAGCTTATATTTGCCTAAAAACTTAATTCACATTACATGTGAATTATTACTGCAACAGTTACTATTAAGTGACCGTTTTTATTACTCCAACTTCATTACTAGTAACGAGACATTTTCTATTGAGTAAGATTGCTAGCTAATACATGTATTATGTGTAATTTTAATTTTCTTTGAATGGTTAGTGAGGGCAGTGGACTTTTCAGCAGGCCAAAGAACAAATAAATTTGGCTGGCTACTGCATTAGCATGCCAGGGGAAATAAAGAGACTAGCTTTCTCAGTAGGATGAGGTGATGTGCCCAGGATGGAGTTCGAAAGGGTACTGGCCCGTATCTCACTTGCTGTATTTATACTATCCACCCAGTTGGTTTTCTTGTGCCTAAATGATCAGCGAAATATTTTGCATTTCAAACAGCTCTTTTATATCACCTTCTTTATTTAATGTTTCTTTAATTTATTTAGGTGAAAAAGGATTAAATGTATCTCAAATTCTTACTATAATTAAAATATTTCAATGTATAGACATGTATGATTACATGAAGATCAAGTGACATCAATTTCTGCATCATAAATTATTATGTAAAATTCTTTTTACCTTAGTTTTTCTTAATTTAAATTTATTTTATCGATTAAGCTGTTAAGTCTTTTAATTTGCGGTTGTGATCTGTTGGCTAGGATTTATCTAAGTTTATTTATTGAATTATCGTTCTTTTTGAAAAAATGTATAGATAATTTCTGATTCATGGGCATTTGTAATGCATGGAATAATAATGATTCACTTAGTATTTATTGTTCGTCATGCAAAGAATCCTATGATCAAAGATTATCTATAATGCCTAGTTACAACTGGTCACTTATAGCCTTACAGTAATGAAACTTAGATATTTGCAATGTTTTACTGCCAAGAGGTGATTGTTGTGTTTCAAAGTAAACATTTCTTTTATCCAAAACATTTCATATGTTTTAGTACCATTACAATGCCTTAGGGGAGCTTGTGCTGTTCAGTACATCATTGAAATTTTTGAGTCGGTTATGAGTGGTCAGCGTCAGTATGTTAGCAGTAACCACAGCTATGGATTAGCCCAAACCTTTTCCGCCCAAGTATCAAGAAACAGTGTGTGATCAGCAAAAAATATTGATTAGCCGTATAAGAATCAATACTCATTCACTTGCAGTTTGAGTGACTGTTGTGTTGTACACAACTGTTGACATTTAAAGGGAAAAAATAACCATTTTCTATATCAAACATTTTAAAAATTGACATGGAGATGATATATGCTAATAATGAAATGGGCTTTTTTATTAGAATAATGATGGTAAATGATTTGACTAATAAGTTCAATAATTGAAGATGTAATTTGATTTTTTAGAATATACCCAGGGTATAGAAAGTTTTGCTTGATACAGCTTTCAATCAATAATATTTGAGAAAAGTGTTTTATTCTTCTTTTTTTGCACCAGTAGCTGGCCATTATCATAAGGATGTTTGTTGAGATTTGGTTTCTAAGAACTTATCTATTTGTGTGTTAGTATATGTAAGAACTAATGCTTTCAGTGCCTCTAATATTATCCAGACATTAATTGTTGTTAACCCCAGCTATTAAAAACATCAGATTAAGAGAGACTTGGGCTGTCAAAAAGTAACAAATATTTTTGCTTTTCAGAGGCTATATTTGGGTGCCAAATTGCAACAAGTATCTACCTTCCTGAAATTGAAAGGAAAGGAGTTGTGATAGTTTGGTCTTAATCCTAATTAGTATTTTCATGTATTCAATTTTCAATTAAAAAATTTACTTTGTTCTAAGTATAAATAAATATTCTATTAAACATTCTAATAGAAATATTTTATTAAATCTCATCAGTACATTTTTGTTAATTTGATAATCTTGCGTGTCTATATATTACATGATAACACTGAGATGAGTGATATAAACTCCTTTCCATGATTTGCAGATGCCAATGAATGGAGGGTACTCAGATCAGTCTGCTGCATACAGTAACCTTCAACAACAACAACAGATTCATCAATACAACCAGCAACAGCAACCCCTTCAACAACATCAACAGCAACAACAACAGCCACCGCAGCATTCCCCTGTTGTGAAGGCTGAGCCAGCCAAACCAAAGGGTCCTGTCCCAGAGGAGCACATGTACCTGCAGACGGTGTTCAATGAACTGCGTGATCGCTGCATGAATGCTGCAACTAATCCTGTAAGTAGGGTTAACAATTGTTGCAAAGTTAATTTGTTTGATGGTTCTACCAATTTCATTCACCTTAGGTTTAACCTAGCAGGTATAACTACCATATTCAACTGAATATAAGGTGACCCCCTAAATTAGAAGTGGTCTCCTGAGATTTTTTGAAATTTTGAACTAGTTCTTACTATTTTATCAAAATAATATTACAAATTGTCTAATTGCCTACAAAATTGTCTTATGGTTGAGAATGTCATAACTTATGCCTATGAAACCGAATGAACAATATTTTTTTGTTCCTTAAAGTCATCATAATCATGTTTTTATCACTATCCTCTTCATCTTCTTTTTCCTCCCATACTGCAACGTTCTCTGACTTTCAACATCTCTCTAAAAGTTTTGCGAGTTGAATTTGCATTCTTAGTCTTTCAAATGATGCCATCTAAGAACAGTCCCTTTTATGTCACAAAATTTTCTTCTTGTTCTGCTTTTATGCATGGCCACAGATTCTTTAACAGCTCTTTCCAATTCTTTAACAGAATACATTTGAAACTTGTGTCGTTAATGTTTGTATCATGGAGTTGTGAACTGCAAACCCGTAAATCGCTGTTCCTCTGTTTTGCAAGTAGATATAGCAGCAAGTTCCCAATTTTTGGAAGTTACACCCTTTTGTTAATCATGTTCTCTGGTTGGATGTAGAATATGTGTATTTCTATCAACATGAATTCATCTCTAACAAAGTAAAGATTTGCTAGGCATTGAACCAAGAGTCCTCATGTTCTTGTCGACCCCATAATACGTGTCATTTAACAAAATGTTGACAGCGATTTTATTCATTTTCACCTTGCGTTTCTTCAAAAAATATCAGTATGAAATCGCTTGGTAAATTCATGGGGGATACCAAGAAGACATTTGTGACTAATTACATAGGTATTATAGATACACATAATATTGTTATTGTTAAGTCAAAATTTGCGAGTTTCGTGATCTGGAAAAACAATATGAAACTTAAATCCTAACCGACTATGCTTATCTGCGAATATAAGACGACCCTGTATTTTTCCAGTGAAACCTCGTCTTATATTCACGTAAATATGGTACATAAAGTATCCAGTTATTAAAATAACCAGTTTTTCATTTCGTTTAAAAAAAATTTTCACACAAAAATTATTACTTATTTTGTTACTCAAGTAATGTAATTTATTTTTAAATACTAGAATAATACAAAGCAAACACACAGTATGCAACGTATTTTCATAACCTCTTATAGGTATATGACTTAACTGTAAAATACAGTGAAACTCTCTTTATACATTTCGCACTTCAACGTTTGTCAAGTTTATACGTTTTTGTTAGCAAGCCCCCAATAAATTCCTATAATTACCATGCAAATTATTTCAGATATGGATTTTAGGTTTATATGTTTTTCACACTTATACGTTCATAATAAAAGTCCCTTTAAGACTGTATAACATTAAGATGTTCCTGCAGAGGTGACAGCTAAGTTTGGGGTGACCTGCGTTGAGTGCCCGGAATTTTACTGAAGTTGGCACCAGAGTGTTCATGCAGAGTGACCTCTCGGCCTCTGAGGTGACTTCCCGATAATGAAACTTGTAATATAGAAGCTCGGCTCAGCTAGCCAAGTGGCCAAGACCATGTGAGACCGAGGGGTGGTAGTGCAAAGTCGGCTTCCAGGTCATCTCTGACAGCTAGACTTTGCAAAACTTTAAGAGTTGCTGTGGAAAGAGAACTGGAGACTGGATAAAAATTAATTTTTGAGAAACCTATACTTTTTGATATTTTTTAAAATTTCAATCACACAATGCAATTTTAAATAAAACATAATGTATAAAATTTATAGTTGATTTTAAGACTTTAGAGATAAATTTATAAAGATTTTAAGTCTTAATACCTAATCATGGAATATTTTTTGTGCACCACTGCACCCTGTAGGTGAATCGTAATGTTAAACATACCAAGATAACACTCTTTTTTCCTTAATAATTTTTTAAACTGCATATTGAGTAATTCTTTTTTGATAATATCTTTTCTAATAAAACAATAGTTTAAAAATATTGGGTTTTTATTTTACTCTAAATATTCAATTTCAGTTATGGGTTTTCTCTCTTATACATTTTTTCATTTCATCCTCTGAAAAATGTGTAAGTAAAGTTTTACTGTGTGAAGAAGGCTAAACTCAAAAAGTCTTGATTGCATGGCCTTTCTTGATTAATACAAAGTTAACAATTTAACCTCATTTCAGAATGAAAGGAAATTATTTTCTATTCTATCCCACCTGTACCTTCAAGAAATGAATTTGTCAAACATCAGAAAGTCTGCCCAGCACTATTCCTCTGAATGATGTCCATTCTTTGTTATTCTTTGTGGTTACTGGATGTTTTGTAGTCACAAATATTTACTTTGTGTTGTACAAATTGATCCAATATACTTTTTGTAGGACGGTCAGGTTATTTAATCAATATGGCTATATGTAGTAAGATCAAAATGACACATCCTTCCCTAATATATTAATATTATACATTTATCATGCCCTGTACCTAGCTCTCTCTCCCAGTATAATAATAATACACCGACAGGAGTATTTTATGGATCCAATTAATTTTATAATGGTGGGACTAGCCCTATGGGAACTCCAGATGTGAATTTCTTATTGTTGGGCGTTGAATGTATCCTGCTTCTGAATTTCTATGAAAATAATATCGACATTTTTAAGAATTTCGTAATTATTGTTACAATGTTTAAAAAATGAGATTCTTTAATAATTGAATTTTCTGTTAACAATTAATCGTAGCAACAATGTGAAATTCATGTGTAACGTACCTACAGATAAACAAGATATAAAAAGCAATTTACACAAATAATGTTAAATTTTCATTCATGTTTATGACATGTAATAAACTGTCATTTCTAGTGTGCTACACCCATATCTAGGGTCCAGATGTTTAAGATATGTCATATTTTTTTTCTTTGTGATGTTTCCAAGGAAAATGTAAATTAAACATGATTTTGTTTACAACGACTAAAATACAATTTTCACATATCATATACAGTCCTATTTCGGAATTTTTTTAATGCATTGAGTAATTTTCTGTAAAATTTTCATGAAATGGTCATGTTGTTCCATGAATTTTTTTACTTTTTGTCATATTTTTATCTTTTTGATTCCATTTTTGCATACTTGATAGCAGTCGTCTCAAAGACATTTTTCAAATCTTCTGTTATCTAATTTCTTACAACTGTTATATCTAATTATTGTCTGTCTTTTGTATAAATACATATATATGTGAATTGGGGGCTAACCTATATACAAGGAGAAAAAGAAAGCATAGAAACCACCAGATGCGAAACAAGTGTTATTTTAGTTTTGTCAGGTTTTGTGCCAAGGTCAATCACTTCTATAAATAACTTTAGCTGGTAAAATTGTCTTCATGGGGCACCAAAGGCGAGGGGGTGAATTGTGAATGTGCTAGATTTTAAAAGTATATTTTCAATATAATAGTCATTTAAACAGCAGAAAGATTTTGAGGGTTTCAAAAATGCAACCAAACATTTTAAGTCATATTTATGGTCATATTTTTATATTTTTAGGTCATAAATGCATATTACTAACATTTTTAGGTCATAAACATCCTGGTCTTACTCATTTCTCATTTTCTTTTATCCTTGAACTTAACTTTACTAGTCGTTAAGTATATAATCTTTACTATACTATATTACAAAACTTCTTCTTCATATAATTAATAAAATGTCTTTTCACTTCCCTTGTTCAGCAATGATCTGCATGCATCATATTCAATTTCCATTCCACACCATTCCATTCCATGTTTTTCTTCCTCACTGTTATCTTCACCCATGTACACCCTTATTACATTCTCTAGTCCATGTATAAGTTTCTAATTTACATAACTTAAAATTTACTAATAACATTTCAAAAAATTTATTTTACTATTTCCAAATATAGTTTTATAACTGTCCAACTTAACTCTCAAACTTCGTTACACAACAAGTAACTTTTTGAATTTGAAATTTCTATGACTCATGTGAGTACATTACTGACCCCTCTGTCGTCCGTGAACTTTCTTAACTTTGTACAACTCAACGCTTGCCTTCAGTTATCTTCATGTTCAGATCATAATGCCTATTTTGTTAAACTTTACCAATATCTTTCAAGCTTTAAGTAATATCGCATTTTAATTCGCTTTGCTTACGGTGTGCCTAAATGCATTGTTTCCAATTGTGTTTAATCAATTCTTTTATATGTGTTAGAATATATATTATTTATTGTCTCTTTAATATAGTATAATACTTGTAATAATATAATATAATACTTGTTTACATGTGTATAGTTTATTTATTTATTGTGTACATGAAACTATTTCCTATGTCAAGTCTGTAGCTCAATTGTTTTCCATCCTTGTTATTTATGTGTTTAAATATAAAAATATTTTAAAGTTTTTGTCCTCCTGAGATGAAGGTTAAAAATGTCTCGTCTCAGTAGAGATTAGCACAAATAAACTTTTGTGTGTGATTTGCAGCAAGCAAAAAGGAAACTTGAAGATGTTGGGAGGAAGCTGGAGGTTTTGTATGATGCACTGAGAGAAAACAAGGTGAGCGAAAATCTTTGGTTGATAATTTGATTTCCTGATAAAAAGAAAGAAAAGGGGATGGTGAAGTATTTCTGTTATCTGATGATTCCTTTAATGAGTATGGGGGCTGTAGTTACCTCAAAATGTTATATTGATTCTTTACAGTCTTTGTTGTTTTACCATTTTTCATTTTCTGTTGAGTGCTAAACAGATACATTGGTACTTTCATTGCACAGCTCTCTCCGAATACGCTGTCTGCTCTGCATCAAATGGTGCAGTTGGTGCAAACAGGCAACTACACCAATGGTCTCCATTTGCACACACAACTTGTGTCTGGTCCAGACTTCTCCCAGATATCCAGTTTCATGCCTGGACTCAAAGTTCTGCTTCAACTTGCTCTTCAACTCGGGGTTTACTTACAGTGAGAAATAAAACAAAACAGAACAGTTTTGTAGTGACATACAAGAGATTGTGTCCATCGTCAGATATTTCTTTTTTGGCCTAAATTGTAGCTTGTTTTGTATCACGAAGCATATTGCAAATTACTTAATGTGTACAGTATTTGATATGTAAATAGAACTTTTTATTTTTATGTGGAGTTAAACGGGATATACCAAACAAGAAATCAGGATTTTCCCGTGTATAACTCCAGAAAATATATGTATGTATTTAGAAAATGTTACACATAATGCTTAATCATCAATATAGATGCTATTTAGGTTAAGCACTAAAACATTCATGATATTCAGGTAGTTGTTATTTTGGAAGTACATAGTACTTCAATACAGGACCGAATATTTTAATTTAAAGTACTAAAATTGGAAATGTTGGTGAAAGTTCCCACTTCATGAAACGTGGAATAAATACTGAGGGAAGTGCTGAAACAAATTGTGCATTTCTCTGTTTATTTTTGTAGGGTAGATTGAGATTGTCATATATTTCTTGAGAGCTAAAACAAATGAATATTTCATGTTATTTTTATTTTGTTATGTAATATTTCTTTTGTTTATAAAGTTGTATGTATAAATTAGAATTCAGATGCATATCTGTCTCAAGAAAGTGATTATCAATGCTGTTTTTCTACAGCAGAATTTGTGTGATGTGTTATATCAATATTTATTATGAAATTGAAAAACACTCTTGTATACTTGTTCTGTGTAGTGCCTCCAAAGAATGCCATGTACAAAAATCATTTACAGAACCTAATTTTCAACTAAATGTTCAAAAATTGTCAACTCATGATTGTTTGTAGTTAAAATTTGAATCCAAAAATGCCAGAAAGTTGTTTTGAATGTGTGCTTGTTATTTTGCATTGTTTGGATATTTTCTCAGAAAATGAAGAATATATTTTGTTTTATCCATGCCAAAAACTTTTTTTTCTGAATAAGAACATGTGGAACATGCTTTTTATTATTTGTGCAGCTATAATAAATGCAAAAGAAAGTGATAGCCAATTGTTTACAAAGTAAGATACGTATGGAAGATGCTCTTGTATGATTTACACTATGTTGCCTGTTACTGATATGTATAGTACCAGAGTACCATTGCCAATGATTTTGTACATAAAAGGGATGCAAACAATATTTGTAATATGGATAGTACTGGTATAAATGCTTGCTGATTTTAATGTTTAGTGACATTTTTAATAAAAATTATGGTGCTGTCAGGAGATGTGTGATGTTTGTTAACAGAATCAGGATATGTGAATAAAATGATTTTTACCAATTAGCATGAGTTATTCGTTTATAGTAAATTCTTCTTCACGAGACATATTGGAAACAAAGTTTGAAGCTGCAGATGTTCCAGAATGGGACTGATTTTCTTGCAGTAATTAGTTTCCTAATCTCTTTACTCTTGGGTAAGTATTTGGTTTAGGCCCACACTCTCTCCCAGCTACTACCTATTGGCATCTCAATGTACTTTTTTCTCAGATTGTTTAGTCGTTTCTGAAAAGACACACAAAACTTTTTGAGTTTTTGTAGAACATTGTTAGAAATAATTTGAAAAACTTGTACTTTCAAATTCAAATGTATAAAGAAAGCTTGTAATACAAATATTAATCCCAAGAGATATTATTACAAAAAATTCCATTTGTGTAATTATTGAAAAGTGAAAAAAGTAATTCAAAGTGACGTTTATATCGTCGTATTCAGTGCATTTAGTGCCATACAGCACCATTCAGAAGGTTTAAAGAAAAAATTTTGAGTCATTTTTGAGAAAATCTTGTTTTTAATATTGCCATTATTTTGAAATAACACGAAACTAGTATTTCCAAAACAATGTTCATGATATTAACTTACATTTGAATTACAATATGAATTTGAAATTTAACAATGGTCATAATTTCTTATAGTGGAGAACAAATTTTATTAAAAAAAAACAAAAAACTCTATCTTTAATAATGTAATTGTATAAGAGAGGTAAAAATTCCAATCTTTTATAATTTTGAAAAATTAACAGAAAGCGGTGTTTTAGTATTATGACAAGAAATTTAAAGCAACTATTTGGAACCATTTATGAGAATGTACCAGGAATTTTGTGTAAAGTACCCCCAAGGTTGTTTTTTCTTCAAAATCTCAAGGCTTTGAAAATCAGGTCAGATTGATCATTTAGGTAAAAATGATATGAATAGTTTAGGCCATATCTCAGGCGGGAATGAACATTTGCGAAATATACACAAGCAGTGTGGAGGCTGACTGAATTTGAAATTAAATTTGGTGTTAAATTCTTTGAAATGGACGTTCCATTTAAGGTTTGACTGAATTTAAAGACATAATTTGTTACCCCAACGATAGTCAATGGCACACCGTTCATTTTCAGAGAAGTGCCGAGCTGTTCATTTGAAATGGAGAACTGCATTGAAAAAGTTTTCTTTTCATTTACTATTAATTTGTTATTACGGAACAAATTTGATATTGCACTATTTACGGTTTCTTTACTGCAAAGAATATTCGTATCCGCAAAGAGAACTGTTCTTCCGTTTCTAATCGTCGATGGCATATCGTTTACGTATGGTAGGAAGAGAAAGGGGCCTAAAATCGATCACTGCGGGACTCCACATTCAATTGGCAAATAATTAGAAAGGTTTGTACATTATGTTCCATTATTCCAGTAAGGTGTTTCTACTCTGAGATCGTTGTTTAAGGTGCGAACATAACCAATCTAGAGCAACACCGACAGCTTCAGCGACATCCCGCAGTGAATGAAGGAACGTTTCTCGGCTTTTCCGGATAATAACGACGCGCATATGCCAATTTGACTAATGCACAATCTACACTTTGGTAAGTGTAAGTATGTGTATTTTTATTTATAGACGGTGTTGTCTTGATTCATGATTTGGTGGTCATTGGCCAAAAATGCCATTGAAAAAGGTTCTTTCATTGACCGCGTGATATCACTGAAGCAAAGAGTGTCTGATTAGCTGGCGACGCGTTTCATTCCTTCCCCCCCCCGGGGGGGGGGGTCGCGTCTGCGTAGGTGGGCGCGATTTCTGGTGGAGTTGTAGGCGACCACCTGGTCCCTGAGTTTTACGGCGACACGCCGTTAGCTTCAAGCAGGGCCGGATTTAAGTAGTGCGGGGCCCCAAGCACAAAAATGTGTCCCCCCCCCCGAAAAAATAGCTCCTTCTTTATTAAATAAAAAAAATGTATTATAGTACAAGTACCTTCTGTACAGATACAAATGAAAACTGCTAATTTTTTATAGAAATTTTTACTTGTGTTACATTTTGTTACACAGTAGACTACTTGATTAACAATTATTAACGCGGGGCCCCTGGTGAATGGGGGCCCCCAAGCAACTGCTTGTTTTGCTTGTACGTAAATCCGGCCCTGGCTTCAAGGTGAATGCAGTGAGTGGGCGCGTCGACCTTTGAGCAGCATTGGGCGAAGGACGTTTTTCGGAATGCTCCAGATCCCTCATACAAAAACCCGTTATGGACCGGATACCCCCTGTAAGATTGCGTGGGTTCTGGCGATATTCACGTCCACGGCCTAAAGGTTAGGAAATAGAAGGCGGGAAGGGGACCCCAAGCCGCCCGGTGGCCCCCTTTGACCTCTTGGCTTCTTCGTGTCAATGGCGCGATACTCTGGGCAAAGAGGCGGGACGTGTTACCGGCGCATGGTGTAGCACATTGATTTGACTCCGGTACTATCCTGGAAAGCTAGTAGCTCTGAGCACGCAAGGCGGCACCACCTAAGCATTGAATGGGGATGTTGCCGTAAGAGCAAACTGCTTTCCAGCCCGTTGGCGTACTTGTGCGCCGGTGGGGGTTACGGATAAAGGCGAAAAGCTTAGGTGCCAATCCCGGGGCCTTCTGATCCCTTAGAACAAGAAATTTATATGGATTTAATAGGCCACACTGATAGGGTCCATAACCCCCCACTGAAGTTGCCTCCTTCTTAGTCTTCTTGGTTATGAAAGTGAACGGATGACGGACAAGTTTGAATCACGCGCGATGTTGCAAACCGTGAGAAATGAACGAGTTCAGACGGTGTCGGGCTAGGTCGGTGTTCGTCGGTAGTTTGTCGGCTCTTCGTCGGTCACAACCCGTCACACTAACAAGGCACAAGGGGGAATGTGTATAAAGAAGCCGTGTTGTTTATTTTCAATTATTGTATTTAAAACGTTCCCTGAAGTTGAAAATAATGTATCGTCTGTTGAAACTCAGAAAATTGTCTTCTTGTAATTCTCAAGTTGTGTCGTTTCCTGTTAATAGTAATTTCCTAACTCGAACATGTGCGTTTTGTAACCACAATTTCGTTCTAAGGGCACCAAGAGGTGTGTATTTAAGGCAATAATATCAAATCCATTGTGCATTACCGGCATTTTTGGTAAAGTGACATATTTTGCAGATGGTACGATTTCGCTTGTGCAGTCGTCGAGAATGCAATCTACTAATACAAAGACTGTAATGCATGCACTTTCGAAGAAAAAGAAAAGGAAACCCAGAAAGAAATATGCCGAGCTCCTAGAAGGTTTGTCTATCAACCCTTGTAATTAATTGTACGTGTGAAAACTTGATCCATGTTATCTTGTTAATCTGTTTTTTTAGTTACCGAAGATGCATCTAGTCAGACGAAAGCATCGGTCAGCAAATTATCATCCAAACATTTATCTTTGTTAGCGGAACAACCAGACATCGATTTAAACGAATTGTTCCAACTGAAAAAACTGAAAATTCATTCCAATGACAAATTAGAATCAAAATCAAAACAACAGCAAGGTGCAGTGTTGTTCATTCCTCCAGATATGGATGCAGATCGTGTTAGTGCCATTGTATTAACTAGTGCCATTCCAGCATCTTGCCTTCAGGGAAATTCACAAGAAGAAAGCAGTAGCAATAAGTCATTTAAAAACAATCTACATGAAAATGCCTGTGATAGAATGTCTCAATCAGTTGTCTCTTGTAGTAGTGTGGAGTCATTAAATAATATTCACCCAGTAAAACACCACTTTATTCCTTCACCTGATGACATGACAAGGGATATTGGTGTTTCTATTGATGATCCAGTACTTCGTTCAAAGTTACTGGAAGACTTAAATAATTCTCCTGATCAAGTTCTTTTACTAAAAGGAAATGTTTTAGAAGACCAATATGAGTTTCAGCCTGATGTTGCTGAGGCTGATGTGGAACATGTAGATGTTCCAATAGAATCAAAAAAAAGGTATTTGATTTATATCAGTTTTAGAACTTGAATACAATTCTAAGTTGTAGTGACAGGGAAATTTTGTAATGGTAATCAACTGCATGTGACATGGTGACATTTTGCATGCGTGCCAATGATTTCATCAACTTGGCAACTATATTATGTATTTATAGGTTGATGTAATAATTAGCTGAACTACAATGGGGAGTTTGAAATGTAATTAATGTAGATTTGTCTGTAAACAGACATTTGTGTAATTAACATCAATAACATGAATATTGATTAGAAACATAATATAATTTTCTTTTCAAGCAATGAAAATATTGACTTTTCAAATTGTATTTACTTTAATGTAATTATTAATAATTATGGTTCAAATTACAGTGGAATATTGTGTGTCAAATAATATTGATGTTATTGTTTTGTGTTTTGATTTGAAACTAAAAGTATTGTTGATTTTCTTGACTTAGTTTTAATAGAAAATGCATTAACTTATGTAATATTTGTAATAAATGTTTTTATTTATGTCTTCACCATAGATAATAAAATATTTTTGTAATAAAATCAAATGAGTCAATGAAAAAGGAAATGCAAAGAACTTTTTTAATGTGCATTTGTCAAAATAAAGATGGAATCCCTACTGTCTGAGAATCTTACTGATATAGAAGTTACTGTAGAAAACACTTCTGACAGAAAATATTCTATAAAATTATTATTTGTGCAGGAAATGTGGTAATCGGGTCAAAAAAAGTAAAGATGCTGTAGTGAAGGACCTTGCTGCAAAATTGAAACGAAAAGAATTGGAATTAAAGGGTCGATCTGAAAGTTTGACTCGTGGAGTAGCAGCTTACATAGATATTTGTGTAAGTAACATTCAATTTTGAAAATAATTATTTATTGAAGTTTCTGAAAAAATATTTTATTAATAATATTTATTATGCATGAATATTCCAAATAAAATGAATGCATATCTATCAGTTTTGAAGATAAAATTATTGATTAAATATAATTATTGTCTTACAGAGAGAGATGCATACAATATACATCTATAATTTTAAAATAAAAAATACCAAGATAAAATTGTATATTTCTGTGTTTTGAAGGGTATCTGATCATTGAAGCTATTATTCATCTTATTGTTGGGTTCATTTTTCTAATATCCTTCTTTACAATCTTTAGTTCATAGCACATTTAAATAACCTGACAATTCCGAGTAATTTACTTTTTTCTTAATGTGTAAATTAGTTTTTATGACTGTAGAGTTCAACAGTGATTTTCTGTGAAGTTTTCAGCCAATTTTTCCAAGTATTTTCACATTTGCTTGATTCTTCCTATTTATTACTCATTATCACTGGGGTAATGACAGAATTGTGTGGATTCTTGTGAATTTATTAGGGGTTGTGTTAGCAATAGACATAATTATAAATTGAATTCAGTACCATAGAGGGCTAGATAATTACAGCACCAGGATGTTAATATTTTTATTTAGTTTCTTTTTGTGGGTGCTTAATGCCCCCTTCGTGTACTGCAATGAGCATCAACATTGTAAACTGATCCAACACTTTATAACTTGTTTTTAATTCATTACAAAAATTAATATTTAACATTATAGGATGGAATTTTGGTATGACAATTAAGAAAAAATATGGATTATAAAATACTAACAAATGCAACAGGATAGAAAACAATTTTTTTTATTGCTTAATTTAATCATTATCTAATAATCCTTTGTACTTAGAGCTTAGTTTATTGGTGTCAGTTTTCATGTTAATGGAATTGTATTTCGAAATGTGAATCATCTTTAGGGTTAATTTTATTATGAATTCTTTTGGGTATTAATAATAGAAACTTCATCATATTCTGTATTGTGATTATGTTCAATCTGGTGTTTGGTAAGGTTTAAAGGGAAGTGTCCTTTTTGGTGTCATATTTATCTTGGTGTAGTCTTTCCCATAAATATTGTTTGGTTTTGTCAGTGTAGACTTTGTTCGTCATGGAATTTTGTTAACTATGTTGGATCTATGGACTTTGGGTAATTGTTTGGGTTTGTTGAAAAATATATTTATTTTGTTTTATTATAGAAAACAGGTGTGAGATTATATTTATTAAATAATTGTTCAATTTGGGGATTTAAGTTAGTGCAAAAGGGAAGAACAGCTTAATTGATTTGTTTTCAGGAGTAACAATATGTGAATGGGAATTTAGTGTGATTTTGTGTATTTCTGTATAATCTGACGACAACAAAGGTTGTTTTTTAGGGCATGATTAACAATAATGTTTTCTTGGTGGAACATGTAATCAGATAAGTCAATGGCAAAGTCTGCTAAGATGAAAACTGGCAATTTTTTGATTTTGAGTATGTTGTGAGAATAAATTTAAAACCTTGCCGGACCATTTCTACAGTGAGTTGTAAACTATTATGAAACTTATTGTGGATTTGAAATAATTGGTCAATATGGTTAACATGAACTCGGAGATGAGTCAGTATCAACACATTTGTAATATATCAAGATGTGATTTACTTGTTTGTTGCGTTTAAGCATTTTATTATCGTGTCAAGACTGGCAAAAAGGGAGCACCCGTGAGATCAAAAAGAGTGATGATAAGGCCTTTAATTGTAACCGAAAATAGAGTAATTGAGAATCATCCTTAAACCTATTATGAACTGTTCTAGAAGAATATTGGTGAATTTAGATAGTATACTCCATTTTTCATGGATAATTTTGGAAATATCTTCTGGAAAATTTTAAACAAAAATTTTATTTCTAATGAATAAATCTGATAGTTATGTGGGATATTTTAAATGTTTGATCATATTTTTGAAGTCTTGATTATTTTTGATGTGACTTTGTGTGTGTATGTGAGTGTCTGTCTGTCTGGTGATATGTTTTAAAATGTTATGGTAAAATCTGTCAAGATTGTAGAGTAGACTACCTATAACTGATGCAATTGCATTCTTGGGTAATCCATCTTTGAATATAGAGATTATTAACAGATCATTGCTTATGGATGCTTAGAAATTCAGTTAATATTTATTAATTATCTTTTCCTGATTATATTTTCTTTCTAAACTTTTTGTTTATTGCAGGTAAGTTGTGGATTTTTGAATCGAGCATTGTGTACCCTCCACTTCTATAGATCTCGAAGGCGGAATATGTCAAATCTGCCCAAATTTATTGATGCTAGGCCCTATAACACTCTCCTCCAAGGGTTCTCAGGAAAGGTGAGTTCATTTGAATGAGACAAGAAAATGCTAAACTATTTTTAATTTCTTTACTTTATGCAAGTATTTTTATTTTCTGGTTCTTGATTTTTTAATGAGAATTTGATTTTTTTGTACTTGGCTGTCAATCAGCAAGTATACTCATATCTTGCAATTCATTACTCTCTAACTATCTATAGTTTCCCCTAAGGATATTCTACTAATTCACTAATGAATCAATTATTTTCTTCACCTCCACATGTGATGTAATAAATGATAAAATTTCTTATATTGTATTTTTTGAAATCATCTTGCATTTACCCAAACATCTAATGGTAATTAGCCTGCAATATTCTTTATAGGGCCGTAAATAATTTTGAAATTACACAAAATATTTTTCACGTAATTGAGCATATAAATTCAAGAATTCATTGTTATAATTCATTGACAACAGTAAAATATGATTATAAAAGATTTTCACATGTCATTTCACAATTTGCCAAGTATGTGAAGCAAAGACTGGTAAAATAAGGCGGTGGTTGTTTTTAGCTTGTTCAGTTCTGCTAAGGCTCTAAAAAGTCTCATATGCTTCATTGGTTTTTAATTTGTCTTTACTAGTTCCTTTGGCTTTACTAGTTCCAATTTTTTAAATTACTATTAAAGACCATTATCAAAATTACCTCTTGAAGTGCTTTTCAGCAAGAAACAAAAGAAAGCTTCTGGGGTAAGATGACATTAAAGCAGAGGCACACCTAATGATGAGCTGCATATTTATTCGACTCAATTTGTATTCAGATATTTGTTATCAGAAATATTTTAATACAAATGCAGATTAATGAAAAACTGATGTTTGTAGAATTTTTCATTATCTTTTGTGGAAAAAATAAGCCACCCCCAAATCCACTCAACTCCACTTACCATTGTAACTGTTTTGAATGTGACTTGTGAAATTCTTTTTGAGATATAGGAATTTCAAATCTGTTGGTAGTACATGCCCTGTACATCTGTAAATAATTAGATCCTTTGTTTTTCTAGGGAAACTTAAATAAAGTGAAGGATATTCTTAGGATGATGGAAGAAGACAAGATAAACTGGACTCTCCAAACATATGCATCTGCATTTGAGTGTGTAGGACGTCTTCAGAAATCAGTTACTCACAAATCGTTGCTTCAGAACTGGCTAGAGAGTATGAAGAACGCAGGCTGGTCTCCAAACGACTTGATGTCTAAGACTTTATTTGTGGCAGATCAACGTGAAGTTGTTCTGAATGCAATTCAATTTGTTTTGCCTTGTTTTGAGCCTGAATACACTCCTCCAGATACATGTTATTCTTGTGAATTGCTTCGCGAATTGAATAACCCTGTAAAGGTAATTGAAGAATGAACTGAAGAGGTTTTATATATTATTATTTTTATTTAATGTAATATGAATGCCCCAACTTAGTGCCACTGTCTCTGCAGCGAGTCTGATCCTAGGGTTGAGTCCTGACTATGATGGAATTTTTGAGACTTTCTATACAGCTTTATTGAATTCAGTTGCCATCTAGAGGAGAATTTTGGGGTTGGGTGCATTGATCAGTAGTTTTCTGTGGTTTCTCCAAACAAGAGAGATGGTAGATTTAAGGAATTGCTAAAAATGCAAAAAGTTACCAAACGCTAAAAAAAATTTATAATTGTATGCTTGTAGGTCATTTATGAACGTATTCAATCTGCAATAAAATGCAAAACTGATCGCAAAATGCTAAATCAGGTTCAAAGTGCGAGATGGTCATGGATACATGATATAATTGCTAAATTGCATTTTATGGTTTCCTTTGTGAACACACTCTAATTGTACTTTGATTTATTTACAATGGCAGTTTACTTTTAATTACCTATTTGTGTGCCATCCAATCAGGAGCTTAAACGTCACCATAGTGACATCATAGTGACTTTCAAGCTTCCAATTGAATGACACTGTAACAGCTGATTAATGGTAAAGTGCCACTACAAATAAATTGAAGTATAGGGATGCAACTGCGACAACAACACATCAATATTTGAAAACATTTAATTTGACAGGGTCAGTTTTTATTAATTTATAATTAAGATTTTACTGACAAAGTAAAAAAAAACAACAATTCAAAAAACTGATCTTGAAATCCTCTGTGCTCGGGATCTTCTCAAGGAGTTTTAGTCTCCTCAGTTTGTTGTAAGGAGAAGGTCACGGAAAGAAGTGGAAGGCCCTACAAGTATGCCACACGAGTTACATCTTATGTTTTTTACACTTGATATGCTTTTCTTTTTGTTGAATTTCACTAATGGCGAAATATTAAATTGATTTCCCTTTTTTCTGACTTTAATTGGAAAATCTAAAAAGGATGAAAATATTTATTTTTATCTTGAAATGTCCTCTCATAATACTTTTCTCAACAAATGCTAAATCTTAATATTTATAATGCGATAAAATGCTTTTGCCTTGTTATTCAAAATGCGATTTAAATAAATTTAAAGTGCTAAATTCTACTACTACTATCAGTCAGTACCATATCAAATGGGTCATGGACCACAGTTGATCTTTCCTTCCTCGTCCTTGACTCTCCTCTCCCCTTCTACTGACTCACTAACAAGCACTAAACAATCATGTATGATGAGACACTAATTGGGAGCTTAGAGCTTGTCCCGTGGGGAGTATGGCTATGGGAAGTGCCCTCAAGCCTACATGTAGGTTGGCACTGAATCTCACCGTTGATCGGGGAAGAATACCACCATGATATTACATTAATTACACTATTAATGAGCATAGGATTTGACATGCACGGAAACAACAATCTCAACCGAGGTGTGTAGATGTATTGTTTGTTATTAAGAATAATACTATTATTTGAAAAACGCATTGTGCATAATTGTTCAGAAAAACAGTAGCAATATTTGTGCTTCAGAAATATGAGTCAGTGAGTGCTGCAAGTAGAATGTCATTCTCAATCTTAGTTTAATTAAAAAGGAACAACATTTAGTAAAGATCATGAACAACTTAATTGTCACCATACAATTTTATATTATCTAATTATCTTAATTATATTTACTTCTATAAAGTTCCACATAATTTAGAGAAACATAAACATATAAGAAATTTCCTATATAATACAAGGAACAAAATCATAATGGGTTCAAGGAAGTTTGTATAAATTAGAATTGACATCAGTTCAGTGGCTAGAATATTACATGTTCTAACTAAATTTTGTTGTTTCTTTTCTTATTGTAGCTTGTGTGTTTGCACTTTTATTTCTATGACACGTTTTTTCACGTTAGCACTTTTGTTTACACGACATGATATTTCTCCTGAGCTTAAAATATAAATTATCAGAGATTTATTTAAAATTACTTTTTGTTACAAAAAGTGACAAGTAGTTTGGCTTTGTGATATAGTCTTTCAAGTGGCTGAGCATTTTTATAAAATTTGTTGTTGTTTTTGGAGATGACTTCATGGAAGTATTTTTATTTAATAAAGTATGTTTCTTCCTTGTGCATTGTAATATGATTAACAGATCTGAAATTTCATTTTTCATTTCAACAGAAACAGCCATACAAAAGTCCTTCTGAAAGCGTAATGAGTCGGGAAGACTTATTGGCTGCAGCCAGAGAACAATTGGCATTAGAAAACTGTGATCATATTAAAGTAAAAAGTATTGAGAAGCGAGAAGATTGTGCTGAAACTGTAAAATACTACGTAAGTACTGAAGGAATGTGAATTAAGATAAAACTGGCTTGTGAGAAACCTGCTAAAAAAAGTTTTATTTTATCCTCTTTGATGCTGTGCTGACTTCTGGGTAGTTCACACTCGGGGTGGGGGAAGACCCATTAATGCTATTGTTGGATGTAGGGGGAGGGGGATTTTAATGAAATGTCATTTTTTCTTTTTACTTCAGAACAATGCCTTTTAGTATAGACATTAATTTTGTTATAACAAAAGTAAATTACCAATTTTTAATTACTTTTTTGGCATTTTTTAATGATTTTGACTATTATGTAATGTTTTACTTTTCCCCCATCATTTTTAAAGCATTTTTAGCTGATTTAATTGTTTTTAATATCACTTTAATGAAGCTTGCTTCAAATATTATTTGTGAGATGCAATGAATGTCCTCCACAGAATTCCTGAGCAGGTTATTTGATTTCTTCACTCAGAAATTGTAATGTTTGCCATTGTGAATATGTAATCTAAGGTTCCTCTGATGCCTATCAGCACTACTGTTGGTTCAGCCTATTTTGTGATGACTAACGACAGATTTCCTGGTAAAGAACAGTCCAAACCAAAAGTTTGCAAGCTGAGTTCACTTAAACGAACGGAAGAAACCTTGATTGCAACATATCTAGCAGTATAAGTTGCTCATCTTAACTGGTTTTGATGAAATTTTTTACCTCATTTTTCTTTGCTTTTAGTTGTTTTTTTTAAACATTTAAAGAGCATTTCATTGATTATTTTTGGCAATGTTTTAGGTCATCAAAATCTGCCCCTAGTTATATGATGACTCTGTGTGGAAAGTAATAGACACCAACTGAATCTGAAAGAGTACAAATGAGCTGAAATCAAAGTATGTTTTTAGAACTGGTCGCATAGTGATAGGATTAAAACATTGTAATGTTTCTCTTCCAAAAACTATGTTGTGTTAAACATTTGCTGGATAGACTTTTCTTAGGAATACTAGGAATCTTGGTACCTAATTTATGGTTAAAAGAGTGAGATATTAGTTGAGTGAATATCTCATAGAAGGATTACAATTAAGTTTTATTAATTATTTGGGGGAAAGTGGAGTAAATTGGGTAGTGCAGGTAAAGAGGGAGATGCCTTTAATAGCTGTACATAGATAGAAATAACTTTTTCGATGACCGGTTTTGATGCAATCAAGCTAAGGAACACCTCTTAAGCGTTTTTTGCTAGGATTTATAAAGTTATACAAAAAGGTCTCCTGGTTTACCTGCCTTTTCCCTGTATTCTATTTGGGAGAGGGAGGTCAGAAATGGAAAAGGAAAGGAAAATTAGAAAGCTATTAGAATATCTGAAAGAAGAAAGAAAGAAGTGAGAGGGAGGGGAAAAAAAAAAAATATTGCAGCACTTCCTCGAACTACAGATGATAAAAAACAATGGTGAATCAATATAAAAGTATTTTTTGGACTTCCTAACCTTGCCTCAATTCAATTTTCCATGCAAATAATTAATTTTTGCCGTTTCCGTATAACTCTACTGAATAATTGATTAACATGGTGGACATTTTTTTTTACTGTTTGTAAGATCTCATGAACTGAGATAAATGAGATATATGACTTGAGGAACTTTTTATTACTTTCTCACAAAAATTAATTGCCTAGTTCTGATTAACTAAAATGCAAGTAATCCCTGTGGGAAATAAATAAAATGTTTCTATGATCAATATATCTAATTAATTTAGTTAAATTATATCTACAAGTAGCAAAACCAAATCTGAACTCGTTTTCTGAGTAAAGCTATTAGTGAGAGCTAATAGATGTTACTTATGTGTAAATATTTTCTTGAATTTATCTTCAATGCTCTTATATGTCTTTTTTGGCAATGAAATTTACTAAATTGGTTGCAATATCGTGACACTAGGTCATTAGGATGGAAAAGAATTATAAAACTATTATTCATGCTTATGTTTTGGTGAATATTTTGCATTCAACTGCAACTAATTTATTATCAAGAGGGCAAGACAGAGGGAGAGAGATAACAGAATTTCACTTTACTACTTCTAACTTTTTTTCTAGCGTGATAAACTCTCAGAATCTGAAGTTGTTTGGCGAGAGGTTTTGACACATGCCCTAAGGAGGGAAATGGAGGTGTTGCGGGCCCAACACAGATCTTTCCAAAGTCAATCTCAACTTAATTTGTATCCTTTCCTGCGAATATTGGATCCGAAAATATATGTTGATCTTCTAATGAAGGTAAGTTTCTTTTTTTTGTAATAACTTCATTTCATTAAAAGATTCACTATACTTTATTGAGTTTATTTAATTGTAAATATGTTTGGTTAGAATGAGAATATATTTGTTTATTTGCGAAATATTTTTATGTTCATATTTAATGTATTATTTACATCTTCTGATAGGATATTTATGGTTGTTTTTTCATTTTTCATTTTTGCATGTATGCATCCCTCGGGCTTAGCCCATTGCAGGATACAAATGAAATAGTTCTGAGTAGGCACCAGCCCATTGATCTTGCAAGTAATTGACATCAATAAAAATTTCAATATTGCCCACCAGTGTCTTTTTTAAAAAAATATTTATAATAGGGAAAACACGGAAATCCATGTAAAATCAGGGAAATTCATTGCTTTGGAAACGCCAAGGAAAAATCAGGGAATTTGTAGAAGAATCCTTAGAAGCCTTGGAAAATTTTGAGAATTTGTGTCAGAGAAATTTTGAAAATTATAAAATTGTAGGTTTTATAACTACATAGTCATTATTCCTTTGAAAAATTAGTTCAGAAAGAAATAATGACGTAATTTTTATTAGATGAGAATTTTTTTAAAATTTATACTTTATCATAGTGAAATGAGAGAGCTGACAAACTAGTTCAATTCAGTTCAGTGATACCTTGTTTTTCGTGGTGAGGCTTAGGCGATCAGCCCTGCTCTACTGCCTGACAACACAAATTACATGAAGATCCTTTCACCATCTGTCAGAGAAAGGAATTACCACTCAGGCAATGAAACAAGCTATTTGTATTAAGCTCAGAGGCTTCTTTTAGGCTTGAGGTACATGCAGTAAATGTACAACATGGGACATCTGGATTTAGCTCTCCGAAGGAAGGCATATGAAGGATTTTTTCACCTACAAATCAGAGGGAAATGTCACACGTGTAACTCCATTTTATGAAATTTCCCACTAAATGTTCTTTGTGAAGAAATGATCTTTTTTGATCGCTGTACTTACCCTCTATTCATTCTGAGACACTGCATTGTGTGAACACTTGCCTGCTTGTTGCTACCAGATGACATTAAAACTTATTAATTTTCCTGTGTAGGAAATTCGTCGATTGGCGGAAGGTTCAGAGACATTCAGTCCAACAACGAATCAGCTGTATCGCAATCTTGGATCTCAAATTATGTCAAGGTTAGTTGAAGAAAATGTATAAGGCTGATTTGTATTATGCAATTACATTTTATCAGGTGTTCTATAATTTCTGATTTAAAATTATTACAAAGAGTTCTTAAAAATTAGTTGACCATTCAAGCATTCTAGCCTCCATCATACCGTCGTCGTCATCATCATCATCATCTGTAGGATGAAAACCCTACGCACTTTCTTTATTAAAAAATTTGTTTGCTAAGGGTCAAATTTTTTCTACCATCTTCAAGAACAAAGATTTTACTATCATTTAATCTATTTTTTTGTGATACTTCACTGTGGTCGATTGGTTGGACAATATATGTTAAACAGTAGGCCTTGAGAGGTTATTCAGGTGTTCCTGTATGACCCTATTTTTTTAGGTCTTCCTATTTTCCTCTGCTGTAATAGTTTGTATTTTAGAGCAGATTGTACATCAATAACTATTTTTCCAACTGTTGAATCCCTGGAAATAAATTATATATTTATAATACGTATGTGCATGTTGTTTCAATTTTTCTTGCAGGTATGAAATTGAGTACAAGCGAAGTATGGGAGTCCTAGGTCAAATTGAGAATGTTTATGAGAAATATTGTGATTGGTATGCTAATCCTACGGGACCTGCATGCAATCCACGAGAACAATGGCAAATGCTTGTTCATGAAAATTCCACAGGTCCGAGTATGGTGAGTTAAATAGAATTCATTGCTAGGTAATAAAGTAAGGGAAGGATAATGATATGAGCCATTCCATAAGTTATTGCAATTATATTATATCATCCAATACAAAAGTAGAAATAGAAATTCAATATATGCGATTGAAGGTCACTGAAGAATGTGCTTTGCACTGCTTCATGAAACCAGAGCCATTGAGTTGAGGAATTAAAAGACAAGTAAACTGAAGTAATTGTTTTATTAGACACAAAAGGAAACATGTCACATTATGCAAAGCTAACTACCTTCAAAATAATCCCTCCATGTTTTGACATGTCTTTGCCAATGATGAGGAAGGCATTGAATAACATTAAATATGGGCAATTAATTTTTGCGTAACCCTTCTTGTCCACTGAGTAATAGGTCAACAGAACCATCATGTCTACATTTGAAGGCGTCCACTAAACAATGTGATACTACAACAAGTCAATGGACTTTCAGCCTTTGTTTTTCATATCTATGCATGTCACTGAGAAGGATTTCTTCCTCAAAGAACTGCAATTTCTACACATGACTGCTATTTCACTTTACTGGCATCTATCTGTGAGCCCAGCCTCTATTCTTAGATTCTTTTAACATGCTGCATGACTGAAATCAGAAGTTGACTGTGTCATCCAGCTGGGACCTTAAACGTCACCTGAGTGGCATCACCGTGAGGACGTTCAAGCTCCTGATTGGATGACACACTAACAGCTGATTATATTAAGCGCCATGTTGAAAATATCATACTAAATTTTGTATGAACAGCCTACTAACCACTGATGTGACTGGGGTGTCAAGCAGGGCTGCCAACAAATGTACTGAACTAAGTTTTTTTCTGGTATTTCAGAAGATGCAATGTAGTTTGCCTTGACTAATGGAGTATCTCACTTATTAAATAAAGGTATCTTCCTGTTTGGTAGCAGTAACATTTCCAGGCAAACGTCGAAAAATAAATTGTCACTAAGAGTGGATCACCGTTAAGTTTCCTGCAATACTAGTAATAAATGCAGGCACCTCAAGATGATTGTGAACCAATTGGTTATGACTGATACTGTAACATATCATACCTGCATACTCTTTTAATTTTGTGTATAATTGCAGCTGCTCTTATTTGCTGGGAGAAAAGCAAGGCTGAAGATAAGAAAAACTTGTAAAATGAGAATCTTTATAGATGTAACTGCAGGATAGCTTTGGTTGGAGAATAGACTAACTTATTTTGAAAATAAGGGTGATAGGTTTGTTCATGCTCAAATTGCTTTTCTAGATGTTGGTTTCCTAGCAGATCTAGATTTGAGTCAAAAGTTGAATGCATCTTTTGGTGATGCTTTATTGAATAAAGAAAAATGAATTTTAAATATTGTCTCTGGAAGAAGCTAAAGTTTGCTAGACTTGTGACTCCAATGTTTGTGTTTATGTGATGTTTCCAAGTTCATTTTGAAAACATTGTAGATGTAATTGAAAATGTAATTAAAAGAGTCTTCAAAGCTTGTTCTTATGTTGGTAGCTTCTACTTGTGGTTTGGTTTTTGGTTATTTTTTCTAGTTTTGGTTAACTGTAAGTTACGTAAGTGTGTTTCTGTTTGTTTTAGGACATTGAGAAGAAACAATGGCCAAATACAGTACTCATTGGAGTTGGTAAATTTCTGTATGGTTTACTTCTTCGAGATGTTAAAATTGATGTTAACATAATGAAGCCTAACTCTGAAAATAAGTGAGTGTAATTAAACATTTTGCTACTTTTTGTATCTCTTTTTTTATTTCTATTATTGCTTTAACTATTTTGTAGGGATCATGATTGTCAGTAATGCAAGTGTATAGATGCCATGATTTCTATGCAATAGTCTATGCTTTGGTCTCTTTGATTTTGGCAGTTTAGTACTTAAAACAAGTTGTTACTATGTAATTAAATTAATGTATATTGGTTGATTGATCTCATAGTAAAGTTGCATTGACAGCTTGAGATAACTCATGAATAATAGTTTTTAAAATTATAAATTGTCATCATCTTTAACTATTGCCTGTGTCTGATTGCAAAGTGGACCCGATGTCTTGCGCCACCAGGTGATCCTGTTCCCTCTATGTTTTCCAATGTCTCTTGCTCCTGTGAGTTTGTTTAATCCAGTTAATGTCAGAAGTCTTTCATCCTTCATTCTTGTGATGTATTCTAGCCATTTATTGTAATAGATTTTTATTTCTTGTTAAACATTTTTTGATTTTAGGCCTTTCTCTCAGTTGTGTTACTCTTGAGTTATATTGGAGTAATCTCATTTGTGCTTTTTGTGTTGATATTTGCCTTTTAGAGTCTGGGCTTTGATTAAAAAACGGCTCAGGATGTCATGTTGTACATTTGCAAATTTGTTTCCCGAGTGATGAGTCTTCCAAAATATTTCTAATAATTCCATGTGATCTATTATATTTCTGGATTCTACTTTTAAGATCTGCTGCATTTTGCCCAATATTGTTACCTAGATAGAAAATTTAATAGTAAGAATTGTTATCTCTGTTGTTTATAATTAATAATTTTTTTTATTTTTCAATATTAATTGCACTCTTTCTAAATAGACCTGGGTTAGACTTGTTTTAAAAAAGTATTTATTTCAATATTTTTTAATAAAGAAGAAAAAAAAGTTAATAGAATAACTGCAATGAGATTTATTTGTTTGAAGAAACAGTCCATGGACCAAATGGGTCCATATAAAACAGCACTTGTTTTCCTCTAAATCTGAAATAATTATGAATTGATTGTACTTAAATCATTTGATCATGCATTGGAGTATAAAAATTATTACTTTCCGTATGCCTTATGGCATTTTGCTCATATTTTGTAGATTGTTTTCAAAAGAAAAGAAAAAAAGTTTTGTAACATGTTTTGAAAACTAATTTTTACCCTTTTGCTGCTCCATACACAACTTGTCTGCGTATTGTGCAATAACATCAGTGCAGGCAAGATTCCCTTAGGGCAGACAGATTGGCTAGCGCTTTCATCCTCACTCTCACTTTTACAAAAAATAAGTGACTGAATCATTAAAAACTAGGAGACAATTATAAATGCTTGTCAGTAGTTTTAGTGTATGCCTTTTTGCAGGAAAATTTATTCCTATGGCAGCTTATGTTAAGTAACACATGATATACAGTAGTGCTCAAAAATACAGCACCATGTAAAGAAAATGGGCATTTTGTATTTTCCTAATCCAATTTGTTCTCAAAAATTTAAACAAATATTAGTGGAAATGGGCAATTATATAGTCATATATTCTATGTGGATTATATGATGTTTCTGATTCCATTACCTTCATAACTTGCTCAGTTTTTGCAAGTCAAGTGGTGTATTTTCAGGATTATATTGCAAATTACCACTGAGAAAGGTAATGCAGTTTTTTGAGTACTACTATAGATGGACCTGTGCCATGATCATTTATCAGTGTGATTTTATTGTGCAGGCATTTACTTCCTGCATTTTACACTCTCTTTCGGAATCATGGCCGTGTACTCAAAGAAGAAATAAAACCACATCCTGCCCTAGCCCGACTTTTTCGAAGTGCATGTCTAGAAGACCTGGTGTTTGATGTCAATCTTGTTCCTATGCTATCACCACCAGTTCCTTGGACGTATGCTTCAAGTGGAAGTGGTGGTTATCTTATGGCCCATGCAGATTTGGTGCGTCTCCCATATCTTGCATTTCAGCAGAAAATGGAAATGGAGAAATGTAAACCAAATGATCTGTACCCATCTCTGGATGCTCTGAACCAATTAGGATCAGTGCCATGGGAAGTAAACAATCCTGTGAGTAAATATATTAATAGTAAATATAATTTGTTTACTTTACTTTGTGACATGCATCTCCAGAGATGCCCAACTGAACATTTGCAGAAATTTGATTTGCCAGTAATGATTATAGATTTCACCTCCCTATTACATCTTTAGGGTTTAAGGAAACACTATAAGATTGTATAGTTTTCTTGTATTTTAAGATACTATTTTTATATCTCTTATTTCTGTAGTCATGGCTTGTGCACTCTGATACAGAGAAAGTGACAATTACACAGGTAAAACCCTGGTGAAAATGACTGGCTGATTTAGCTCAGTGTCTGCATTGCCATTGTGACTTTGACTGGCAGGTTGTAGGGTTTGAGTCTCAGCGGTGGCAGATTTTCCATACTAGCTTTTATTGCTTGGTTGAATTCAGCCACAGTCTTGAGCATAATTCTAGCGGCTGGTTGCTCTGGTTCTTAGTTATTCATAGTTTCTCTGACCAATACAAGGCGAATGCTGGGGCAGAACCCTAACAAACGTTCCATGGACTGCGTGATCTTTCCTTCCACTTCCTTTTCCTATCTTCTTCCCGTACACAAGTGCATGCAACCGCACAAGTGAAGGGGAAATATCTGCATAAGCCCCGCATACCTCCATAAGCTGATGTTTTGGTCAGTGCTAGATCTTTGCATCCAGCGGGGAGGATCACCCCACCTTGTGGATAAAAGCATTCACGTCACTAATGGGTCAAATGACCTAGCAGTTTAAGTGACCAGAAACGTGAACCAACCAACCAGTGAAAATGCAAGGAAAATGTCTTGAGAAGACTTGTAGGCATCCTTCCTTGCCATTTCATTATGGTCAAAAGCTGTTAAATCGTGTTTCTTTGCTTGCACTTCTACCTCAATTCGAAAGACATTGTGACCCTTTTCTTTATGTCAGGTGCATTATAGGCCTATAAGGAGGGAAGGTGAAAGACCTGAGATGTTGGGAAGTCTGAGGATTGAGGCTGGAGGGTAATGGACCTCCAGATTGTGTTAAGTACTCATAGCCATATGAAGGTTATTTTCGTAGTGCTTTTTGGTGCAAAACAAAATACCCTTTTCAGCCCTCATGCTTAGAAAATAGTGCTTATCTTCACTGTTCATTGATTGGAAAGTGATACTTTGCAGAACTCGTACAGCAAAGTAGATTCTGCCATACATGTACTTCCAGAGACTTGCTTTCTTTTCTAGTTATATAAATGTTCTTAAAATGAAGCCATGATAAAACAAGGCCCACCTTCTGATCGGTGGCAGTAGTTTTGTTGTGACTGGATGACACAAATTTCAAAAAAATGTATGAAAAGTTAGATGATCTTCCATTTTTGTTTGAATAGTACTTTCTTGCTATCTGGTTCATTCTTATTGCATCCATGACTAATATTGCAGTTTAAAATTGAAATGTGAAGCAATTGCATTATGTGTCATTGTGGCAGGTGCTGGATGTGGTAATCGAAGTATTCAACCGAGGAGGTTCTACACGTTTGGACATCCCCCAGCCTCCGACTGCTTGTCCTCAGCCAACACCCTTGACATCTCAAATGACACGTGAAGAGAGAGTGAAAGCTTTCCAAGAAAGAATCATATTGCGCCGTCGTCGGGCTGAAATGTATAGTCTGTGGTGTGATTCTCTGTACCGTCTGTCACTTGCTAACCACGTAAGTTCCATGTGTATTATTGTGTTAATTTGTGGGTTTGTCTCTTTGATTACCTTTTAAATTGACTTATTTGTTCAAAATGTTGTGTGTTCAAAAAGTGATAAATGCTTTTTCTATCAAGTCCAGTGAAGTATGTATAAAAAGAAAAGTTGATTTGTTGCACTTATGTGTAATTGATATTTAATACAATGGTTTTTGAAAATGGAATTTGGGTAGATTGGGTTCAGCTCATAGGACATTTCTCTAGTAATACATGTTCTGAAACATGTGATGTTGAATTCTCCCTTAACATTAAGTTTATTGTATTTTGATTACATTAAAAATAAAATAAAAGCAACCATGCTGATTAACAATATTAATCAACATGATTAATGGTTCACTGGTTTTTAACCTCATAATTATTTTGTACAATTACAATTCATATACGAAAAATTGAATTTTGATGTGCCAAAAACTCAATGAAAATTTTAGTTTCCTTTGTTTTTTCTTCTAAAAACATTAATTTATTGCTGAGAAACAATTAATAGTCTGGTTAAATACATGCCCCATGTGCTATGAACATGTTTGCATGTCTGGGACTTGCAATGCCCTCTGTGCTATGGACATACATGTACAATCCCACTGTTTTTGGTTTCTTTCCTTTAATTTAAACAAGATTAGATGCAACTAGGTCATCTTTCTTAGATCTGGACAGTTCCAGCTGCTGATGGCACAGTACAACCATGAGAAATCCTCAGCACAGACGCACGTCTGGCCATTGAGTCAGCACAGCGGAAATTCTAGTGGCTTGTACCGATTGGCAGTCAAGGGGTTAAGGAATCCAATCAGTTACATTTTGTCTGTGCACAAGACCTTTGTCTCAACTTGCAATCATCCAAACAAGCCCTTCGGCAATAATATTTTGATACTAATTATTTGACCCTTCCTTGTGATATATTTATGAAGGTTTAGCTATTATCACAGTGGTCACTTTCTGGACAACTGGAAAAGTCAGATAATTTCATTGATCTGGAGAAGACATTAAATTTATAGAAAAATCTTAGATGCCTAGAGAATTTGTGAGGAAGTATTGTTAGTTTTGTTCTTTTTACAGCTGTTAGGGAGCAGACAAATTACAAACTGATACTGAAGTGTTGCTTTTATGTGATGTTTTCGTTAAATACACTAGAAGTCCCCTCTTATCCTACCTCAGTATATCTGTCACTGTTCCCCTCTTTTCCCTTCTGATTCTTCACTTCTAGTTGATGCCAATTCATTCACATTGTACTACTTCAATATAATATACTACAGTATATATTATTTTATGTTTTATGTATTTTATCTCCGAATATCAATATATCATCCAAATAAGTATGTTCTATTACTAGTATTTCATGTTATGTATGTACTCATTTGTTTGTGGTTTTATTCATTTTTTGGTTTCCCTCTGAATATCCATCCTTTTTTTTATTCTGCACATGTCCTGGTTCCAAGAGTGGCAGTTATCAAAGGTTCTACTGAAGTGTGAAATACTCTATATCTTCTTAAATTAATAAAAAGCTAACAACTACAGAAAAAAGTCAAGAAAAATGAATCCAGGAAAGTGTGGTCACCCTGGTAATGCTAATATTTTCTCTTGTTGTGACTTCTTATGCACACAGTTTAGGAAGCGTGTGTTCTGGCTCCCTCATAACATGGACTTCCGTGGAAGAGTGTATCCATGTCCCCCTCACTTGAACCACCTGGGCTCGGACATGGCTCGTTCGTTGCTGCAGTTTGCGCAGGGGCAACCCTTAGGCCCTAAGGGGTTGGACTGGCTCATGATCCACTTGATCAACCTCACAGGCCTCATGAAGCGTGAACCCCTTGAGCAACGATTGGCCTTCGCCAAGAGCATTCTGCCAAAGATTTTGGATTCTGCTGATAATCCTCTGACTGTGAGTAAGCCAATGAATCAGTATGTAACTTTTGTTTGGAAAGTTCGAGGTCTAACATTTCTTAAACCATAATTTTATTTATTTTATGGACAGACATCCAATGGCACATACAGATAATATAATTTATTTATTACACCAGTGAGTATACCAGTAACAGAAAACAAACTTTCAGTTCTCCATTCTCCCTCCTTTCTCTTATTTCATTCTGACAAGTTTCTGTACATAACATCTATTGTTTGACAACTTACACATTTGTGTGATAGAATTGTTAACAGTATAACTGGAAGATTAATTTGGGAATGCAAACATATCATGTCTTTTAATTGCTTTGGTATGAACTCGACAATGCAATTGCTTGAATAGTAGTGCACAGTCAATGTCACCACTAATTAATGTTTACAAAAAGATAGTCATTGTAGGCCAATAGTGATGAGAGTGAAAGGATACTATAGTTCACGATTCAACTAGGTAGTCATGTAAAATAAATGGAGCAGGTAAATTTAAATATGTTTCTGCAATTATGATTATTTTTTTGTGTATAAATCAATTTTCTTTCTGTCCCTTCAAAATTTCATTTAACAACTTTTCTATGTATCAAAAATTATTTTAGTATATCAAACTTATTTTCAGACTCCATTATTTTTTTCTATGAAATAAAAATATACAGTGTGATGTCCCCTCCTATTATACTATATATGCTGTCATTGAGTGTAATACACATAGGAGAGGTCACAGATGAATGATTTGAGTGGTCAGAAGGAGAAGGGTTAAGGTGAAGAAAATACCATCACGAAGTAGTTGTAAGTTAAAGTATGAGTTTAATCACTTATTGGTTGCCACATTACAATGAGCAGAGGAGTGTAGAGGGGAGAGATGAGAGAGAACTAGTGGAATATTTGCAAGGATGTCGAGTACATTCATATCAGTGTCAGCTAATTATTGTGGCTTCCAATTCTCTGGCTGGCATCTCGTTGGCGGAAGGCATGACTGCTACTGCAGCGGCTGGTTCTCTGTACATCAAGGATGCTGGTGGTGTCGTTCTCAAGAGACTGACCGTCCTGGTGTGTACGAGTGTCCGTTTATATATGATCCCGCTAATTGTGGGAATCTTTCTGGGTGCTTCATTTTAGAAAGTTGGATTTTCCAGGCTGGTGTCTACATGTTTTCCGAAACCTTTCTGCTCATTTGGCTAGGGCCACATGGTGGTGAAATATTTTATAATTTCGATTGTGATGTGAAGTACTTGATTATAATTTATAATACTTATATTGGCTCATCACAACAGTTCATATTATAAATTATGTTTCTGAAAGATTAGTATTGTTTAATTTGGAAGGAGAGTATTAGTTTTGGAAAATATAACTTCTTTTGGGACGTTTGGATATTTCAATAAATATTTATAAAACACCAACATGTTTTTTAGTTACTAGCTTTTGTAACTCACTCCTATTTTCCCTCAATGTAGGAACGTGTTAGTCATGGGAACGCATATGCCAATGCGATCTAAAGGTCAATCACATGCTCCTTTCTCAAATGTACCCCCCCATGATGTTAGTTCGTCAGTTCGGCACAGGTTCAGTTTTTTGTTACACGCTTAATAAGAGTGGTTGAAATGAAAATCCCTTAATTTTGCAGGAAAAGTGAACTTGATCAAAGATGTGAACAGTGGAATGCAAAAAGTAGTTGTGGGGCAGAAGTATGGAATACCAGAATACCAGCTAAGTTTTCTAGTTTTAACTATAATGAAAAACTGTGAAAATAATTTTAAAAGTCTTGAAGCTGTAGGAGGAAATCAGAAAAAGAACAGATTGAGACGATACTAAGGTGTTTGTGTTTCCAAATTTTCATAATTATTTCTATATGTCAGAGTTCTCACACATTGCATATTATCAAAGGAACTGTCAGAATCGATATGTATGGATGTCCCACTGTAAAAAATAGAGGAAGAAATAATTTTTTGAGATGAGGGGGGGATCTGCGCACAACGGCTAGCACATGTATGTTAGGAGCTGGGTCCCAGTTGTGACCCCAGGGCAAATCTTGTGGAATTTCCATTGCTTCTAGAACTATACTTACTCCATCATTATTATCATTGTCATTACCTCTCATGTGCCTTGGCGGTCTTAGTAGTTGAAGAGCCTCTAAACCCCAGTTAATAAAGAAATGAAATTTCTTGAGTAGTTCTACATTTCTCCTTTGATATCAATACAGTGTTACAGCACTCATGTGCCCTTTGTAAAAAGACTGAGAAAGAATAATCCCAGAAAGTTTTGTGCACCCAATGGATTTGTTGTCTCATAAAATCACACATCATATACTTCATTTGTTTAATTAATTTCTTTATATAGGTTAATCAAAATCTTACATATTCAGGTGAAACTCATTGTGTTTGTGTTATTGAGGAGATAGTGGCCGGTTGTTCTGATCTGTAGTTTTCCGTGGTTTCTCTTATCATCATCAGGTGAATGCCGGAGCAGTACCATAACAAATGGACCATGGACCGCTCGTGATCTTTCCTTCCTGTTCCTTGTCCTTTCCTCACCCATTACTTACATACAATTACTCTCACATGCATTACATGACCACACATATTAGGAGCTTAGAGCTTGTCCCAGCTGGGGTGATGCCCCACTGGTGAGAGATACCTGGTTGAAAAAACTGCTATCAACATGTACATTTTCACTGAATCACACGTGCAGCGAGGGAATATCTCTGTCTCTCCTGAAATAAAACATGTACTACACTTAAGGTACTAATAACTTTAGCAGTTGCTATACCTGGAAACACTAATCAATCAAATGTTATTAAGATATTTGAAACTTGCTCTGGACTATGCAATATTATTTCTTTCTTCTAGGGGGAGATGTGGTGGGCTGAAAATGAAGAACCATGGCAGGTTTTGGCTACTTGCATGGAGATTGCTCGCGCTGTGCAGAGTGGTGATCCTGAGACATACTTGAGTAAATTCCCTGTGCATCAAGATGGGTCGTGCAATGGGCTGCAGCATTACGCAGCCTTGGGTAGGGACTCAGCTGGCGCAGAGAGTGTGAATCTGGCACCAGCTGTCTGCCCTCAAGATGTTTATAGTTGTGTTGCTGCTTTGGTAAGATATTTAATTACTTTCAAATCAATGGTGCTTCAAAACTATTCTGCTGTCAAATGATTGGTAATTAAATAAATGTCAAAATATGCCTGAAGAAAATTTCTATTCATTGTATAAAAATGAATTATTAATGTATTAACAAATCAGAACAGTGAGACACCAAAAAATTATCAATTTGTTTATTGATTGTAATTACCACCTGGAATTACCTTTAATAATTCATTTATTTATATCTATTTATACAGGCTTGCTCAGTTACAAATAAATTACAAAAAATATTTTACAAATATGTATACAATCATAAGAAGTCATTCAGAATTAAATTTTCTGCAGTGTTTTTGAGTATGTTGATGGAAGCAAAAATATCTAAATTACTACAATTTAGTTCGCAACAAATCTTCCGAAGTGGTGCATAAAAATACATGTTTGTTTTTACAAAGGGGACATCAAACAGTACATTCATTATGTTTATGTTATGATGTGTATCTTGTATTGATGCCGACTAAGACATCTTGGAATATAGCTAAAACATAAATGTTGATGATAATGATGATGATGATGATGATAATAATAATAATAATAATAATAATAATAATAATAATAATAATAATAATAATAATAATAATAATAATAATAAAATTAAATCATCTTTATTTTATTTTTGTTTGCACCTGTTATTTTTTCATCAAATTTGCAGGTTGAAAGAGAACGTTCAAAAGATGCAGCTTCTGGTGTTAAAATAGCTCAAATCCTTGATGGTTTTGTTCGACGCAAAGTGATTAAACAAACTGTAATGACCACTGTGTATGGAGTGACGAGGTATGGAGCTAGACTTCAGATAGCACGACAACTAAAAGGTATTCTAGCATTGGATTTTTTAAAAATGATTCCTTTTTTCAATATTCATTAAGAAAAATGTATATTTGTCTTGTCCTGCAGATATAGAAGATTTTCCTAAAGAATATGTGTGGCATGGTTCATCTTATTTGGTTGTCAAGACATTTGATAGTTTACGAGAAATGTTCACTTCAACTAAAGAAATTCAGGTGAGATTGTGATTGATGTATTGTTTGTGTGGAATTTGTGAAATATGATAGTACTTGAAATTAATATTATGTAGCGAATTTACCTAAACTAAATGGGGGGTTAGTATGGGCAAGGTGGTCTGAGAAGATAGAAGAGGGCAGGCAGTGAGGGCAATTGCTGGGCAGACAGAAGCAGGTAAGCAAGCTGGATAGGCAGAAGGAAGATAAAGGCTTGAAAGCATGCAGGGTGGATGCAACAGCCAGGGTGAGCGAATAGAATAGATTTTTGTGATAAATACCTAGGAATTGCTGGGAATTTAACTAGTGTATATTTATTTATACAAATGGCAACAGAAAACTGATATGGCCACAATCAAGATATTCAATAAGTTTCAATTGATTTACAGTGAAATAAATGTTAATGATTTATAATCTAAATCCACAGAGGTGTGAGTAAAGTCTTTTAAAGTTGAAGACAGTGCTGACTGAGATGAGCTCTTGTGGAAGGCTATTCCAATAATTAACTACGCAGTTTGTGAGAATGTTTTTGTTGTTGACATGTTTGAATTTAGCTTTCTTTAGCTTCTTGGGTCCTCTAAGGTTGCGTGCAGTGGCGTATGTGTAGAAGTGTAACAATTCCGGAGTAACATAGAGGCCAAGTATTTTGTGGTTTCAATGATGTCAGCTCGGTCTGTTCTAACAGATAAATATAGTTTGCCTAATTCATGTAGTCTTCTTCATAAGATAAATTTCTAAGAGTTTGTGGCTGTACATTGACTCCCTCCAAAAGTATCATATTGTTCTTGAAGTAAGGATTCCAGTATTCGTAAAACATATGAAGTGTAGAGTGTTTTTAGAGAATCCTTGCTGAGGTATTGAGAAACCTTAAATAAATTAAAACACCTCGTTCACATTGTTGAAGTTAGTGGCTTGTAACTTGTTAGAAAGAGGTGAAGGTAAGGGTGAAATTAAACCTACTCACTAATCATTTATTATCTAAATAGCAAAAAATCTAAAAAGAATCCTGTTCCAGTATTCTTCCAAATTAATTACAACGTTATTTTTCAGAAAATCATGTAGAATATTATAGTTAATTAGGTTACATATTTACAAAGAATTACATAATTGCCTTGTTCGTTGGAATTTAATATGTTTCAGGATTGGTTTACAGAATGTGCTCGCTACATAGCACAGATTCGTGGTGAAAATGTGGAATGGATAACTCCTTTGGGATTACCAGTGGTTCAGCCATATGTTCGTTTTATCCGACGACCAGATTATCAAAACAAGTCTCAGAAATTAAATGAACATTTTACCATGGATATGTTTGAGTAAGTCATTGAATTTTTACATTATCTACTGATGAATTTGTTAGCTATGTTCATGCTATTATCATAATATCTGACATAATAAAGCTGATCAATGTAGTGAAAAAATGTGTAATAATTTGGGTTAAAGTGGAAATGTATTGCATAGATTGCAATAGTTTGCAATAATTTGTTTGGTCTGTTTTTCTTGCAGAAAGCCAAATGTAATGAAACAGAAGAATGCTTTTCCTCCAAATTTCATCCATTCTCTGGATTCAAGCCATATGATGCTTACTTCTCTTTTTTGTGAAAGAGCGGGTATTACGTTTGTTTCAGTGCATGACTGCTACTGGACTCATCCTTCTACAGTTGATGTAATGAACAAGGTATTAACTTTTCTGTGAATGTATGAAATTTTGTATGTCTTAAGCTCGTGGACAAAGATGTGGAACATAATTTGGGGTGTACAATACCGAATTGTTGAATTTGCAATAGTAACAAACTGGGTAGCTAATAAAGTGTGTAGTGGGATATGTTATAATCCAGAAAAGACAGAATAATATTTCACATAAACTTGCCTTAATTACATTGAAGTGAGCTAACAATTTCTGAATACCCTAATCAACGACCAAAACTTCTTTTAGTAAAAGAAATTTATTTGTTAGTTTTATGTTAAATGTGTTACCTTGCTTAACAAAGGCCTTAGCATAGTCCAGATAAATTATATATTGGTTTACCTTCTTCAATAATATTGTCGATCCAACAATATTGTCGGTTAGTGGCGATCTTCTGGCATAAAACTATGTTGTTAATGGGTATTAATTCCATGTTTGTCTTTGTTCTTGAATCCTATGGACCACAATTCTCTCTATTACTTTCCCAACAATGCTTGTTAGACTAAACTGTCTGTAATTTGTTGGGCACCGATGCTGTTGAACTCTACCAGACAATATTGAAAGATCAAAAATACTCTTCAGTATTTTAGGCCAGATTAGTAGAACAGTTTCTAAATATGTCTGGTAGAATTCTGCTTGGGCCAGCTGCTAATTTAACATCAAGGCCATCAGTATCTGCTTGATTTCTCAGAAAGCATTTGGAGAGGTTTTGAGATAAAAAAAAAAAAGCATTAAATTCAAGCTATTTTTACAATAAATTCTGATTTAGAACTGAAAAGATTTGATTTTTTAGAACAATTTTTTTAAGGCAAAAATCTGTATGTATAATATTATAGATTTAAGATTTGAAACAATTTGCTACTTGTTGCAATTTTTTAAAATTCAATGTGTTCTCCAAAAATGAGACTAGTACTGCTTTTTTTACTGTCCTTTAATTGAATGAAGTAAGAATTTGAAAGGTAAAAATTTAAAGAAAATATTGAGTCAGTTCTGAGAAAATTAAAATTTTTCAAATATTTAAAATTTTTTTAAAATTCCTTATATTTAATGCAAAATTAAGGAAAAATGACTCATATGTTTGTAAAATTGAACATTACCTTATTTCCAGATCTGTCTCAACAACAGGTTTTATTGAGAAATAAATCTCTATTTTTGATATCTCTATTTTGATAAATTTCAATTTTTGCAGTTTTCGAAAATCAGGTGTTTCGATGAAAATAGGACCATTCTTTATGCTATCTAATGACAAAATTTAATAAAAAAAATTTGGATCCTTTTTTGTAAAAAAAAAAAAAAATAAAATGTTGTTTGGGCTTCATGTGAAAAAAATCCAAAATCAAAATATCTGTTTGAAACTCAGAGGGTCTCTAATTCCGTCAAATTGATTGAGGAATATCAATTTCGGAGAAAATTGTCTGAACGGTTTATGTGCTAGTGTTGACTACATGCAGATGTTTTACTGTCAATTGATTTTTTGATATCTAGGACCCACAAAACATGGATTCTGACTAAATAACATAATAAAGGAAGTAATGTGCTATATATAGGAACAACGTTTGTCCCCATTTTTCTTATAAGGTTCCAACAATAGGGGTTTTTCAGTTGAAAATTTGCTGTTTTCCAATGGCAGCACTTTCTCTTCCTATGAAGTAATGCAAGAAAATGAAAAATCAAGTGCCTTCTCTGTTGTTTGTGTCTCCTCCTGTTCCATTATGTACTTAAGGTATTAAAATCACCAAAAATTATGGTTGTATCCCTTCTGTGGATCTCATCTATACTTTGCAACAGCTCCATGTCACGATTGCTGATGATCACATTTCTGTGGTTTCGGGCTGGGGGTCTACTGATTCCACCCAAGAAAAAGGAAACTCTCCCTAGAGACACTTTGAGCCACATCACTTCTGTCTCCAGGTTCTTTTAACTATCCAGGTTTTCAACCCGTGGAACCTGTGATCTCATTTTGCTTGCCACATAAAGAACAATCCCCCACCTAGTAATTGGTGTATCTTTTCAGAATATCTTGAAATTTGGTACAAGGATAAGGGAGTGAGGAATTTTATTATCTAACCAGGTCTCAGTGTTGATAATGAAGTGAGGACAAATTTTAATTATTAAAAACTGTTATTAGGACAATTATTAAATTTTCTATTACTATTTTTGCTAGAAGTTCTTTGCCAAGAAGGCTAGTGATTTATATCTTTGTCTAGATATTTTCATTGGGAATATATAATTGTAAAAAGTAATTAAAAATGTGATAGAAGCACCAAACAAAGAATTCATTGTAATACATCCAAATATCCAGCTTCTGAAAATACCTTGTAATTATCGAGATGGGTGGAAAAAGCAAGAAAAACAACTCTACAACATTACATGAAAATTATGATCAGAAACTAGTGGATCTAGAAGTTACACGTCTAAAAGATTATGGAGATGCAGTATTGGAGCCATAAAAACTGATGTTTTAACTCATTAAAGCCATTGTTCCAAACTCGGAACAGTCAAATTCAAGTTTTTTATTTCTTATGTCAAAAACTCTTTTACGAATTTTATCTCTTCAGCCATAACCAGTGTTTGGTGCTTTTTAAGTGCTCTAGTAGTGTAATTTAGCAACATAACAATGCACTAAAAGTGCAAAGTACTAAAAGTTGCAAATTCTTTATATCAGGGAGATCTAACAATAACTGAATGCACAGATGCGATGACAATGGGCAAGCACTATGCACACAAAATTATGTTGGCGTTTGTGGATTAAATGATTGAAATAAATCTTAAAGTTGTCCAGAATTGTAAATTATTACATTATATATCTTCATTATGAAGTATGACACTTTGTTTTGTTTGGCATTGATCATCGTACTACAGCAGCAAGACAAAGACAAACAATATTCTGAATATACAGAAATCAGTGGCTTGCATTCTGTATGATTATCCAACATAAAATGAAATCTCTGCAGAATAGTTGGCAATCATTTTAATAATTTCACTGCAAGAATATTTCAGTCTTCTACTATACCAAAAAGAAGTTACTATTTCTTCCATCTTGAATGTGTTTGAACTTTGAGAAAAGTAGAGACAAAGGACTTTATCTTTAGAAGCAGTTTCCGGTAAACACATGTTTTTATTTTTATATGTTCATCATATTGGCAAATAATGGAACCAGCTTGCTGATGTTGACCATAAATTATTATGATTATCATTATATTTTTAATTATAGCCATTGAGTGATAGTTTGCCCTTGATTTGTGATTTATTTACTTCATTTTGATTGTAATAGTACTCATTCCTTTCATTTCAGATATGCAGAGAGCAATTTGTTGCTTTGCATTCTCAGCCTATTTTGAAAGACTTATCCAAATTTCTGTATGAAAAATTTGGATATTCAGGAAGGTACAATTAATGTAGTTTTCATAAATATTACATTACTTTCAAAAAAATTTGGTATTCAGTTAAATTTCAAACCACTAAATTTTTCCTTTTCAGTGTCGAAAATGCTCCACCTGGTTGGCAGGAACTCAACACACTTCTCAAACAGCTACCCTCAACTGGAGATTTTGATTTGGAAAATGTTTTAAAATCTATTTATTTCTTTAGTTGAAAATCTGATAATTCTGAATGCACTTCTTGCCTTTTTATTTGTTGCACTTGAAGAGCCACTTTGCATTAGTTCATTTTATTTAACGACTTTGATGCAAGAAAAAATTATTTTCAAGAATTTTCTTTTGTGTTATTTGATATTCGTTTAGTGATCTTTTTAATACATGAAGAAATATGTGATGTGAAATAACTGATGACTCAGTGATGCAATATGACTTGCTTACCGTGAAGTAAAGATGAAAACTTCCAAGTTTTCGGATGTAGATATTTTTAGAGAACGTAGAAAAGAAATAATAGACTACCCCTCAGGAAAGTCTGTAGTAGTGATTTCTGTTGATTCAATTATGTAGTACTTATAGATGCACATTATCACCAAGCAATAAATATGGAGTTTTTGTTTTGTTATTTAAGTAGCAACCAAAGAATTTATAGTTGTAATGTTTTTTTAATATAGTACATTTACTTGATACATCAGGAATTGTTTGTTGCCTCATAATTCTCACATATCAAATAATTATTTTGTGGGCATCTTGAATTAATCAAAGTAATATTGTAGTAAGTAGTAGCTAAGTTTGATAAAAAAGCTGCACAGAACGATAACCAGGTTGGGATGGCAGTGTTACAACACTCGTGAAATTAGGAGAGGGCGTTATTGCTGTGAATTTTGAATTCGCCGCCATTGAACAGTGATTTTCGGGAACTGCGCAGCCAACATAAACAGTACTCGCGCGGGAAGCGTGTATTTGAGAAAAGCTTATAGACTTGTGAATTACGATGTGCTTTTCTCTCCATGTAATATCATCAGTGATTGCGGGATGTCCGTTTCGTAATTATGAAACTGCCGATGAATGGAATGTAGAGTTACGTGTGTTGGCTACCTTTGCAAAACTATGTCGCCATTGGTAGTCATTTGTTCCTGAGTTTGCCGCTCTGACGGTAATAGCATTTTGCAGCGATAGGGTAGTCGCCGGAGCTGCAATACTTTGTTGTTGAAGATTGAGATTTTAATAGTTTGCGGCGCATTTGTGAGGAACGATGGTCAAACGAAAGAGCCAGGTTCTAATAGAGTCGGAAAGCGGCGAAAGTGATGGTAGTGATTCGGATTTGGAGTCGGTAAGTAGGAATATTATTGATTTATCATGCTCGTCTCTTTAACCTCTATTTTGTAATTCTCTCATCATGCACTTAAAATGGTTCGTGATTTCCAAATATTGAACCGTTGCCAGAGGGAGTTTGTAGAGTGCAGAACTTAAAATCGATATTGGAATTGGAAGAAAGTTGTGTGTGAACTTTCTTGTGGATCAGTGACATTCCTGATGAGTTAAGTAAGGAATATCACTAGGAAATTTGGAACAATGGAAGTCATTTAATTCCCCTTTTTGTGCGTGTTTTCTCGTTAATAAATCCATTGTATTAATGTTTTTTTATTGAACTAGCATTGAATATTATAATCATAAATATTAATATTGTCTAATAAATTCATTAATTTCTTTTCACAAGGAATTTAAATTCATGGTTTGGGTTAACAACATTGGTTAATACAAGAAAGTGTTTAATTCTATCTGCAGGAATTGTTAACATTATCCAAAAAGAAGAAAACAAAACAGCAAGATGAGGTCACAAGTGAGAACAGCACCTCCAACCAGACAACTACAGCTGCAAATCCACCAGCAAAAAAACCTGAAAACACTTTCACAGACTCTGATACATCAGATTCAGATGATGATTGGGATGCTAGGGGTAATAACAAGAAAAAGAAAAAAACAAAACCTGCAAAAAGAACAGGAAAAAGGACAGTTACTAAATCTTCATCAGGTAGCGATGATGATGATGAAGATGATAAAGAGAAAGAATCTGAGCCAGAAGAAGGTAAGTAAAAATGTTACCCTTAGCAACTGAATATAATGGTAAGAATGAAAAGGATGTGTATCACATAGTTTAAATATGAAACAATGAGTCCAGTGCTTGATAATATTAGTTTTTGTTTTACTTTGAACCAAATATGCAAAGAAAAAAAAATTGGTAATATAATATAATTATAGAAACTTTGTATTGATTTATTGTATAAATCGTTTTTGTTTGATACTAAGGACTATGAAATTTATTTTGTCTTAGACTGTACCTGAGTTTCAATCAGTGTTTAACAATGCAACCCAAATAATATTTTTTATTAAATATTGGAAAGGACAAAGTGTTTTACAGTGCTAGCTTTTCTCCGCATTGGGTGTAACTTTATGATAAAACTGTGAATTTGTTTCTCAGGTGAAGTGTCTGATTCAGAAGGAAGTGATTCAGACAGTTCAGACCTTAGTCAAGAAGAATTCAATGATGGTTATGATGATAACTTAATGGGCGATGAGGAAGATCAAGCTCGGCTTGCACAAATGACTGAGAAGGAAAGAGAACAGGAAATTTTCAAACGCATAGAACAGAGAGAAGTGATGAAGACAAGGTACGTTTTTGATGGTATATTTTGAAGAATGTTACCTTCTGAAGTTATTTGTATTTTGAACCCTTTATAGATAAGTTTTATTGGTATTTGGATATTTAATTATTTGCATTCACAGGTTTGAAATTGAAAAGAAATTACGTTTGGCTAAGAAACAAGAAATGAAAAAGAAGAGAGACCAGGAAAAGAAGAAAGAAGAAAAAATGGATGCTAAAGAAAGGAGTAAGGAACGTAAAAAGACTGTTGAAGAAATTAGAGGAAGAATAGACAAAAAAGCCCATGCAATGAATCTTCTTAAAGCACGTCGAGAAGAAAAGAAAGAGAGAGGTGAGAAAGTTTTTTTCTTGACTGTATCTTTTTTGAATTGTTCTAGATTATAGTTTTTGAAGACAAAACTTTCTGTTTAGGTAATAAAAACTTACCTAATAAAAGTAATAAATTTATCTACTTTATGAGGGAAACATGAAATAAAAATTCAGATATGTAAACTACCATTCAAATTATAATTTATTGCTCAATAGTTTTTGGATCAGTGCATTATTACATAGTAATAACTTGAATATCTTGACTTCTAGGTAGTATTGAAGTAATTCTTTGACCAATCAGTTCAGTTTATTGAAATATCTTTTTTCTAAAATCTGTTCATTTATATTCCATGAAGACTGAATGTGGTATCATTCTCATTAAATTACATCAACAATAACTGGTAATGCAGGCGTGTTAAAAACAGTGTGTGTATGTGTGAAAACTTAGTAATTTCTTATGTATTTTATTCTTTGTTTTCTTTGTATATATGAATGATACACATGAATACAAAGTACACTAATAATCAATTCTCAATACTAAAAATATCTTCACTGAATTAAAACCGCCCTTGGAAATATATTTAAGTTAGAACCACACATTTCATGTCGTATACTGCTCAACAGTTTTGGAAGCTGCGAAAAAAATCTCCTTTGAGGTTCAGTGCGGTGCCCAAAATGATAGCAGAAATATATCCACAAAAAAAGGCAAGTGTAGCATTTAAGAAAACTGTATTGGTTGTTTCAAAGGAGATGTGACGACCCTAGTGAAGTGTGAGCATCGATGCTGCTGTGACTGTAATCGGACAGAAGATACTGTCGATTTAAAAATTCAGTAGCAAGAATGTAGCATGAACTTGAATCCATTTTGTCAGTTTGAAAATTCCAAATGTTATAATGCAGGAAGAGGAGGTATTCTGAAAATAATGTCTCACATCTTTGTCATTTAAACCTGTCCGATCATTGTAACATGGGCAGTCTCTTGTAACTTCCCAGTAGGACGCCATTAATAATGTTTGTAATAAAAATACTGGGCAACTTTCATGAAATGGTTCAATAATATATTAGACTTCTTCTCTTTCTCCATCTCTCTCTCTGTATGTTTTTAATGTTTGTTAATGGGATTCTTCTGGAAACTGAACATTATATACGTGTGTGTATATAATACACATTACATACACATTATATACGTGTGTATAAATATACACACACACACACATTATATACACACACATATGTATATAAAAATACATTTTTAATTAATTATTTATTCGAAGTTCTTTAATTTGTAAAAATGAATTTATTCAACTTGTACGTTAAGAAGAAACGCACAATACACTGAATTTGAGGATTCAAATGTTTCTTCTTAAAAATAGATTTAAATAAAAACATTGTAAAGAGAATGTTTATGTATTAGGTGATTATCATGTTAGTTGAACAATTTTTCTTGAAAACGTTATTTTAATGTCACTTTTGCTGATCATCTCATATTATCTATTATATCAACTGTACCAAGGAAATCTCCATTGAAACTAGGAATAACATTAAGTTAATGAATACCTATAACTTGCATCAAAACACCCAAATGTGTTGTGTTTTTAAATAATTTTTCTTTCTTTTAGTTTCTTTTTATTATTTTGTTAATTGTTGATGTAGTCCATTTAGTATAATTTGTGTTGAAATGTGTGCTTGTCATGAAACTGTTGTTTGCCTAATCTACAAAGTTAACAAACCATTTTGGTCGTTGAGCTTGTTATTTATTAAACTGCTAACATATCTCTTCTTATACTTGCTGGGTGGCTACTTTCTGGAAAACTGGGAAAAGTCTGGGAATTTTGTTGCCCTGGAAAAGTTACAGAAAGTCAGGGAATTTATGGAAGAACTTAAATCGTTGGTAGAGCATTATTTTTTGCTTGGTTTTTATTTGTTGAAATATTGTTAAAGTACTTTGCCATGGTGAAATAAGAGAGTTGACTATTTAATATCAGGATAGCTGTATTATTTTCTTTAAGAAGTGTCAGGAAAAAATAAAAAATGCATTAGAAAACCAGTCTGAAATGTCAAAAGTCTGAAATGAGTGGCCTCCCTAATACATTAGAATCTCGATCTTGGTTTCTGTTAGTAGTATTCTTTACATTGTGGAATACTGTTTTGGACCCTCTTGGGATGGAAATTAGGCTTGCAAGTAAAAATATTTGTCGTAATTGAAAAAAATGTTCAACATTACAGAGGAAAAGGAGAAACAGCAACGTATAGAGCAAGAGAAGCGCCGTGAAGAAGAAAAGGAAGGAGCTCCAGAACCAGAGGAAGAGGAGGCAGAGCAACCAGAAGAGAAGAACAGTAGTTCAAAGACAAAGCTAAAGGCTTCGGATATCTACTCAGATGATAGTGGATCAGATAGTGAAAAGTCGGAGAAAGAAGAACCTCAGCGAAGGAAGAGTAGAAGCAGTAGTTCTTCTTCTCATAGCAGCAGTGACTCTGATTCAGATAAAAGGTTAGCACAAATCTTACGATTTTAGAATTAAAATAGACATATATTGTCATATACATGTTACATACAATTGATCTTGATGGAAACATTGATAACTCACTGTATGAATTAAATACATAGCTATATTGCAATGCAGTGTGTTAGTTTTTTTTTCTTTTTTCTTTTTTTTTTTTCATTAGTCGGATGATTGTTTGATTTCTAGATTTTCTTTTATATTTAACTAGGACCTTATTGTTTGAAGCACCATATTTAAACATATTTGACAACTTTCAACATTTCAGTCAGAAATATAAATTTAGTTTTATGTTACCTAATTTTTTTATACTTGGGAAGACACATTAATAGGCAAGATAAATTACGGAATGATGTTTAGTTTCTTCTCAGTAGTTGTATATTTCAATGAAATTTTTCCCTAGTAGAAATGTGTTTGTTTTAATGTGTGAAGAAAGCACCACTTTAATGATCAACAATAAATGTGAAGGTAATCACCTTCACATGTTGCAAAATTCTATTTTTTCTTCAAATTTACTTCTAAATTTTCAATCATGCAATTATTGTTGTATAGATCTGTGTCTGGTTCTCGGGCCAAGAAGAAAGTAGTTTTTGTTACAAAGAAGGAAGAACTGAATAAGATTCGTCTCTCCAGACACAAAATGGAAAGGTGAGTAACTTAAGGAACATTCTGAACTAAGATGAATGTTTTTATTAAAATCATAACCACATTTTACAGTTTTAAAGACCTGAGGCTTGCTACTGGTTTAAGCTGCTGACCTGAAAAGAGAGTTATTATTTGTGTAGTTATTTCTGCATAATCCATTTTCTTTTTGTATTCCCAAATCATAATGCCTTAGTGGTTTGTGTTTTATAACAATCTTTGGGAATTTTCCTTTGTTCTTTTGATATGTTCCAGTTCTTTCTTCTTATTCTTTCAACTTCATCTGTTAGTTTTGGTTGTCTTTAGTCTCATCATGATTCTTTCTATGATGTCGCCCTGTGACATTTTGTGTGTTGAATTTGTATTTGTCTTTCATTTGAGACCACCTAAGAACGTTCCCTTCTGTTACAAGATTTGCTTCATGCCCCACTCTTGTTTGTGGCCTCTAATTCTTTAACATTTCTTTCACATTCACAGAAAATGCTTCTAATTTGCATTATCTAATTTTCGTGAGATAGTTGTGAACTGCAAACCTGTTCATCTCTGATTAACTGGTAATGTGGGAGATTTCTGGGAAGTTTCTGACTTTTTCCTAAACATTTAAATAAATTCAAGTTCATCTAGAATTATCCTTGGTTGTACTTGTTGTGCATTGTATCTATTGTCTGAATCTATACACATTTGATTAGCTTGCAACCACATGCAAATTGTACCTGTCAAAAATGAGTATGCTACAATTTTTAAAAAAATATATATATATTTTTTTTGGTGTGTTTGTTTTCAATATTTTATGAGGGCAAATTTTAAATTATTTTTGGTTATATTACAGGTTTGTCCATCTTCCATTTTTCGAGAGAGTTGTGACTGGCTGCTTTGTTCGAATAGGTATTGGGAACAATAATGGAAAACCTGTTTATAGAGTGAGTGCCATGTATATTTTTTTCACTAAGTAATAATAAGAGCAGTTTTTTAAATAAACAAATATTTTTTGCATTCAACTTCCTTATACTCTTTCTTCTTGCATGACCAGGTATGCGAGGTTGCTGGAGTGTGTGAAACTGGGAAGATATATCAGTTAGGAAGTACAAGAACGAATAAAGGACTCCGTTTAAGGTGAACAATTTTAATATTCATAGCTGAATTGGGAGGAAATGAGAATAATTTGTTTTATTTATTGTTTAATTGTAATCCTTCTTTTTGTTTGTGGGTTAAATAATATTGTGATGAGGCTGAAGACTGAAGTATTTTGTTATTAGTCGTACTTTATTTCAGGCATTTGGGTACAAATAACACTTGACATTTTGGACAAAATGAGCTAATTTGCCCTTATGAAAAGGGTGTATTATTTATCCCATAGGCGGATGAAGTGGATGTAAACAAACAGAGGTGTATTCTGCTGAAGCAAGTAGTGTGGTGCTTCTGATCTGTCAGCTTACCACTTATCAATGCTCTGTCACAACAGACAGTTGGTGATCTTGAATTCATCCACACAATGCACAATGCCCTTTTATCAGAATGTGTAGGAAGAGCAAAAGAAACGGACTGCTTAATGATCAGTACATCGTAGGGATACACAACGTTAGTTATTTCTAAAAATTATAATAAATTTTTTTAAAATATTACTTAATGAAATTACACACACATGTACACAAAAAAGTGCAAGCGTTCATATGACTTGCATACAATTCTCAGAATTTTCAATACGCATTAGGCAAAACTTAATTTAGCACTGCAATAATCTATTATTAATTTAACTTGAAATTTAGGTGTTACTTCCGTGAAAAGAAAAAGGTATTCATTCTCAATCTCACTTTGGTCTATTAGTTGTATGTTTCGGATTCTTCTTGTGCTGTAAATTGAATGAGTTTAAATGTGAGATTTTTTTGCCATCTGTGGTCAGATTGTCCATTAATGGTTTACAATCCCAGACAGCAGTGGTGAAGATAGTTGTTCCATCTTGAATCACTTGAGTGAAAAATGTACAGCATAGAATTCACTCAGTTGTCATTTACATACACAGTCACATATGCACAATTTTAAACAATTGATCTTAACACTGCAGTGCAAAAATCTCTTTCATTTATCCTCATTTATACTTAATAACTCAGTCTGTTGATTTCACCAACACTCGTCAAATTGGTCTTGTCGATTGTCAAAATATTTATGCATTGTTATATTTTGTCAACACTTTTCTGTGAGAAATGACGCTTTGTGAACTTAGATAATTCGTCAAGGAATGTGTGTTGATTTTTTTCTCTGTGTACAGAGGTTGGCTACAATATCAGGTTACAACATGGTTCCGCATTGGCTGTTGACAACTGATGATATACGAACTATTACATTCCAAGTAGGTAGGCACATGATGAAAATCACATATTTGCGCATATGCAAAGAAATACTTTTTTCAATGTCGGAATTGTTCGAATTCATTTTCTCTGGAGACAAAATTGCCACATGTGTGCACTGTGCAATCTCCAGGACAGTTCGCTATTTAAAAAAAAAAATCTTGTCTTATCAGATAGGCTTTGGCACCCCTTGGAAATACTATATACTGTGGGCGTAGAGAAAGATTTGCAAAAAAAATAATCTTTTTATTTACGCATTCTGAGTCTATGGATAACAAAATTTCACGGCAATGGCTAGAGGAAATGTCTTGCAGCATAAAATCATAAAGCTATCAACTACTGGGCATGGATGTTAGAGACCTATTTCTGTTTGAGGGATATTCCAGTCGCGGTTTTATTTCTTCTAAATTTTTCGGGAACACTGCCTTTGATATTCTTTAGTTACAAATTGAGGATCTTCCAATTAATAAGAATTATGTGTTTTTGATCAATTGCTTCTTCGGGAACCATGGTTTGTAAGTATACAAAAGTTAAGTATCTAAATTATCTCCCATGATGTCACACACGGCCCACTTGAAAAGCAAAAAACGAAAATAACTAGCTTAATGTAATACAATTCGTGCACTTTATTCACCCTAACCTCACAATAGCAGTTTAACGAGTTGTCAAAGACCATGATGAAAGAGTACCGGTCTGTCAAATTTTGATGAATAGTTTGACGATCATTAGGTGAAATAAGTAAAGGTAAATATGGCATTTGACGTCCATCAAAGCTACTGATCAGCGTTGGTAAAATTAACTGAAATAGTTACACAATATGATCAGCTAACATGTTACACGGTCCTCTGTTACATTGAAACTACTTCCTTGCTTGGAATATGTCTTGTTCACGTTTGTGTTTGTTAGAATACATGTCCTTGAAAGTGAATTAACACTCATTTGACACCTTAACATCTGATTATCTACTGTATATTAGAGATATTTACTCACATTTAACAGAACTATTTTATTTCATGTGAACATAAAAAATATGGGGATGGTAGTTGTATCACAGACTAGCTACCATGCAGCAATTACCTACCCACATGACAATGCTTACATCCACTTCATTCTCTTGTTGAATAAAGAATAGTAGCTCTGTCTATATTCCAAGCAATTTCAAGAACTTGACAAACAGCAGTATAATTTGTTAGTATGTTATTGCTTGTGCCCCTCATGTGAAAGAGCTATTTTTAATTACATTTCTATGTGAAACATGACTGCTATTTTCACCTCATTTATTGATTCCTTTGATTGATGAGCAAGTCACAAAAGTGTGAAAAGTCTTTAAATAAGATGCAGTCCAGCACCTTCTAATAATCTGTTAATATTTTCAGACATGGTGCACATGAAAGAGTTTTTCGATTGGAATTTATCAGCAACCAAGAGTTTACAGATAGCGAGTTCCTAAAATGGAGGGAAACATGTGCGTTGCAAGGAATTTCAATGCCAACAATGGAGGAATTGGATAACAAACTCAAGGAAATAAAAGAGGCAATGATTTACGAGTTCAAAGAAGAAGATGTGGAGAAAGTATGCGTCTCACATTCAAGTTGTTTGTTCTTATATATTTTTAATTGGCTCTGGCTTGTACTAACAATTTTTTTAAATTTGACAGATAGTTCGAGAAAAAGAGAGATTCAAGACAACTCCCTACAACTATGCTATGAAAAAGACTCAGCTGATGTATCAGAGGGACATGGCAGTATCAAAGTATGTTTTTATTGATTAAGCTTGTTTTTTAATTCATAAAAATGCATTTTTCGGTACCTCAAATTTATGTTCCTCTTGATATAATACATTTTAATTAATTCCAATTCAAGAATTGGATGTCCAGAATTTATTAAAAAAAATTCTTTTTTTTCTTCTTCTTTTTTTTCTTTCTTTCTTTTTTTCTTCAATAATTAATTTGTAGGAAGATGTAGGTAAAATCACTTTTGAACAACAATGTTTTTTAAAGTTCGTAAAGGTTTCTATTTATTGATTATATTCTAGCTGTGTTAAGAATTCTCAATTATATTCTAATCTTAAAGTTTTTCTCTATGTTCTTCAGGGTGATATTTAAATTGTATTATTTGTATTTTTCTTCAGACTTGTCTATTTTCATCCAAAAATTATATTTTCGATGACTGAAATTATTTCTATAGTAGATTTTCTCATTATTAATTATTAATAGTGTAATCATTATCATCATCTTAGATAATTTTTCCCAACCTCATAAATACTTTCTTCACTGCTTTGTAGAATAGACTGGTGGAGCTAAATTGAGTTAGTGGTCACTGAAACATTTGAGGCAACTGTGGGTACCAGAGGATTCACAGGCAGTTTCAAAACCCTTGATTTAAACTATTATAAGGAGCTACAGATTAGTAGTAGAGGAAGGAGCTGTATATTCACTAGAGTAAATATTAAAAAGAATGAAAGAAAATACTGAAAAAACTGATGCAGTGCTGAACATTACTATTTGTCATCGTAATAGGTACAAAAACCATACATGAGGGAACATTAGAAATTTATACTAGAGAAGTAGTGCACCAAATTTTTCAACAAATCATTTCCCGAAACTATGTCATTTTGTGTTCTTGAATGAATTTTGTTCTTTGTTGTTGATACATTCTGTGCGTATCGTTATGTTAATTCCAGAATGTTCATTATTTTCTGCAAAGCTTACAGAATTAACATAAATATGCAATACAGAAATTTTACAATTAATGATGATCAAACTCGAACCTAGAATAGAATCGTACACCTCCCTGTTTGACAAATCACATATTTTCTTTGTTGTTACAGGCCGCCATTTGCTTACTGATCAATAAATCAATCATAATGTATGTGCGTATAAATTGAAGCTTGATTCGTTGTCTAGATCTTGGCTCATGATTTCATTCTCTGTTGCTCCTGGCTCTCAGCAAACAGTGAGATGCGATGAATATTGAGAGCCATTTTACTTTATCACTGTTTGAATAACATTTATCAAAATTGATTTTGTATATATACTTTGTACTTTTGGTTTATATAATTGGACAAACTACTACTTGTATCGATACCATAGACAAATTGTCTGTATATTTGAAATAAATAAGTAAAAAGATTATCATGTATGTACGACAGTAATATAGAGAGAACAAATTATGTGCAACATAAAATGGCCAAAATATGCAAGGAATGTGTGAAAATGCAACATTAAATGAAACAAAAGTAATATCATTTTGTATTTGGGGAAAATTGAACATGAATGAAAATTCAATGTTGATGATCATTATTTTTAAACATTTTTACAATTATGAGATTTTCTAAATTTTCAGTTGTAAAAATGTGCCTTTCATCCATGAAAATAATTTTATACTTTGAGAAAGAACGTTTCATTTACATAGAGTACTGGACAGTACATGAACTTCTTGTTTGAATATTTGTTTTAATATATGGGTCTACTAGAAACCCTTTTTGTTTTAGCATAAACATTTTTTTTACAAACTGCAGTGTTAAATGTGTCTGCCGTCATAAGTTAATATTCCTGTATTCCACATAGTCGTATATAAATATTTCACATAGACTACTATCCACCTTGAAAAACCCTTTTTTACTGGAGGCAGCATGCACTTCAAAATTGTCAGGAAAGACAATCAAAACTAACGTACAACGAATGGATAGCAAGTAATAACCGTGAAAGTGACGTGATACATTTGGTATCAAGCAAGTGGTTACAAACAATTGCATGTGTTTGATTTCAGTTGTGTTCTTGGAATCTGGAAGGCATGAAGGGAAAGAATATCCCAATCTTAAAAATTACAGTAAAAGATGCACGACTGTTGAAAGTGATGGCAAGTGTCATGAGCCATGCATTTCGTTATTTGGATCAGCTTCATCAATAAACATCTTGAAAGTAATGCAAATATTCCCCATTATGCAGGTTTTCAGTAAAAGGTACTGAAACCTCTAAAATGGTGTAAATATATATTTGCTTATTATCCACTTTCTACTAATATCTGTGAGGCATTAGTGGTGAGGAGGAAACTATTACTGTGACCAATTTTTTATAAAAATTGACGATCGGATTTTTTCATGGACGAACTCCTGTGCTACGCCCCACTAATTTTAAAGCAGAGAAAACTGAAATAACATAGGGGAAGCAGAGGAAACTGATTCAGATGACCAGTTGGCTTCTTGATAGTTTCTGTTTTCTGGCACTGTTACCTTTGAAAGACAAATTTGGTGTAGATATTTCTCATGCCATTACTCTTACATTACTTATTTGTCTAAGTGTGTTAGAATCATGATTTTATATTGTCTGGTAATGTAACCTGATGAATTATTGTGCAGAGGTGATGATGCAGAAGCTTCTCGAATCAGTCAAAAGCTTCAAGAGTTGGAGGAAAGGGCTGAAGAACTTGACAAGATGCGAACATCAACAATATCTTCCATTAGTTACATAAATGACAGGAATAGAAAAAAGAATGTGGAAGAAGCTGAAAAAGCAATTATGGTAAGTAAAAATTGTTATTTTGTGTGTTATAGAGCTGGTAGTTATTATATTGTTTCAGTATTCGCTTAATGATGAATTTGCCAAAGAGAATCAATTTTTCTACATGCCACTATTCTATAACGTAAAGTAAATTGTTTGACACTTGCTAGTTAATTAAATCAGTGATAATAAGCGGATGTATTTTTGCATAAAACACTCCTTTAATATGTGATGGTGATTTTATTTTATGTGCCATTAGTAAAAATAGTACTAATTTTGTTCCAATTATGACTGAAGGAAGAAGTTCGTGCAAACAAAGGTAAGAAAATTGATGATCCATTTACCCGAAGAAGTACAAAGCCTCGCATGGTGTTCAAAACTCATGGAGATGATAGTACAGATGCGACTCCTAATGCTCCGGCAGAGAATGTGGTAAGAATTTTTTTTATTGTATTTTAGCAATGAGTTCTTGAAAATTTGGAATGTGTGAAGCAGGGATAGATGACAACTTCTTATATATTCTAATTTTTGTATCGAAAATTTTGAAAATCACTCATTAGTTGTAAAGGGGTTTGTATTCTTCATTTGGTTTGTAGTAAGTTAAATTGATCTTGTTTTGAATGTCATTACCTTTCCAATTTCAGTTAGATACTGAACATAATTAATATTATAAATTGTAGAAGTATAGAACGTTTTCTCTTCAAAAATTGTATTTCAAATATATTTTTTCCATAATTCATACATTTGCATAGATATAAAAATTTCATTCTTTTGCTGTAAATTTTACAAGATGATGAAACTGTTCAATTTGCTGATTATGAATTGACTACCATTTGTATTTATTCTTTCTGGAAGATTGAACAAGAAGTGCAACAGTCAGCTGAACCAGCCACTGCAACAACTATTAAAGACAAGGACAAAGATGTAGACAAAAAAAAGGATGTGTCTAGACCACCAGGCAAAACTGATGACCTTTTCTCAGCCCATGATTTTGATATCAAGATTGATTTGGAAGTTCCCTTACCAAGTATGTTTTATGACATCCTTTACGAATGTTTCATGTTATTCCGTGCAGTAGACATATGTATATATCTTAACTTTCTTTTTTTTATATCCAAAATATTTTATTGATTATTCGTATGCGATTGGTTTGGCATTCATTTTTGTTTTTTCCATTTTTTTAACTGATTCCTTCATCTGAAGAAAAGATAGAAGGAAAATAATGACTTTTGGTTGGTGAAGGAATAGAAATATGTGATCACCGAGAAAATACTTGGAATATTTGTAATTTTTTGTGTCAAATTCGGCTGTCTTGAGAATTATTTAAACTACTAATGTAAAGGAGATTATTTAATCCTTTGCACTCTTCAGGCAGGCCTTATATGACATCATGAAATTATTTTCTAGCTCATGTGTGTAGGTGCAGTGTCTTGTTCTACAGGTGGAGGGCATTGTTGCGGAGACAGGAAGGGTTTGAAGTAGGGGTGTCTAACTTGCCTTCTGTGCCACAACTAAAACCATTAATGTGCATACGGGCCATATTTTCATTACTCGGATGATACCCATCATACTTCACTGTATTGCTGATCTCGACAATTTGCCTGGTTGCACAGCAGGAGGGAGGAAATTAAATCATGTGTGATGTCAGGCCACAGCATGCTTTGAAACACATTGGAATGATTTTGAATTTCTGGATTTACTAGGAGGAAAAAATCCTTAATTATAAACTTACTCTATTTTTACATTAAAGGGGTTTGTTGTTAGGGCGTGTGCATTAGGCCCACAATGTTCTTGCCCAGTGTGGGTGAAAGGGTCCTTCACTTTTGACTAATAACTTTTCGTGGGCCACATGTACCCTCTGGAATACCAGTTGGACAACCCTGGTTGACAGGTTCTGTGCTTCTTTCAGTTTGGCTTTTGTTTTGCTCATGAGGCTGCAAAACACTAAAAATTTAAAAATGATTTCTGATTACATGAATATTAGTATTACACATTTCATTCCTTGTGAGTTTTTTGGTGGTGTTAAATGGTTGAAAACATTCTCCTGGATTTGCCAGGACAAGTTGATCATAATTTATAGTTTTTCACTTCTTCAGACAGTTTGTGCAATGATATCGTCATCTTCTATTTGCGGTTCAGGTTGCTGTCACACGTTGGTGGAGATTTTATCTGCAAATGGTTTGAACAAAAAGTATTTGTCATTTCTGAGATGCCCTCTGACTGGATCAGAGAAAGGGATGCGTTGTTAAAGTGATGCCTGCCAACCTATATGATGAATCTCCCCTTTGAGAACTCTGAGCTGGAAGCCTTTATCTCTGTGCCACCTTGCAACATGTGGAACATTACCAAACTCATTTGACGGCAAAAGGTTAAAATTCTAATTTTAAGAATTTTTGCTATGTAAAAACAAAGCAACAAAAAATTGCTTGTTTCAAATTTTTTTGTGCTACTCTACCCTCAACTCAGTTTTGAATTGTGTCTCTACAGTACCGGCAGCATTTAAGCGACTATGACAGTTCCATGCGCTGTTGCCACACACAACTGTGCACAAGATCCATCTATATCACAGATAAATTAAATCTAAAATCATTAATGCTTACTGACAGGCTATGACATGTTGTGATATCATGTTCATAAGTTTTGTCAAGCCCAAGCCTTATCACCTCTGTGACTTTGTGGGAGTTAGGTGAGCGACTCATTTATGAAACATTTTTTCACAAAGTTGTGAGAATTAACACTTGTCTAATATTGAAGAAAATTGTCTTAATCAATACATATGGAAAAACTGAACTTAATCACAATGAAAATTAACAATAATAAATTATTTACAATTGTTACACACAATATTTGTTGAGTGTTCACCACACACCCAATCATTGTATTTTGCACCTGTTCCTTGTGTGGATTTATTCGTGCCTCTGTCAGATTTCGCCATTTTTTGGAAGGCGGTAATGTCTTTTTCTTCAGGAGCCTCTTCCTAACTACTTAAATCCTCAGGATCTTAAACTGTAGGGAAATCATGGTCAGTTCTTGGATTTGAGATTTTGCATTTTCCCAACAACCGTAAGGACCATCGGCTTGCAACTCTTCCTCTAATCATTGCATCTAATCCTTTTTATATGTGGGGACAATTCGTTATGATACCTACCTTCAAGGAATTCAATTACATTTCTAATTCAAAGAAATGTTTACTTACTTTAAAAAATCGTTAATTGATACTTGCGCTGAGTACTAATGTGTGTCACCGATGTCTAAGACCATTTCAGCCTTTTGTTCTTGAAAACTTGTGCAAGAGTGAGCATTACACTTATTGTGCAATTAGGTCTGACTGTGTGAATACCAACTGCATAACTCTCCCCAACTTAAGGAAAATAACTTTCCAAAACAAAGTGGAGCACGATTATACTCTGTGTGAGTAATGAAGGGTTAAATTGAGTAAGTGTAATTAAATGCTTTATTTCAGATAATCCAGTTAGTGTGACACCGAAACCTGTGTCCATGGTGAAGGATACAGGACCAAGACGGTCACTAAACTTGGAAGACTACAAGAAGAAAAGGGGCCTCATTTGAAGCACATGGACAGTGTTGTGTGTAATATTAAGAACTTGTGAAATGTGGTAAATTTGTTTTACCTCTGCATATGTCAGGTAAATGATGGAATGGAGTGACCATTCTACCAAGCCTGCTGTGGGACCCATGAGCATCTGGTGTTACAGTAGAAAGTTGGCTTTTAAGAGTCAATGCTGTGAATATTCGGATTGAAGTTTTGTGTCATAAATTCTTGTGGGTTTCAACAGGCAGTTAAATTCCTGATTACTCTTATTATCAGGTCAAATGAGATAATCGAAACAACAATATTTAGTCGATAACATTGTGGCTTCCCGTCGTTGAAACGGGCACTAATTGAGTATTTCTTATGCAATAAAGCACGTGCCTATATTTTCTGTTTTGATGTGTTTATTAATGACAATCTTCTTTTATTTTTTATAATACATTGAATTTTATTGTATTGAGTATGTGACAGTGTTGTTGCTAATGTGCAAATCTTGAATGAGCTCATATTATTATTGTCTCCACTTCTTTATGTGTTGGGTATTAGAAAAAATGTAAAAAACAAATCTTGTAAAACACAGAATCGATAAAGTTGCTTTATTTTTATATAATTTGCTTCATTCCTCCAAACTATCTGCCTACATAAAAAAAAGATCAAAAATACAAAAAATGTTCACTTAGAAAAAGTAACTACTGTGTTATCAGTATCAATCTTTCTTGTAAAAGATTTTGTTTGCTTTCTTAATTTTCTGGTAGAAACTTGGATTGTGTGGGTCTAAAGAGCAAGTGTTTGTATGGTGTGGATGCAAATTAATTGTGAAAAATTTACAGATTCTTGTCTCATTTTGTGTACATGTATCTAGGATGGAGTGAATATACTCAGGTATACATATTTTATGCTGATTTCAGCATTCTTGGGTACTTGAATTGGGTTTTTTCTCAGTACTCTGAAATCTGTATATATTGAATTGAAAATGTGCGACATAAAACCCATTTCTAACTGTTCAATTTATACCTTACTAAATTTCTCTTGTACTAGTTTAAGTGCTTCCTATTCGCTGACATTGTTGGAAGTAGTAGTAAGTACAGAAGTAAATATTTAAAAGTTAAAAAAAAATAAATAAAAATAATTTTTTTCTTCCATCCTGGTACGTGTGAATTTCACTTTTTCATTAAGAACTGAAAGCTTTAAGCATTTATTCTTATTGAAGAGTCAATGAATTTCTTTTGACATGCTGCTTTTTTTAAATATTGAAATTGCATATGTAAGTGGTCAAATCTATGAAAGAGTAAAAATAATTTATTCTTCAATTGTTGTTCAAAGTACTTTATTATTTCAATAACTGGAGAGTTTTACCATTATCCAATGTATACCTCGAGTCTTGAATTTTTTTGGAGGGAGAGTTCATAAAGTTTTTAAACTAAGAGATTACTGATATTATATTCCTCAGAAGATGTATTTCTTAAGGATTAGGCAATTTTCTTCATTGATTTACTGTATTGTAGTTCATAGAGCTAAGTATGAAATAACTGAAGTGTTTGGTAAAGATCATGACCATCAGGCATTTCATTAATAAAATGCAGTGAAATTATGGAAGAAATTTGGAAGTTAAATATGTATTATGCATACAATATATTTTGTGCATGTGCAATTAAAAATGTATCCTTAAATACTTACTGCTGGGGTATAATTTTGACAGTTGCAGTTATGTAAATGTGTTTTGTCTGCAAGAGAACTATCCAACATTCTGCATCCAGAGAAATATTTGTGATTTGCAATGTTAATAAATTATTTTCTTTATTTAATCATGTCAAGTTGTATTTTTTTATTTTTGTTTTTTCCAGAGAACTCTACAGAATACTATTACCTTTTTTTTAAGGCATAACTATTTGTTTCTAATGTTATAGATTTCAGTTGTGTACCATTCTCTTCAAAAGCTATTTGGAAGAGAAATTTTGTTTGTGGTGTTGGCATAATTTTGACCAGCATGGAAAAATATGCACTTATAATTTAGTGTGTACTGAAGTAATACGTTGACACGAGACCTATTATTAGACTGAAGCAGTATTGTGTTCAGATGTAGATGATACTTGGCAAAACATAAGCCACCCTATGTATTTTATTCACTTAGAGTAAGTTTGTAACTATACATACTATTATCAGGTATAGATTAATGCAAAACAATGTTTAGGTCCTAAAATGTGTTTGTATAGCTAATTGTAAATATTGTATTTGAAATCCTTTTGAAAGAGATCGAGTCTGTACCAATATAAATGTGAGAGGTTTTCTGAACCATAAATGTAAGCAACAGTGTGTACTAACTTATTAAAATTTATTTTATATCCTGAAGATTTCATATCCTTGATATTTTTGTTCAGCTAAGCAATTTTTGTTGTAGATGTTTGCAATATATGTGGTTTTAAATTTAACATTGTGAAGGGTTGTTTATTTTAAAGGGTGAAGAATTAGGTAGTGTCAATTTTTGCAGATAAAAATATAGAAACCTACCCAACTATCATTAAATGGGGTACAGATTGCGGGTATACATTTTATTTTACAACTCAATGGCTTATGAGTGAATTTTCTTTTACCCAATCCTTTCCTGGATAATTGTGGAAGGGATTCATTTGAAGTAATAAGTTGTGCCTCCCTTCATACCATATTAGGCAATATCCCCCGAGACTTATTTTTGATTGGTTCTCATCTGCGAGTCGATGAGTAATAAGTATCGTCCTACATCATAATCTCTTGCGAAATGAATGTGATTCTGACTTTAAGTTAAACAAGTAGAAGAAAATAGTTTTTTTCCCCTGTAGAATAAAAAAATGAGGCAACTCGTTTTCCCAAAAGAGAAGCTGTTTAAATCGCAAATGAATATCCCCCACCTAAGATTTCCCTGTGCCCAACCGCATTACTACGCTCTAGAGCGGTGGGTGTTGAAGAAATAGTTCTTCGCGTTGGGTCTTCATTCATAATCTCTCAGTATGATGTAATTAAATGAGTACTATTTGCCTCCTTGTAATGAATTTGTAATTGTACATATTCATTTCTAATCTGTTTTTAATAAAATCATCGAAAATATGTTTGATTATCTTGTTGGTATGAGTCACGTAATTTGATTGGCGAATGGGTGTTCAGTGGCACTGTGTAGTGCTTTCGTATGAACCAATGGTAGCGCTTCTCATGAACACCATTGATTTTGCGCATTGATACAAAACCGGCAACTCAGTGGAAAGGGTCCACAGTCGGCAAGCAGTGGAACACCCTTTTTCTCTTGTGTAGTGGGGTTTCTGTTTGTGGTGGTAAATTGTGTGGCGGATTAAACACGAAGCGGAAATTTCTCAGGGGAGATGGTAAGAAATTTTAATTTAAGCGTGTGTGTAATTGTGTGTAGGGAAATTTACCAGTTCCCATGCAATAGTTAGAGCTAAATTTCAATTATATGCTACGTTGCGCCGGGCGAACATGCCGGTGCCGCCATTTTCGTAATATTTGTTAACCTGTTCGAAAAGGTTATTATAAACCAGTGAGGGAGTTAAATCACTGAAATTTCGGTTCCTCGTTTTGTCTTTTCTTGCTAGTTTGTAGCGGAAAGGGAAGAGAAGAAATTTAATACTGAGAAGTTTGCGGGTTTTATGTAGATTGACAATGTCTTGGCGTGTCTTAATTTCCGTTGTTAGTAACGCCTGCCGTAGTAAGTTTATCTTATCTTCGTGATTTTGGAAATTACGCAGTCGTAACGCTAGCTCTTTTTTCTTCTAAACTCTTTAGTAATTGCTAAATACTTGGTTGCGTCCCACTTCAGTAACTTTTTCATGCTTGGAATAACATTTTAAGATAGCTGCTTATGCTTGGATGTTATTTGTGTGAGATTTAAGTTTAATTTCGCTTTGTATGTGTGCTTATTCTTGGGTACTCGCACGAATTCTGATAACCTAAGGTTTTATATTTTACAGTAAACCCAACGGCATTGTCTTGTAGGAACGGCTAGCACGATTCATTGGTGTCAAATGTACATTACTCGCTTATAGGAAATTTTGTTAAAAATATTTAATTTGAGGTGTAATTGCTCGTAATTTGGCGTTAAGGGACAACTACAATATTTTGATTGTATCCCATGGAGTCATTTATTACTTTCTATTTTCCTATTTAAGGTTAATGTATTTCATGAAATTAGTTTGGGTATCATTGCGGCTGCTGAGAAGTCATTAAATTTGTTTTAAACAGAAATGAACCTTCATTTTTGTGAAAACTTGGTATTTTCCCAGAGAAGTGGATGTAAATTTTATTATGGTGTTTGTCACAGGTAATTGGTGTCCCAAACTAGCCGAACAAATATTGCTTGAGCGTACAGCCTTGAGTAAGAGTTAGATCTTATAGACGGCATTCTATATTAATTTACATTTTGGTTAAAATTGGTTTACTTAAAAATTCAGCTATAATATTCCATACAATTTGAGTGGAGGGGAGCAAATTTCGCCAGATTTTTCAAACCAGCAATAATCATCAAAGGGATAAAGTTATTGCATTTGTTAAATCATTTTGTGAATATCAAAATAGTCTGTGTATTTTAATACTGTCGTGCAGGAAAAACAAACTAAAGCCACCTTTAGTTTTATACATACTGCAAACGTTGAAATCGTATCGAATGAGGTACTTTCAATGAGACAATTGGGTGGGCAGAAACAAGAAGTGAATGATAATGAATTAATGATCTTCAAATTATTCCGATAAGTTTAACATACCAAAAACATTAGCAACAATAAATTGGAATAGCCAATAATCTGAAGATTGAGGCGCGATGGAACAGTAATTTGCATATAACTTGATCCTGAAGGATGTTGGGTAACCAAGGGGAAATCGAATCAAGGCGCTATTAATGAACGGTAGTAGGGTGTAAAAGGCAACCCGTGGCTTAGGAATGAAAACGCGGCATCTTCAGAGTGCTGCAGCTAGTTACGCCAACCTTCCCTGCCCTCGTGACGTTTGCGACGAGAGGTTCATGTCGAAAGTAGTAAGGGTGGAGGAGGATTAGAGCAGTTCCACCGAAGCCCTTCGCCGAGGGTGAACCAGAAAGTATAAGGGATGGCAATATCGGTCGGGCAACCAAAATCCTTACGAAATGAAGAATGACCTACGTAGACCTACGCCATCGTTCAGAGATCCACCCGACACTCGTCTGTCGAGAAGATGTGCATCTGGAGAGCGACGTTATTTGATGCCTAGCACTACAGTATTTGCCCAAAATGTAATACTCAAGACGAGAATGCTCGTAGGATTATTTTATTTTTTGTCAGAAACGTAGCCTAAAGCAGCGCCTTGTGCGAGGAGGGGGGGGGGGCGTGCCCTCCTCGACCTAGGGGAACGCGGCGATCGATCGCCCGGGGCCGCCGGCGGCGAGGGCGCGACGGCGGTCGTGCCCCCAAAGGCCTGCTGCTTCTCCGGAGAGTTGCGGCGGCCTCGGGAACGGGTGACTCAGGGAAGCCGAAGAATGCAGCTTCTGGCGAAGGTTTAGGCACCGGTTTACCATTTGCTAGAGTTTATGCACGTTGGATGGGGGACGAGGGCGCGTTAAACAAAGATTCGAACGGTTGGCGCGAATCCAGCGGGGGCGGTCATCTCATTTGCAAGGGTTTTTTTTGTTTTTTTTTTAAGAAACAGTAATGGAAGTATTTACTTGCGGAAACCATCCAAGCCACCACAAAGCTCATTAAATTCGTGAGGATTTCAGAAAAGACTCGCGTCCACACGCGTTATGATAGTGTGATAAAGTAGATTTAAACTGTGCCCCTTCGGGAGGTTATGAAGGATCTCTAAATTTAGCATTAATGCAAAAATGGAATTAGAATTATGACTGCAAATGCCCTTGTTCGCTAAACGTAAACAAAGGGTTGCAAAGGTTTAATTAAACTCCCTCCGGAGTGAATGACGAAATTGCAAATAGGCAAAGTGTCCTGCGAAGTGATAAAATAGTTTTCAGAAGATTTTTAAATGGAACTTTTCAGCTTCCGGGTTGCCCTTCGGCTTGGGTATGAAAAGATCACTGCAGGGAAAACGTGGAAGCAACACGGAGGAACTGAGAGCGCTGTGCGCGATGGCGCTGGCTTGGCCGCCGGTCCTTCCCCCCGAGGGCTGGCTGGCGGTGGCGTGCCCAAAATAGGCCCCAGCGACGGCCCACGCCAACCCGCGCGCGCGTTAGCTCTCGCCCTCCCGGCCCGCCCCCTTGCGCGCCGCGCCGCCCCGCCACGCCCCGTGTCGCGGGGCGGCTAAAAAAGGCGGCGTTTAGCGGCTGCGGTGGCGGCGCGGCGGGGTGGGCGTGGTCGCGGGAAGGGCAGAGCAGGGCGGGCGCGATGCGATTCCCCAAGGTCCCTCCCCACCCCTCCCGCTCCTCAGCGCTGTGGTGTGCATGGATGGCGGTCGGGGAGGCACTGGATTTGAAGGGGAAACAGTTTTAAAAATCATTTCTTTGTGATGTAATTTACAATTATTTTTTTACCAAAACCCTATTCTCATATTTCATAAATATAGTGCGCATTGCAAAATCAAAATGCATGTACTAAGAATTTGTTAAAACAAACTTCGGTTATACGAAAATTGTTAGGAAAACGGTTGCCGGATGTTTGGTAAATTAGTTCCTGAAAGTGAAAAAGGGGTTTTCCTGGACGATGCACCGAGGGTGGTACGGCCGCTGTTGCTCTTACAGGGTAGAGGCAGTCATTCAGAAACTGCGATCGCAAAATATTCATTAACTTATCCCCCCTTTCATAAATTCAGCTAATATCACCGCATCCTGATAACATTTCCAATTTAAGTAATGAACTTTTCTCCGGTACTTTATGTATCACATCATTCAAAAGATAAATGGTAAATTAGGCTCGTAGCCCAAGTAACTGTCATATTTACACAAGTAGACGAAGTTTGTTTTTTACGATCATGTTTTTATTTAGAAAAGAATCTTCAAAACGGCAATCAATTATATTTTTTGCTTTGACTCCTCCAATTAAGTTGGAAAATGTGACGTAACCAATCCCGTGCCCCTTTGCACTTCTGTCGGGCAGCCTGTTCCTGCCGGAAAGGTGGCCGTGCTTTTAGTGCCTCCTTAGAGGTGATGGAACTCTGAAAGGGGAGGGAGTTTGTGTTTTACCGGGAAGCTGATCTTCAATTTCCCACAATATTGTAATCCTGTGGTTATCGCATAGTATTTTGTTTATTGATTCTTTTACGAGAAATCGTGCCGGAACACATATGCCAAAATTACAGTATTTGGTAATCAGTTGAAATGGAAATAACGGAGCAACAAACTAAAACTTCCTTGCGCGTCCTCGTAACATTGTGAAAGTTTGAATAAATCTCTAGTATATTTGCAAATTTGAGTGCCGCGAGAAGTGGTGAGACGTGCTTCACAAACTGCTTTTGTGCGTAAAGAGGTATGGTCATTTGATGAAGTGCATAACGTCCAGGACGTTATAAATGGACTTGCATACTTGACCACTGGAACTTTGAAGCTATCGGCAATGCTGATAATGGATAGCGAACGCTG